TGAAGCAGTGCGAGCAAACAAATCGCTGAAACCCCTCATGCATTTATATCCCTCACAGCTTCGCAGCACGCACACGTAAGCTTACGTATTCGACAGTAAATATTTACATAATTCTTCGGCGGCATAATTATTACCTTTGGTTCAATATTTTCTTTAAAATAGAAATAAATTGCAAATTCACTTAATTTTGCGCACGAGTGTATATAAAGTCAAAAAACAATATATGTATGTATGATCTTTACTTAATATGATTCACAAACACAATAATCACTTAACACATGGACTGTATTCCTTCACTTTTATTTCATTACACTAATTATAAATAAGATGTCAGCGATGCGAAATAATTGATACAAAATAAGCGAGCCATTCTACATGGCTGTCACAATTCTATCAATCAATTATCTTGTTGCCACACATAAAGTTCAAAACTAAAGGAAGAAAAACAAATGAAATTTACGCTGTTTGCAACAATAAAATGAAGCAAGCTATACTCACATAAACATCCTGGCCCTCATTGAAATCCCAGGGGATTTCAACAGTTAGAGCATTTTGAAACTTCTTAGTCTGTAATAAAAGATAAACATAAGAAAAATAATACAAAATATTATATGCGAAGCAGTTCATAGCTTTTTAGTCTGAATAGGAAGAGGACACAATTTCACGACTGTTCGTTTTATGACACCATGACCAGTTTTAATACTAACAACTCTGACTCTATGATCTGAGCCCGGATGAACAGCAATTATTCTCCCTAACCTCCATTTGAGAGGCGGCTTCTTTGATGAGGACTAAGTCATTGACTTCTAAATTGTTTTGACTTTTTTGCCATTTAGGTCTTTGCTGAAACTGAGAGAGGTATTCTCGACTCCATCTTTTCCAGAAGTGCTAAAAATAAACTGTCTCACATGCCATCTGTCAAGGTGATTGAATGAACTATAATTTAGGTCTGGTTCAGGTATGGCAGTTAAAGACGTTCCTATTAGGAAATGACCAGGTGTTAATGCAGTTAAATCATTTGGATCAGCCAATGTTGGACACAATGGCATAGAGTCGAGACAAGCCTCAACCTGCACTATCAAGGTCTGAAATTCCAGATAGGTCAGCACAGTATCACCAACAGTCCTTTTTAGATGTAATTTCATTGACTTACTGCCGATTCCCATAGTCCACCAAAATGGGGAGATGATGGCGGGTTGACTATCCATTTTATTTCCTCTAAAGACAAAAATTTGTGAATTTCTTGATTTTGCTTACATTGCAAAAAACATTTTCTGATTTCTTTGTCTGCACCTTTAAAGTTAGTACCGCAGTCACTATAAATCTCAAATGGTTTCCCTCTTTTTGCAATAAATTGTTTCAATGCACTTAAAAATGCCTTTGTTGACAGATCTTCTACAACTTCAAGATGTACTGCCTTGATTACAAAACACACAAATAAGCATACATAACATTTAAATGATTTTTGCCCACATCCTGCACGATGTTTAATCATGAATGGTCCAGAAAAATCTATTCCAGTTCGATGGAATGGTCGCGATTGTGTTACTCTAGATTTGGTAGATCGGCCATTATTTGACCTGCAGTTTTAGCTCTAAGTTTGCAACACGTGATACAAGATCTTACTACTTTTCAGATAGCAGATCTAGCAGCTATGATCCAAAATTGCTGTCTAATTAAAGATAGAAGAAGTTTCGGTGCTGCATGCAGACATTTGACACGAAAGTGTCTAATTATGATTTCTGTCAGATTGTGTTTTGAAGGTAATAAGATTGGATGCTTTTCATTTTCTGATAGTTGCACATTTTTCAGTGTTCCTCCTACACGTAACACTTTGTTGTCATCTAAAATTGGACACAAGCTAAGGAGGTTGCTGTTTGTAGGTAAGTCCTTTCCCAACTCCAAACATTGAATTTCTTTAAAAAAGTGAAATTGCTGTATTATTTGGACAATACAGAAAGTTGCAGCATTGCAGGGACCATACTGGTACTGTTTTGTCTGCGCCTTGGTTGTGGGGACGTTACATTGCCCAAGGGGGATGGGCTCCCCTTGGTCAACTCTCGGGGATGGACGTAGGCATTGTGTTTTATGAGCATTGTGATTTATTTCCCAGACTGCGTGACATTTTATGTCCCACTGGGTTTACCAACGGAAGTGGCGCCCCCCTCGGATAGCCTCTGAGGTTGAGGCATTTTTAACCATGTATGGCCCCGCATTGAGGGGCTGAGTTTGGGAGCCTCTTCCTCTGGTTCACTGTAAAAGATGACTTCTCTTTTGTTGTTTCTCACCATCTGAGAGCTAAATGATTATGAGATTTACTTGAATACTTATTTTATGCAACTGTGTAAATAATAAAGTGGTTAATACTCACTGTAACAAATAAGGGGATATGCTAATGGTATCTTGTCATCTAACTTTCCCCATATTCACATAAATAAATTACCATAAAAGAAGAGTGACAGATTAAACTGATATATGAACAAATATTAAGTAAAAACCTTTTGATAGTTTAAAGTAAATAAGATAGACTTACCATTGAAGATTTCAAGCAGTAATAATTACACCAGATATACAAAGTTATGAACAATTGATCGTTAATCTCAACAGTGATGCAGAGCATATTTAATATTTTCAAATATATTAAAACTTTTTTTATTATTTATTTAATAAAGTGTGAGCAAATCTTCTTCACTTTAAAATTTCCTCATTTAGATTTTACTCTTACTATTCCCCTTTACTGTTAACTAAAGAACTCCCCCCCCCATTTCTTAAATCCATTATATGACAAGGAAAAAGAGAGAGAGAGAAAGATTTGTTGAAACTAAAAATCTTTTTAGGCAAATCTTTTTAAGCAAATAAATAATCAAGCACAGTTTTATAATAATATAATTTATTTATATATCATTTCAACATTTATAAAATTAAAAATTACACTTAAATATATTGTGCAAACTGCTGTTACTAATATAATAATATAATCTTTAATAATATTCTACATTTAAAGATAAGAATACATATAACTTTTGGAACTAATGAAAAACAGTATTTTTTATGTAATATTGAAATTAACATTTATACAACGATCAGATTAAATGTTTTTAATAAAATATATATTTAAAAACAATAAACTTTGTTTTGGTTTGGAAAATCATTCAATCACACAAAAAGGAGTAAAACACGAAAAAAGGAAAATATCTCTACATACGGAAAGCATTGTCTTAAAGTATTTACATATAAACATATTTTAAATCTGTGTCACATTACTGTTTTAAATTCTTAAATGCCACACTACAGTTAAAAATGTAAAAACATATATATCACTAAAAACACAGTAAATATCAGGAAAATTCACATATATAATTATTTTACTGGGTACGAGATTCTTAGCTCCAGATTTCTTCCAACAAAATATGTGACTTTTCTTTGGAAGTATATAATTTAACCATAGAGTTTCACGTAAATTACTCTTCTGAAGTATGACAATCAACTACTCTCAGATACATAAGTATAAAAAACAGTTTTATGACAAGGTCAAGAAAGTTCTTAAATATTTTGGAAAATTAAACATTATTTAACTAGCAAAAGGAAACTATGCTATTTCTAGACTTTCAAACTGATTATCATAAGATTATTTTACAGTACTACTGGACATTATTGAGATTACTATAGGTTAGAATACATAAAAATGAAGTAAGGGGAGAAAAGAGCAGAGTTAGTTGGTAAATGCAATCAATGATTAGACTTTGAAATGTCTTGGAAATTACATCACAGTTTTTTGTTACATTTCAGTTACCTTCTTCAATATAAAAAGAAAAGAATGAACTGTTAAGACAAACTCTATAAATAAAAAATCTAAAAATTACTAATTTTCAAGCAAAAACAATGATAATGATTGAGATACAGTACACTAATGGACAGATATCACTTTTTCATGAAATGTTAAAAAAGATTTATATATTAAAAGAAAACTTTAAGTACTCTCATATAGTATTATTAATTCTTCAAAACTCATACACTATTAGAATTTTTTTAGTTACTTTGCATGTATTTATTGAATTTGAACTATCACTTATATGTCTCTCACAACTGGAATCTTTAAGTTAGCTTTAAAAATCCTATATAGAAAGTTTATAAGCAAAATATCTTCAACTATGTTAACTGAGAACACTGGAGCTTTCATGAGAAACCAATTTACTTCATCAGCTGAAAGTTCCTAAGGTTTAAAGAAGCTTTCTCATATTAATGTAGTTTAAATGATTAACATGTAAACTTACTGTTTAGAATTTAAGATTATATATGCGAATCAGCTCCTTGAATTTCAAAAATATCAAATTACACAGAAATGACATCAAGATTACAGAAGAAAAAGTTAATGATATTTAATCAAAATTATGTACACGCATTTAAGAATTGTAGAAAAGCAATTGCTAGTACTTTTTGCATAATTCATTGAAAAACTTTACATAATAGACAAAAAAAAAAAAAAAAAAAAAAAAAAAAAAAAAAAAAAAAAAAAAAAACCATATACATAACTAACTATAAAAAAGTATAAAGTGCATAATATAAAACAGTAAAGTGTAGAATCTTTTGATGGCATTCAATTTAATCATTGCAAAATCAAGTAGTTTTAAAAAGGTTATGTGTGCAAAATAAACACCATGCTTCATATATATAATTCAAGTACTTATTAAAAACTGCTTCATTACTATAAACTGTAAACAAAGGTAGCAAAAACAGTGCATAGCCTTCATATTCTATATTAAGATTACAATAGAAAGAAGTGTGTATACTTAAAGTTCAACTTTTTCAAAGGATGTTTATGAAGCTATTTGAATAATTCAATCATAAACCAAACTACAACTTAAAATTTGCTACTTAAAATTTTTTTTTCATAAATATCACTCAAAATTAATTTCTATATATTTTAATAATAATTCTTAAAATGTTAAATTCTGTAAAGCTAAAAAAAATTAGTAATATTAAAATAAATATAGAGATAAACATTTTCTTTACCATGACATTTTCATTCCTTTTAAATAACTTCTATATTTAATACACATTTTTACTAATTATATTCTTAACACTTCACTGGAAATTTTAACTAAAAATATTTTTTCCATAGTATAACATACTATATGAAAATCTGTTATGAATTGCAACAGATTCACGCTTATAAAATGGCAGGAATTTAGAACATATTGATTTTAATATGTGTAGACTACCATACGTTATTTAAGAAGCTCGCAGACGATTACTAGTGCGCACTAGCTCACACACAATTACAATTCTTTAGTTAGCACTGCACAATGAAGATGTCACTTTTTTAACTTATACAGTACGTCATTTAATTATATAAAATTATAGAATGTTACAAGAAAAGCTCTTATATTAAAGAGAACATGTTTAAAACTTCACAAAATACACCACTAATATCCATTAACAAATTTAATACTTAAAAAAACTGAGACGGTTTGTGAGACTAGCATCATCTTTTATAATCATGGGAACATAAACAATTATACAGTTGTCATTTTTTCAAAACACTGCTTGCGATAGTTCTCAATTTCACTACTAATTTTAATCTTCTGATCAAACTGAGAAATCAAAAATTGTTGAGTATACAAAGTACCCTGAAACTGTTCAAATGTAATGCCCCATTCTTTTTGTGTACGTCCTTCACAGTTCAATCTGCATTGAGATGTTACAGAATTTGAGAGACTACCTGTAACACTGGATACACTTCCATTATCCTCTAAAATACTTGCAGACTTTTGGGATTCCTGAGATGTACTTTTTTCACTGATACTTTGAGTACTGTCACAAAGATTGTCATCATAAAGTTCCATATCATCAAGACTTTGTAATACTGTACCAAGTTCTCCAATCTGAAGAAGCAATGTACCTACAAATAGGGTTTAAAAAAAAAAAAAAAAAAAATAAAATTTTTTTTTTTTTTTTTTTTTTTTTTTTTTTTGACATACGCATGACCTTATTTGCTTTAAAAATAATGAACATTAAGTAACAAAGTAACACTTTTAATGAGCACACTAGAAAGAAAGGAAACATTTTACCAGATAAGCTGTGCAATTATATAACAAATCATTAATCAAGTATCAGAGATTTTACTTAAAGCCCCAAGGAAAAACTTTTTAAGAATTAAAAGCAATGTTATTAAACACTGATACACAGCGTAACTTTGACAAGTTTATCAGTGTGTCAAATAAGTATATATAAAAAACAACATAAGGTAGTGCACAAATAATTAAAAAAAATAGACACTCACAGCCTCCACAATTAACTTAAGCACGAAATATGAAGAAGTAATTATTATAACAATGCAAAAAGATGTACTCCAGTTTTAAAGCAGCTATAATGCTATTGCCATTGGAAATTACAATCATAAAAATACATTGGCAGAAAAATTAACAGAACAATTTTAGAAAAGAGTATAATATTAGACTTTTGGATAAAATCTAATGAAATTTTATACGTGAATAGTAAAGTGCCAACGTCATGCAATTATCCAAAAAGATTCAATCTCATTACAAAATATCAAATTATTGCATGTGTACCTACTAACAAGTAGAGCGCAATATGCAAACTTATACTAAAATTTGAACTAAAAAAATTATATGGGTAAAAAAATTAGTGAATGGTGAAATATTTTACTGAGTATAAAAAAATCGCATGTATTCAGGAAGACAGAGGCTAGCTAAAATGGCACAGGTATTTAGAGACTGAAAAATATCCAAAATTAGCTTTTTTAAAATTTGGAAATGGTTCAGTGATATGGAAATCTTAATGCTCAGGCCAATGCCAAAAACATGCCACCAACTCCTCAGAAGTGTTTATAAAGCATAATTACTAAAGCAGGCAGACAAATGACTCCTTCAAAAATTACAAGAAATTTGCACAACTGCATGATCAGATTCAAATTATGAATAAATACTCCGTAAAAGAGAGTTTTACATGAAAAGACTCACAGGAAATACAGAAGGTGTTTACACATTTTTAGAATGATGTTTATAAAAGAATTTTAAAAAAGCAAATAACCTGGAATAAAAATTTCTGACAACAGCTTATTATTTGAAATGAGAAATATCATCTGCTACTTTTAAACTTATTCTTTCAAAACGTCACATGTAAGCAAGCCGTTGATTGAACGATTTTGCATTTTCTGAAGTGTAATATTCATATTTCATAATTCAAAAACATTGTGAAATGCATGATATTAAAATTTCTAAGTGCAAAATAAGCAACATTATTAGTGGGACAGGGAAAAACCATCAATCATCTTACATGGAAAAAAAGACTCCAAACAAATACCCGAAAAAGATATGGGCTAGTTCTGATATTTCTAAAATTAAATTGTTGGTAACAAAAGAAAAATCCGTCAACACAAAAATCAATTGCATAGCCTTTAAATACATCTGCAGTATCAATAAATAAAGCAATAAACTAAGATTTACAACTTAAAAAAGCTACAAAAACATAATGTTCGCCAGCTTATGACAAGGCATGTGGCTCAACACAAAACAATTTGTTGAACCCTGTATGAAAACTGTTTAGCAAGAGATATATGGAAATACACTGTGACCCTTGATGAAGCATGGATTTACCTAAATGACTACAACAACCAAAAAAAAGGCCTATTTAGTTTCGAAAATGAAGAGAAAAAAAATGTACAAATGCGGTCCAATATTGAGAGCAGAAATTCCATTCCACATCTTCTAATGAATTTATTTATTCTAATGACTTTCAAAGAGCCAAACTTTATCAAGACAAAGCAACAAATCATGCTTTGAAAAGTACCACTGCATTCCTTGAAAAAAATGAAGACCGATACAGATATTACATATACAGCTTTTCAACATATTCCTGTGAAGTTCCTTGACCTTTCACCTATGAATCTGTGCCTCTGGTTTCTTGAAAAGAGCTCTAAGTATAACCACACCATGATTGATAGACTCTGGAAAGCAGTGGAAGAGGAATAGAAATCAATAGCCTGGATATTTTATGAAAAGCCCTTCTATAATGGAAATCACAATGCAGACTTAACATTAATTAAATTGTCCCCAAAATTATTCTAAAAATATACAAACACCATCCGTATATCCAGTTAAAATGGAGCAGAGAATATCATGATTGGAGCACCACTTATTGAAGCTAAGTTCTTTTTACTAAATTATCTTTAAAAAATTGTTAGGCCTACTACAATTTGGAAACAGGCATACAGCACTTCTAGCAGTGTCTTCTTCCGACTTTACTGATTTACCCATCTTTAGTAGTGGAATTATGATGACTGAAAGATAATATCATGAAGATGTTGATACTTGTGTGGAGCACATTAGATATCAGTAGGTAGTAATTCCATTTGAATAAAATTGCTACCAATCTCAACTCATCTCCATTATCTCCTAAGGGTATCAGACAAATAACCTTAGCATACTTTATCATAATCCAATAAACCAAATCAAACTCTGAGTGTCAGAGTATTTAGATAGTGAAACAATGAACCACATGGTATGGCCGCTGTAGTGGTTAGGGGAGCTGACTGCGAAACCAAAGACCCCGGAATCGACTCTTGGAGAAGGTATGGTTGTTCCCACCTATTAGGTACTTCCATAATAAAGTAACCACCACTTCTGGCCTTAGTAGTGACCAAGTAGAAGTTGGCTGAAGACCCAACATTGGTTTAAAAACAACAACAACAACAAAAAAAAAAAAAAAAAAAAAAAAAAACACTTGGTACAGCCCATATTTACGTCAAATTTAAATGACTGAATATATGTGAGATGCATTAGGCTATAGATCACAGCAGTCACCATTTAATTCCCTACAGGAACTTCAGAATGCAATTCAGTGTGAATTGGCTTTGTTACTGCAGGTACTTCTATACAATTTAATCAAAAAGCATGAAAATTCAGTGCAAAGCTTGCATTATGGTCATGGATGCCCATATGCCCTTGAAAATATCTACAAACCTAGACACAACATTTAAAATTAAAATACTTGTTTTTTGTTTATGACTGGAAGTCACGTTTTTACACTTAAAAAGAAATAACGTTGAACATAGGTGGTTATGATTCTAACAGTGGTCTCAAATTCAAATTGCATGCCAGCCACACGCATGACCTAAAAGCAAATACTGCTGCTTACATTTCAAACTGTCATTTCCCGAGATGGAATGATTAATGTCCTTTAATTTCCATAGCTTCTTTTGAGGGTTCATCAGAACACTGTTATATATGCATTACACACGTACGTACTTTTGGATGTAGGAGAGCGCTAACTTCAAACTCAGCTGGAAGGTAATGACAGCTGAAATTTTTGCTAGTGCTTTTCTAGCTTCTTAGCACTATATTGCAATACACTATTGAATGAATTTATATTATACAGAAATCTGTAAGTACTATATTAAAACAAATACATAACTGAAATGTATTAGCAGGTCACATAAAAGTGCTTTCGGTCTGCATGTGGCCTACGGGCCACCGGTTTGAGAGCACTGCTTTTAAGATATGTTACATACAGGTATTATTAAATTTTCCTTTTTTCATCTTCAAAATATAAGTTCCTCTTTCTTTTCAACACTTTCCTTTAATTTTTTCCATCAGTGTAATTTAATAACCTGATTAAGATAAAATAACATGCCGAACAAATATTAATTTAGAAATCAAACAAATATTAATTTAGAAGCTTAATTCCTGTCCAGCCATTCTTATCTTATCTTATCTAATCACTATACTTTATCTCGTTCATTTGCACTTTGGCAGCTGAAGCTGATGGTTCGGTAAAACCATTGAAACTAGTCCTATGAAAATTCGCACATATATTGCTGATTTTTGTTGCTTGACTTCTAAATAAATAACCTGATGTTTCCGGCACTTAATTTTAAAGCAATACAAACTACATAATATTTAATAAAAAATTCAGAATTTGCAGAGTTAAGAATTTATTAGAAATTTTTGTTATTTTTAATAACAGCACAAATTATTAAAAGCTGCAATTCCTTTTCTATGCATCCAAAGACTCTACTATCACAGTTATATAACTATTTTTAACCATCAAGTTTCTATAAATTAATCTGGATTTCACATAAAAATTAATCAAAACATTTAATTATATCATAATGCTAATAGCTGCCATTTTAAACAGCATTATAAAAAAAATTCATTTATTATGATTAAGAGCCAAAAACAGTTTAAAAAATGAAATAAAAAATTTAAAAATAGAACTGAATTAAAAGAAGATATAGAGATACATTTGACTATTTTAAAGAAAGTGGGGCCTAAATTTTTTACCACAAACTGAATTATTCTGAGTATGACAGATGCAGTTTTTGATGACATTCTTTGTGCAAAATATAAAACTGCATAGTGTATATCAACACAAACAAAACTGGAAGACATAGTTCAGAAAGTAAAAAAATAATCATAAAGGGTGTGAACACCTGCTTCAGTCTCATCCAAATCTCTTTGCTGTGCAATCATGCTTGTATTGTTGGTAACTTTTTCAAAACACTCTTGAGGATAAAAAATCTGTGAGCTAAGAAGGCAAACAACCCCATCAGTAACCAACTGTGTGACCTTTTCAAGAACTTTCATGCACCATCCAAATATAAAGGCTCGGACTGTTATCTGCCGGGATCACTGCTGATTTGCAAAAATGCTCGAGATAATTGCACTAACAAAACAAAATGTGCAGCAATTCAAATGGAAAGTTTTTGAGCATCCTTCTTATAGGCTCTACTTGGTACTTAGTGACAGCCACCTTTTTCTGGAAATAAAGGCATTTGGAGGGGGGGGATTATGAAATGATGAAAACCTCAAAGAAACAGTAAATAGCCACTGGCAGCAGATACAGCAGCATTGATAAACTGTAACATTATGCAAATACCTCAATCAATAACAATGGCAATTAAACAGAAAAACAGAGTTTAGATCCAGTGTTAATGTGCACAACATTTTGCTGTGATATCTTTAATTTTAATTGAGTAACACCTCAAAATTCCTTAATTTCTGGCCAACCTGTACACATAAAATAAACTGTACCCCCCCCGGTACAGTGTTGCCATTGCTGGCTTTGAAATCTTTGGGTTTCTTACTCAAAAATTCGTTAAAGTGTTACAAAATATATTAGGACAAATTCCAAATTTGAGTTTCCAGATGCCCATATTCGGAGGAGGATTACATTATTCAAAATTCAAAACATACATACATATATGCAGATTCTTCATTACTTAATTTCTTTAAATATAATACAGGGCTGTAATATTTGGTGGCAGCAGTTTGAAAAGTGAATCGATGCAAAATGCCAACATGAAATTAATAGCCCCTCTGAGCTAATGTTCCTTTGGGCTAAACATTTTTTCTGGATTAAGTACATAAATGTTCTATATAATTTACTCCTGAATATAATACATTTAGGTAGGTTAAAACTTACCTAAATAACCATAAATTTTACATTAAAACAATATATCTAAACAAAAAAATTATCATAAAGGGTGTGAAAAGATTCAGAAAGTTTCAGAAAAAGAAAAATACTAAGAGTGATACAATATAAAGTCTGAAATCTGGATGTCCATTATCCGGAATGATCTAAAATCCAGACCTTAAAACCACCAACAACATTTTTCTCGTAGGCTTTTTATACACATGCGCATTTGATTCCCCCTCCATGATAAAACATCTGGAGAGTCCCGATTCTTAATTTCACTTCAACACTAAGTAAAATAACTTGTTACTGAAGAAACAACCATTTTAGCATAAATTTGTATGATCAATAATTTGGCTTCATTGCTGCGTATCTGCTTGGCACACATCTGAAACCGAAATATTCCACATAGATACATCATTGATCTGACGCCCACCTGGAGAATCATTATTTGTTATACTTTCCTTTCATCACTGCATGTTTATCAACACATGACAACTTGAATAATGACTCATGTAGTGATCCCTAAACAATTCTTTTATATCAGTAATTGAATAATAAAAGAGTATGGTAACCTTTTATGTTGACATTACGCTTGACGATGATTACGGATTTAAGTTAAATGCGCTAAAAAATGTTGACAAGGAAAACTTTACCAAAAATTTCTTTCCATATGCTAAAAATAGATTTTGTTGATGATACTCATAGACCCAAAGATTATATTTAGGACTATTTAAATTAAGAAAAACTAATTTGTTATTCATGTAAACCCAGAACCATTACCAGGCCTCATATGGCCGCACTGAGTCGCAGAATTTAAGACCCACAGAGACTGCATAAGTCGGTTAAAATATCTAGCGTCTGCCCTCAATAAGGCTTAAGTATATGTGGGAATTTATTTATTCAGAACTCTGACTTAAGCATGTGCAAGAAATACACATATGTACAATAAGTAACTAAACTAATACAATTCAGACTTACTTGTGTCAGTGCGCGATAGAAACAAGATAAAATTTAACAGAACAACTTGTCATTAGTCACCAAGCTCACGATGCCAAATATGTAAGTGAAGGATAATTTAATTTGATGATGACAGCCGCTAATTTTAAAGGTTTTCGGATATTGCAAAACAAAGGTGAAATTTTCCAATTAACAGATTTTGTAAAGAAATGTGGGGAAGCGGTAATAAATGACGATGATATAAAAGAAGTTTTACATTGTGATGACAATGCTACTCAATCATCAATCGATTAATGAATGGCAAAATCTGTAGTATGGTTCTAGATCCAGAAAATATCACTACCGATAGTGAAGAAAATGACAGAGAAGTTACTGAAAACGAGAAAATTTTGATTGACAAGTTAGTCGGAATTCTTGAAACAGCAATTACAGGACTTCAACAATGTAACTAAACAAGAGATTATGTCTGTCTACAGAATTAAAGAGAAAGTATTAGCACAAAAAAACGAAGCAACTTAAACAACTTACATTGAAAGAAATGCTTAATAAGGTAAACAAATAAATATCAAGGTTTTTTTTTTTTTTTTTTTTTTTTTTTTTTGTAAATTTTGATACCCTTTTGATCATAAATACTTCATTATTTCATATTTTTAATTTTATAATTTCTACATGCCATCTCACTAGACTTAAACTGATGATCTAATATCCGGAAAAATCCCAAGTCTGGAATTACCAAAGTCCTGACGAGTCCGGATTTTGGACTTTGTACTGTATTATCATTTATTCTCACAGAAAATTTAAGTATAGATTTACTTGAATTCATCTTTCTTTTAAAGTTGGAGGAGGAGGGGACTTACCAACAGTAGCTATGCAATGATATATCTTTTGTTCTTCTTCATGTAATACAAACATATCATACATGGACTTCCATAAATCAATGAATTTTTCCTATAAATGATGCATACAATTTATATTACTATTACAAACTAACAAATTTCAAGAATAAATTACAGACTTTTACATTCTTTGAACATGAACTATGAAATATGACAGTAGCTTACTTGAGTCATAACTGGCAACTGACGGTCAGTGGCAAATAAAAAACTTTTAAGCTCTTTAATTCCAAACTTTTCTGTAAGAAATTAATCCAATTTAATAAACATAAAATGCAACAAAATTATATCACAAAAATTTGTTATGAAAGTTTTTTAATTGAAAATTCTATTAATAGAGAATGATATATAAATCAAACTCAAAGCTGATTTAATATTGAATCATGAAAACGATAACATGACAATTATTACACTGAAACATTTGTTTTTAGAAATATAATTCTTTGAGATGATCAGAAGTTAAACTAAATAATATTAAAAATATTTAAAATGATTAATTGTTACATATGTCCACTTAAATAAAAATTCTGGTTAGAATTATTATTATTAAACAAAATAAAATACCATTTCATATTACTTGAGAACTCAAGTTAAATTATGCTTATTTTCGGCAGGCCTTACATTCTGTCTCCGTAAGAAATGAAGATAAGTAAAATGATTAAAAAACATTGTGATATTAGAAGTAATCATTAAAAAACGAAAAACTAAAATGAATATATGCTAAGAACTCTTCTTTTTACAAAGGAACATCACTACATACAACTATCATTTTAGGCTACATAAAAATTCCAAAATAAAGCATAACTTTCATAAAGCAACTTTAATAAGCACAACAATCTTTTAGCTGCTTTTATTTTTTTTTGGAAGGGGGGTGGGGGGAAAGATAAAAAGAGGCTCACTAACTTTTTTTAATTTCTTATTGCTTAAAATTCCCGATTGAAGATTGCATATGAAAATATTCACGCTTAAATGCTTATGAATACAATTTTATAAACTTAACACTTAAAATTAAACTACCATATACCAATCAAAGGAACTGATGATACTGGATGAACACATGATGAAGATTTAGAAGCACCAACTTCGCCAGTCACAGCTGTGTTACTATCAATGCTGCTGAAGAATTCCTCAGCTTCTGCTGCCTCTTCTGGCTCACCTGAAAGCACAAGTGGGGAAAAAATAAAAAAAATATCAAAAATGAGAATTACTTTTGCGATCAAACTTGCAAAATATCAGAGATTTATTTAATAAATTTGAAAAATTAACAAATTAATACATTATAGTTTTAAATCCTTGAAAATTGGACATACAAATGTGAAATGTTACCAACTCCAAAAGACAACTAACCAATAAAATGAAATTTAATACAGTCAGTTTCAAATAGTTGGAAAATTAAAGTAAGAAATGCTGCAAATGACACAAAGCTACAGATAATTAGAAATTAAAATTCTGCATTTAGCTGCACTCTTTTAATTTCAGATTAACAGTACAAAATTATCAAGGAGACATGTTTCAAAATTGAATCATTCTAGATGTATAGTTTCAGGTTCAATGTACACTGCGGGGGAAGAGGGGAAAGGACAGCAAATGACACAAAGCTACAGATAATTAGAAATTAAAATTCTGCATTTAGCTGCACTCTTTTAATTTCAGATTAACAGTACAAAATTATCAAGGAGACATGTTTCAAAATTGAATCATTCTAGATGTATAGTTTCAGGTTCAATGTACACTGCGGGGGAAGAGGGGAAAGGACAGTTCTATATCTCCCTTTCTAGTTAGCCGATTGACAAAATTCAAATTGCATTTTTCATGTCTCGAAAGTGCGACTTAGGATATATATTAGATTTATATATAGCTTTGTTCTGACAAGCTGTTATATATAGCTTTGTTCTGATTTATATATAGCTGTTTTTCATGTCTCGAAAGCACGACTTAGGATATATATTAGATTTATATATAGTTTTGTATTTTGACACAAAACCAGACCTTTCTGAAATAACATACCAATTTTTTTTTATATTTCGATTCTATGACTCAATTTATACCTAGATGTTAAATTTTGTAATTTTTGGTGAGAAATTTATGGAGAAATTTTTTAATTTATCTTGGCGAATGTTTTTCAGTTTGCACCAAGAATAACTCACTTGGCAAACTTCTTAATTTATAGCAACCTATTTTCCTTTTCTTTTTATTCATTGTCCACGAGCGGGAAAAAAGTCATTGTTCATACTTTCAAATAATTTAACAAAGTGCGTAAACCATATTTTCGTTATTATTGCTTGAAATAAATATGCCAAATTTCAAAACGCGCCAAAATGTAAATTCACATACAGCTTGACTGATCTAAATTTTGAATAAAAAACGCTAATTTTTGTAGGTATGCTTAGAAATACATCTACCTTAAGATGATGGCAAAACTTTTTTCGGTTATAATTAAAAAAATTTTTCTAAAAATTTATAAAAATTTAAAAATAAAATTTAAAAAATAAATCATAAAAAATGGGTGAATTTTATTTGGAATGAACCTAAATTTTGAAATATGAAAGGAAGCATCAAATAAGTTTAATAAAAAAAGAGATTAATATATACATATCAAATTCAATCAACATTGAGGAGTTAAAATTTTGAGAGCTAATTTTTTAAAAACTACTGGTACGATTTTTACAAAACTTGGTAGATGAGTCGTAGAATCGAAATATGGGAAAAAATTGGCATGTCATTTAATAAAAAGTCCGATTTTGAGTCAAAATACCTATATTAGAACAGTGCTATATATAAATTTAATACATATCCTAAGTCGCGCTTTTGAGACATGAAAAACGCAATCTGAATTTCGTCAATCGGCCCACTAGAACGGGAGATATAGAACTGCCTCCCCCTTTTTTTTTGTGCAGTGTACAAACTTTTAAAATTCAGTTTATAACAAGGTGCAGAAAAATAAACAATAACGCTGTTTTAAAAGAATTTGGAGATAAATTTCCTCCATATTTCAACCAAAAGTGGTATAAGATAAGAGATTAAATACAAAGAATTTCAAAATCAAAATCAGAATCAGTAAAGTTACTATAAAATCGATAAAAAAGAAAGTATTATGTTAATCTCAATTTATTCATTTATTATCATTTTACAAACTTGGCCTTATACATTTTGGAACATTACATTCATTGGACTAAATTGTTAAATTAATTCAATTTCAGTATCAGAAATTTTTCAACCAAATTTCTTACAGGGATATATTCAAAATGATGGTTCAAACCAAACATTTTCAGATGAAGTAAACTTAAAATCTTAAAATATACAATTTCAAAATTCTCCTACTGCATAAACTGGGACATGTAGTACTTTCGAGGATCTAAATGATGAAGTAAAATTATTAAATGTACCTAAATTTATATGGCACTTATGCCTTTCCTATCTGGAAATTTATTTCATACCGAGCTAACACTGATGGCAATCTGAGTACCAAAGATTACAATTAATGGTCATAAATTTTCCCTCGGTTTCAGTAATGAGAACTTCTCAAAACTAGTGTTCCAATCTATGAAAGTTTAACTAGTCATATCCAGTTCTTGTGAGAGTTTGATAGATGTCATCTCATGGTACCAACAATAAATGCATCATCTGGGGGTGTGATAAATGTGATCTAGCTTCTTTCAAACATGTTTCCAAGTCTGATTCTTTTCGGTGTAAGCTTTATGGTAATTAACCCATGATCTTATGTTTTATCTGTGTCACTTCTATTTTTGTTAGCTCCCACCATGATATAAATTATTTTGGGGGTTCCTGAAGTTAATTAGAAGTTCTTGAAATTAATTAGAAGAATTAGAAGAAACCTATCATATGTTTTATTAGTGTCACTTTTATTTTTGTTTGCTCCCACCAGGATGCAAATTATTTTGGAAGTTCTTGAGTCAGTGCTGCTGATTCACATGATTCTTCTCGCTCAGCTGTATTAGTAAGATTAGTAAGTCTGATTAATTAGTAAATTTTGCACTTTAAAGCAGGTTAGTCTTACCATAACGGCTCAATAAAATCACTTCAATACGTGAATAAATCAACAACCAAACTAAAACTATTTACAAGTTTATTAGATTAGTAAGATTAGTAAGTAAGATTAGTAGGATTAGTAAGGCTGAATTTGTTATTAGCAATAACTGCCTTAATCTTTTATTAGCTGTGTTGCTCTTGTATTTATAGAGTCAAAGCTTGATAGGATTTTCTTCTGTAAATTTCAAACATTAATTTTTTTAATAGTTTTCTGTTGGTTGAGATTCTGCAAGTAGCAAAGATTGATTTATAAGTAAAAGCCGTGCATTTTGCTAAGTTTAAAATTTTAATAAAAATATTTGTTTAAACCTTCTATTGAGTAGTGTTGCTTTACTAGGATGCTGTGATAAGTCACCTGACAGTCTCAAATGATACCAAGTTTAGCGAATATTCCCTTTTCATTATTTAGTAAAACTCAGAGACCCATGAAAAATGTTACAAATGAAAAACATAAAAAATAAGAATGTACAGAACTAATACAGCACTAACCAACACACTTAAAAGGATACTTGAAAGGACATGACTGCTGCCAAAACAGATATTAATAAAAAAAAACTTTGCCATACCTTAGAACCAAATAAAGTTTTCACTTAGGGATAACACAAGCACCATTTATTTAGGAAAAAAGATCAAAGGGGAGATCATACTTAAAGCATATTTATTAACAATAACAAATATTTTTGCTTAAAAATAGTGTAACCAATCTTTTTGGGTTTTCTCAAAATTTATATCATTTTATAAATTTGCATGTCAGTCTTAAATAAGATGTTCTCTAGTAGTAATGGGGATAAATACATATATTTCACATGTGCAATCTTTTGATTTGAATCCTGTCGCAAAGGCCAAAGAATGAAGCACTATTTTGCACTTTAAAGCAGGTTAGTCTAATAAGTCTTACCATAACGGCTCAATAAAATCACTTCAATACGTGAATAAATCAACAACCAAACTAAAACTATTTACAAGTTTATTTACATCATTAGCTATTTTAAATTCCTCTCAAAATGAGAGTTCAAAATCATTATTACCAACTTAATCGGTTCTTACAACAATTCTCTAAGAACAGAGTGCAACAGGATTGCCACTAAAGAAGAGTCTCCACACCTTTCATGCCCGAAGGCCACATGAATAAATTCACAAAGATCTGCGAGCCACACGTCTGTCAAAAAATTTATATACAAAAGTCAGAAAATTTATATAAAAAGGGGAGGTTTGTTTGGCAAGACTACAATTAATTTTAAGCGAAGCGATAGTGTTACAGATTTGTATATATATATATATATTATATATACAGTCAAAGTCGTTAATTCGGACCTCAAAGCTACAAACTTTCTGCGCATGCGTCTGTTTGACGCATGCGCGTAAGACCTTTACGGCTGCGAATATGCGTGTGTGCGCAAAATACGTTTACGCATGCGCGTTTAATGTATAACGGACGGTATAAGCTAAGCTAAAATTATCTAATTCAGTTAATGTTGCAGATTGCGTTGTTCCTTAATCTTCGAATTGGATCCGGCTTATTATTTTTTTGCAGACTGTTAGAGCAATTTTATAAAAGTAAGCTTGAACTTTCGATTATGTCAAATAGAATTTCTGATATATATTTACTAATATGTAAAGGATCTACAAAGCGAAAGTATGTTTCGAAGTCCATTAAACAAAAAGTGGAATTGCTGCAAAAAATGGATAAAGGCATATCATTTGTTTATCTAAACTTTAAGATACACTTTAAAACTTTGTTTATCTTAACTAATAACTTATGTTAAAGATAAACTTTGTTTATGTTTAACGCTGTGGTGGCGCGCAATGAATTGGAAGTTGATCTATCAGCACTAGCCTTATCTTCAGGGCAGATGTTTTTATTTTATTTGGCTTATAATTCCTTACTAAATGTAGTATTTCATCTCGATGTACTTCCGTCTTTGATATGATTTAAATCAAATTCCTCGTCATTATAATTAGCTTCCGATAGTGAAGAAAGTGACACAGAGGTTATTGAAAATGAAAAAATTTCGATTGACAAATTAGTCGGTATTCTCGACACAGCAATTATAGGACTTGAACAGCGGAACTTTTGTAACTGAACAAGAAATTATGTCTGTTTATAGAATTAAAGAGAAGTATTATCACATAAAAAACAAAGCAACTTATTACATTGAAAGAAATGTTTAATAAAGTAAACAAATAAATATTAAGCTTTTGTTTTTTGTAAATTTTGATACCCTTTAGATCATAATTGTTCTTTATTTCATAAATTACGGTTTCATATTTTTAATTTTATAATTTCTGCATGCCATCTTACCAGATTTAAACTAATGATCTATAATCCAGAAAAATCGATAATCCGGAGTCGCCGAAGTCCCGACGAGTCCGGATTAACGACTTTTGACTGTATACACATTGGTTCCAAAAAGTCAAATGGAAATCAAATTTAAATGCTTTGGAACATTTTTTAAGCATGGTGAAAAAAGTATACAGATGATTGCACAGAACGATGTTACAGAATGCATTTACAGTAAAAAAAGAAAATAAAAAAAAATTACGTTACTGGTGGGAGATTAATTTTGTCTTAAAAGCTTTCATAAAGTAATAAAGATTATGAACAAGTAGATCTTTTGCCAGTAAGCGGTAGTTCAAATCACTGAGATCATTTTTAGAAACTTTCATCTCAAATAATATCAGGCACGTCAATAAAATGCTTTAAATATCAAGAATGAGAATGAATTTTTTTTTTTTTTTTTCAACGAAAAGTTGACAAGGCAATTTTTCTTGAAATGCAAAATTTGACATTGCTTATTCTTGATTAAAGCTTCAGTATCTGGTTTAATCTTGTTGTTGCAGTCTGTAAAACGCTATTCACATATGTAGGTACTGCCAAAGATAGAAGACATGAAGGGTGCATGTTTACGAATTCCTGAATACTTGTTTTCAATCACATACTTCGAATAAAAATCAAAAATTGTAGGATTTTCAAGAAACTTGTATTTTACTGCAGAGTAACACTGAACATCTATAAATTCTAAATGAAGTTCAGGTGGAATACTTCCAACATCTACTGAAAATGGCGAGGATAACATCCTGATAAAAATTTCAGTTTAACAAAAATTAGAAAATCTGCTTTTGAATTCCTCTTTAAAATTTGAAATGCATCATACATAATTATTTGAATTCCATGTTGTAGAGTTCTTCACACACTCCATCAATTTTGGAAAGTCAGTGGAATTCTTATTTAGCAACTGACTGACAAAGAGGATTAATTTTGTCTCAAAAGCTTTCATAAAGTAATAAAGATTATGAACAAGTAGATCTTTTCCAGTAAGTGGTAGTTCAAATAATTGAGATCATTTTCAGAAACTTTCATCTCAAATAATATCAGGCGTGTCAATAAAATGCTTTAAATATCAAGAATAAGAGGGAAAAAGTTTTTTTTTTTTTTTTTTTTTTACTTTCTTTTTCTGATGAAAAGTTGACAAGGCAATTTTTCTTGAAATCAAAATTTCTTAAAATTCTTCAATGTTTCCTCAAATTCAAATGTGGGGCCATTAAAATGCCTTCAGCAGGACAGGGTTGAAGACTCCTACTCTAAAGTATGCAAAATCAAGTATTCACTTCAGCGCTACCTAACCGTCAAATCGGCAGTCACAACAACCTGTGAATTTGAGTACCAATCTGATCAGAAGTTCTTAGCTCCAGGTATGCAAAACACTAGTAAACAGCATGACATGGAAGAAAGAAATACAATACAAAATACCTATACAATTATGATAGAGACAACAAAGAAGTTTTCATCCAATATACCATTCCTTTACTGTTTATAAAATGAACTCAAAAACAATATTTGGTACATTTTCAAAAGACTACTGATCAAAGGATCAATTAACTCAGATTTAAGTTCCATTCGGATTCTTAATAAATTCTAGTTCTCCATGAAACGAGTCTATCATCACTTTGTGTGAACCCAGGATATTTTGGTTGCTTGTCTATTAGCAAAATAGTTTTGTGGTCCAGCTCCTCTAGTTTCATAATATTGAATGATTTTTAATAATAAACTTAAATTATCACTTTTATTGTACAATTTAATACATCATTCCAGTTAAACGATTCTAAACTTTACATGCAACAGAAATTATACAATGAGCTTAATGAATAATGTACAATTTCTTCAATATGAAACTACTTTTAATTATGCTTCAAAAAGGCTTGATGAGTTGGGTAAAGGGGAAATGTTTCAAAGCATTTTATTTTTCATCCCACAAAAATATCTCATTCTTTAACAATTAAATACAGAATATGAAGAATGAACCAACTTATTTCTTTCCTTCAGATCCTTTTAGCAATATTTATATTAATATTGCCATGTTATTGTATTTTCAGTATATATTAATAGTTGTAATATTAGACAAAATATCAGTTCCATTATTTTATTGTGGTTTTTATAGAATAATTTATAAATATGGGATACAATGATTATTCTGTAGCTATCATCATATACATCATTTCTGCAGTAAAGCTCCCTTCTCTCTACCTATGCAATGGAGCCTGGCATATGCCAACCTCCCCCCCCCCAAAAAAAAGAGCTCAAATGATATCTTCACAAGACATACATTGGACTGGAAGGACTTAATATAATAAATACTGAAAAATTTCCATAAAAATTACTAGCACAAGTTTAGTTAGACATGCAATTAAATGAATTTTTATTTAAATCAATTAGATTAACAATAACACACTGGTGTATGGAAGATAAAAAAAATATTTCTGGCAGTGTCAGAAACTTCTTTTAAATAGTTGAGTTCATTAATTATGTTTAATACTACTACTAATAATAAAAAAACAAAATATCTTACTCTTTGCTGGATGGCAACATACTGATGCATGGATTACAAAATTATTTTATTTTGAGCAGTGGCAACAGGCAGCTTTCAAATCACTTAGTTAATAAAATATTCCTTAAATTTACAAAAGATATAAAATAAATAAAAACAGATAAAAAATTCAAATTTGGGCTTCAAGATCTCCATCTTGAAGCCCAAATTTATCTATGTGTGCTCAAAATTTAGTACCTCTAAGTGCTGCCATTTTTTCACAGTGACAGGAACATTCATACATACATACATATAGATTCTTTATTATTTAATAGAAATGAAATTCTCTACATGAAGCAGTTTGATTTTAATTTTGTTTAATAAATTTAAGAAAAATGTAAATCAGTTTTGGCTAAAAACAGTTACTATAAAAATATACTATGGTTTATTAGTCCAAAGGGGTTTTGTCCCTGAAGGACTATTGTTTTTATTTTATGAATTTGCGTTGAATCACTATAAATATTCCTTTCACTTTTCAAACTGTTGCCACCAAATGTTAGTCCTGCATTATATTTGAGCAAATTAAATAATGAAAAATCTGCATAAATGTATGTATATTTCTTGCATTGTGATAAAAGAACAATACGTAGAGCCATCGAATTTTGAATGACATAATCCTCCTATGAAAATGTGCATGTGGAAGACCAAATTTGGAATTTGTTTTATTATATATATATATATATATATATTTGCAAAACTTTAACGAATTTTTGGGTAACAAACTCAATGATTTAAAAGCGAGCAATGGCAACACTACAAAGATTAAATATGGTTAGACTGCCTAGAAAATGATCTCCTGTTCTTAAAAACCAAAAACTGGAAAATGATAGTGGGTAGAAGATTGGCCTGGGAAACACTTCTAGAGCAGGCCTGTGCCCACCCTGGGCTGTTGTGCCATTGAGGAAGGAAAGAAGGAAAAGATTAAACAAGAAACAAAACAGTTTAAAAGTACTGTAATAATATGAAAGAAAACTTACCTGATAAAGAATTAGTTTCACTCTTTACATCTTCTGAAGAACAGATTAAATGGCACAAATAAAACATTTTTAGTTTCATCTCAACATCACTTCTGCAAACAATAGCAAGAAATTGAAGAAACTCTAAGAAGCTCAGCATGTTGTCCTGGTTGTCATCTATTAGCTAAAAATATAAATAAATTAATAATAAGTAATTATATATGAAACTATGGAGGAAAGATTTAAAATGCATTTCAACCAAAAAATCAAGAATTACTTTGTTTACATACACATTTCTAAGGGGGGAAAGGTTGAGAAAGGAAAAAAGGTTTCCTAGGAAGTAAATGTTGAGCAAGTGAAGATCATTAATAAATAAGTATCAAGCCTTCTGTAAAATTTTTTCAAAGATTTAGTTATATGGATTAGGGCAAAGTATTAAATGAGGGCTGTCGACTCAAAGGAAGTGATGTCTTCCTGGAGGCCTTTTAAAAGAAGCATAGCATGTATTCACATTACACATGGGAAAAATCATATAAACTCCTATACAGCCAGCCCATCTTCTGGAATTGGAACCCTAGCCAAATTACCAGTATTCAGCTATCTTATTGTTCAACCACTAGTGGGGAAATTTTTTCAAATTAATAAAACAACTTAAATTAATAAAAGTTTCAAGATATCAAATAAATATGTTTTTAATTCTTTTGTAATAACAAACTGCAAACAATCGGCAAATTAAATACAGCAAATTTTCAAGCTGTCATTCATCAAGAGTATTTTTCATAACTTAATATATTTCTTTTACGTGCTGGCTCACAGAGAAAAATGCAACACTATGAAAGAGTGAGTAAAATGTGATGAAAATCGGTAAACAGACATCTAATGCATATATAAACAAGCAATTTTAATTTTGATACCATAATATAATACAACGATATAATGTAAACAGTGACAGTAAAAAACAGGGTTACCTCTAGTGCCAACACAGGAAGCAATCAGCATGCAAAAAATGTCGAAATTTGGATGACCATATATTTCAATCATCCTCCAGTTCATCCTCTGATTGAGGAACAAGTGAACAGCAACCAGTTACATCCCCCAACACTGTGCTTAGTGCAATCCGCTGGAGCACTTCATCCACATATCATTGTGCTGTCACTGTTTCACTGATATGAAACAGATGTGACTATCTGTCTACGGTGATGATCCCAAACCATGATGCCACACTGCTCAGCAGCATGGCATTCAACAGTCGAGGAAGCATTCTACCTATCCCCTATGTCATCTCCACTCTGTTATTCAGTAATTCACAAAATAAACTGGTCATCAAAATTAAAGGATAATGACAGAAATACAACATAACTGATACTTAATGAGAAACTATTAATAGAATTTTGTACAAAAGCATTAGTTAACATAAATTACAATGTTTTGTAGTTGATTATTAATAAAATATTGAAATTAAAGCTAAATTTATGGAAACTGGGAAAATTAAGTCACCTCTTGCAGAAAATTTTTTTCTTGATATGGTGCATGGCCACATTGGACAAATATGCATACCTTACAACTTTATTTCATAGACTGCACTTGATCAAGCCTTGTGGAACTGCATTGCCACTCTTCTAAAAGTGCACTTTTCAAGGTTCCGAGGAGGAATTTTGCACCCTAAAATTCAGCATCCAGAGGCATCCCAAACATGTTCAAGTGAGTAATGTTGCCAATCCATTAGAGTGATATCTTCTGTTATCAAGTATTCTGATGCCACATATGCTCGATGCAGCTGAGCATTGTCATCCATTAGCAAAAACTGCGAGTCAACAGCATTCCTAAACAGTCTAACTTCGGGTTTCAGTACCTCATCCACATACCTGAGTGGTCACAGAACCTCTTTGAAAGATATGCAATGGTGTGGCTATGCCATGATTCCTTCCCAAACCATTAAACTGTGGTCGAGGAAACAGGATATTTCACGGATAAGGGAAGGCTAGTTCCATGTTCCTTCCTCTCTCCAGATCAAAACACAACTAGAATCACTCTTCACACTATATCTGGACTTGTTAGTAAACAATACTCGGGTCCAGACATCTTGACATCCATGGAACATGATGGCACCAGTTTAAACAGGCCCCTCTGGGAGATGGTGTGACTGGGGCACAAACTATTGATTTTCTTGCATACAATCCAACTTCATTCAGCCTTCATGCAGCTTTGGAACAGCTAACTCGAGTTCCTGTGGCAGCCTGCAGGTCTAAAACCAAATCTCTTTCAATTGCTTCATGGTTTCTTCGAGCAGACAGTGACAGAATAATAATCTTCTGATATAGCTGCTGCTTTTAATTGCCGTTGACCATGCTGTCTCTCAACTGACCTAGTGTTTAAAAAGTGGCTCCAAACTCTTGATACGATACACTGAGGGAGATTCAGATACTGGGCAGCCTCCATTTGTATTTGACTTCCTTCGATTCTACCAATTATTTGCCACTTTTGACCTTCACTTATATAATGCTTTAGCGTCATAACTACTGAATACTGATCACTCTCAGAAACCACACTCACTTTAAACAACACTACAGAGTGGAATTCTAAAATGCGTTCAATGCGCACAACATTGTCAATTACCAAATTTGCATATTCCTGGCACTAACATATGCACAGGAAATGCAAGTTTGTGTTCAATTGTATTTAATTAACATAAATAATTCCAGCATTGTGCATTGGTTGCAATTTTAACTGAGTAAGCATATTTTTTATCATTATCCTTTTATTCTGATGACCAGTGTAGAAATGAGACTCATTGTTGTTCCCTGTGGCATTCAGTTGTCAAGAAGGCTCAGCTGCAACCCCACTGCAATTATTGGTGTCAAAAACTTTACATTGGTGTCTTTCCTTCTCTTTAAACTCACAAACTTATAACATAGCATACCTACACTTTGGATAATTTACATAAATTTTTCAATTGCATATTTCTTGCAATTTGCATAATTAATCCAATCAGATCTTAATGATGTTGCATTTTTTGTCTGGTAGTATATAAATATATATATATATATATTCTCACCTAGGGAGGAAGAAAACCCACTCTCACCTTAAAGATACGAGCGCAGAGAACTTTGGCGTTTTCTCCTCTTCCCCAAGGAGGTAATAAATTGAAAAATATTCTGAAAAGATCATAATCAATCAGGCACTGCTCGTAAAAAGGCATTGTGGGATCATACTTCTCATGACCATTGCAAACAACTGCCGGGCTCCAATACAACTGGCGAAGCTGTTCTTCCTAAAATAGATAGAAATGTCTACTCAGTCTAATTTAACTTACTTAGTTCATAAAACATGTTTTAATAATGTATTTAAAGGGAAATATAAATCCAATAATTGATTGTAACAAAATTTAATACACAATTATAAGGATAACAATATATATATGTGTGTGTGTGTGTGTGTAAGAATTAAAATAGGAAAGCTAACTTCTAATTTTAATTGGCTATAACCTCTTTTATTTTTCATTTAATTTGTGGACTCATCTCTCTCTGTCTTAAAAATAGCGCTATAAATCTAAACTACGTCATTCAAATTAATCATGCGATATTACGTAACCCTTATTGCAGATATCTCTTGCTCAATCAAAGCAATATGTAAACAAAAACCATTTTTGACTCCCTCCCTTCTTCTTTTGAAGTACTGTGACACTCTCTCTTCCTGCTTATGCTTTCATCCTGTTAAGATGCTGCAGCAATCTTCTATGTTCACTTCTATTAAAATAATTTCAAAATTGGTTCTGGAAATAAGCACGATTGGAGTGCCAAGTGAATTGAGCTCACAAAATGTAAATTTAAATAAACATGGAATTTAATCTGGCTTGACTGCTTATTCTTCAAAATGGATGGACAATCTAAGCATCAAGTATCTACGCTAAATAACATTGCTACACTTCTACATCTCAGTGTTCTTATTTCAATGCTCCCAAATTTGTTCTAATATTAAACACAGTACAAAGTCCGAAATCCGGACATCCATTATCCGGATTGATCTAAAATCCGGACCTCAAAACCACCAACAACGGTTCTTTTCGTAGGCTTTACGCATGCACATTTGATTCCTCCCTCCGTGCACAATACAACATCTGGAGTGTCCCGATTCTTAATTTCACTTCAATGCTAAATAAAATACCTTGTTAATGAAGAAATAATCACTTTAGCATAAATTTGTACAATCAGTAATTTGGCTCCGTTGCTCGGTATCTGTTTTGGCACACATCTCAAACTGAAACATTCCACATAGATACATCGTTGATCTGATGCCAACCTGGTGAATCATTCTTTATTATACTTCCTATCATCACCGCATGTTTATCAAAACATGACAACTTGAGTAATGACTCATGTATCGATGCCTACACAATTTTTTTATGTTAGTAATTGAACAATAAATGAGTATGGTAACCTTTTATGTTGACACTACATTTGGCGATGATTACAGATTTAAGTTAAATGCACTAAAAAATGTTGATGATGAAAAATTTACTAAAAGTTTCTTTCCATATGCTAAAAATAGATTCTGTTGATGATACCCATAGACCCAAAGATTACATTTAGTATATGTGGGAATTTATTTATTCAGAACTCAGAAAACCTTAAGCATAGACATAAGTATAATAAATAACTAAACTAATACAATTCAGGCTTAACTGTCTCAGTGCGCGATTGAAGCAAGGTAAAATTTAACGGAACAATTTCTCATTAGTCGCCAAGCTCGTGATGCATAACCAAATATGTATAGTGAAGGATAGCTAAATTTGATGATGATAGCCACTAATTTTAAAGGTGTTCAGATATCGCAAAACAAAGGTGAAATTTTCTAATTAACAGATTTTGTAAAGAAATGTAGGGAAGCAGTAATAAATGAAGATGATATAAAAGAAGTTTTTCATTGTGATGACAATGCTTCTCTATCTCAATCAATTAATGAATGGCGAAATCTGTAGTATGGTTCTAGATCCAGAAAATATCACTACCGATAGTGAAGAAAATGACAGAGAAGTTACTGAAAACGAGAAAATTTTGATTGACAAGTTAGTCGGAATTCTTGAAACAGCAATTACAGGACTTCAACAATGTAACTAAACAAGAGATTATGTCTGTCTACAGAATTAAAGAGAAAGTATTAGCACAAAAAAACGAAGCAACTTAAACAACTTGCATTGAAAGAAATGCTTAATAAGGTAAACAAATAAATATTAAGCTTTTTTTTTTGTAAATTTTGATGCCCTTCATACATAAATATTTCATAAATCATAAATAATTATTCAAATCATAAATACTTCATATTTCATAAATCACGATTTCATATTTTTAATTTTATAATTTCTACATGCCATCTTATTAGATTTAAACTGATGATCTAATATCCGGAAAAATCCCAAATCTGAAATCACCGAAGTCCCGACGAGTTCGGATTTCGGACTTTGTACTGTATATATATATATATCTATGCTTAGTGCAGAAAACCTACTTATCATTATACCTACAGGTGACTGATTTCTGTAGATAGATTTGAATCTGATTAGACTGTTTTTTATTGCTTTACCCCTATGTGTAACATGAAATGAACAAACTACATTTAATCCTTGATAAAGATATCAATGAAAATAGTTATGTTTACTAAACAGATGTAAGAGATACATGCTAATTTCAGCTTGCTAAACTTTTAATACTGAAGGTAAAATTTAACTTCAGTTTCTTTCTAACTTCAAATGTACAGGCTCACATGTATTTTGAGATGCAACTTAAATGTACAGGCTCACATGTATTTTGAGATGCAACTTGAATGTACATAGTACAGTGCTGTCTCGGGGTACATCCACTTTGAAATAGGTCCAATATGGTATACGTCCTATATGGACAAAATATTTTTGTTTGGTATATGATACTTGTTTGGAATATGACTTAAGTTTGATGATTCATGACTGCAACAACTACACTTGTTTATCTCTTTCAAGATAATACAAAGACTGGCCATCAGATGAAGTGCACCTGTACTATTCAGTAAACAACTCACATTATAACTGAATTTTCAAGTGATTTTGCACTTTTTTGTGTCAATTTTTGCATATTTAGTAACAAATGGTTTTAAGAAAATTAATGAGAAGAGTCAAGCAATGAAGAAAATTATTAGGATCACCATGGAGGTGAAAAGGAGATTGTTGAAAAGCACAGAGATGGCATGCCCATCCAGGACTTGACTACTTCATATCACATGGCAAGTAAAATGGTGCCCATGATCGTGAAAAACAAAGACGCTTTTAAATTGATTAACATTGCAAAGGAAGTGAAATCAATTACCAAACAAAGGTCAGATATGCAACAGCACTTTGAAAAAAATCACTTTTGATCTGTGGAGCAGAAAATCATTTACGTATGGTATGCATGCTACTAAAATTGACCAACGTTGCGAAGGGGGTGAAATCGATTACCAAATAAAGATCAGACATTAGACTAAGGGCTCACAACCCTATACCTGCGGGCACAATGGCGTCTGCCAATCGTTTAATGTGTGCCCCCCACTGTGTGATCACAATAAAAATTTTTTAGTTTTCAGTAAAATTCTATGTGAAAGTTTTCTCATTTTTAATGAAATAGAAATTACATTCAACACCGATACAAGAACAAAGCAAAATGGGATTGATCTTTTTTTTTCACATGCACATAAAACCAGCTATAAGTCCACCTTGAAAAAGTAAATTGTGCCTGCCATCGAACAGATATTCTAGGATGTGCTCTTAAGGACAAAAAGGTTGGGGACCCCTGGCGTTAGACTTTTTGAAAAAGCACTTTTGATATGGATAGCAGAAAGCATTTGTGTACAGTATCATGTACAGTGCTTCATTTGCGTTCAGTACATATTTCACCTACTGCATTTGTATTTTAGTGTTAAACAGTATAATAAGATTAACAATAGGGTTTAAGAATGGATTAATTATTTTCTCTTTACTTCTTATCAGAAAAGTTCATTTGGTATACATCCAAGGATCTGGAACAGATTAATGACATATGCCAAGGTAACACTGCATATCAAAATAAAATGAGACTTTTTCATTTTAAATTCATGCAAAACTAAGGATGAATTTTGTCTAATTTAAATTTTGTCTAATAAATACCCTATATATTCTGAAGTCATTGCCTACCCAATATTTTTTCATATATTACTGCTAACCTTAAATTAAAAAGAAATATAAATATGTAATAAGATAATCTGGTGAAAGAAAGTTGGAACGGATTGACGATGGTTCTCTGCATTATAACTTGAAGAGGCTTTACTGCATAGTTAGAAAGATGACACTTGAAGACAGACATGCAATAGAAACAAACTTAGACGTAATAGACAGCAGGAATTTTGATGGCGTAAAGATGTTGAAATGTCAATCCACAATGAATAAGAAATTTGGCAGTCGAGGCAGATTTAAGTCACCTTTAATTTCAGCAAACAAGTTGTGGCCACAAACAAGTTGGCACCTTATTTATGCCTATTTCAAGAGTTTACATTTTTGATAAATTTGCAGTAAGAAAGAAGAAGCAGACAGACTGCAGTCCAGCTAGGCCAAAGTGTAGAAAGAAGTGCACTATATTCAGAGTAAAACCTTTATTCAGACGGATTTAGTTTTGGCTCTCGAAAAATTTTGATTGGATAGTTAATACTGCTGTAAAATTACTATTGGCTATTAGAATTTTAGTTCCATTTACATCAACAGAATTATGTAAGAGTCATATGATATGGATTAATCTCAAAATGAAGCAGTGCAGAGAGATTGCTATTTTTAGAATAGAGAAAGGAAATTAATTTGCGCTGCTAATTTCATCCTTTACAAATTCTTTATTTTTCTTACACACACACACGCATATATATATAATTTTACTTTGTAATTCTCTTTTTGTGTTACTCTTATACTTTGCTCATCTGATCATATTTTTTAATGCAAAATACGATTGCAAAACCAAGAGTCAGAAAATTTAGTCCAATCAAATAATTTTGTTAATATGCAAAATATTATTCCATTATATAAATTTTTAAAAGTCAATTTTTTACATCAGTAAAAATTAATTTTTTTTTTTCCCGTAAGAAAATATTTACACTTTTAAAAGTTAATTTTTTACAATATTAAGAAATTTTATTACCTTTTTTTTTTTTTTTTAAGTAAAAAAAGCAGTATTATACAGTTTTAATTTTACAGTATTAACCATTTAAAAATAATTTTAAACAATAGTAAAATTTTATTTATAAGAAATCTGATACTTACTTTTTAAATCCTCAAAATGAAATCAATAAAATAAATATTAAATTACATGCACTTTTAAATAATTATTTAGACCAATTAATGAAGATGAAAGGATATGAAATATTAAAAAATACATCTCAAGCTACCTTTATAAAAGTATACACATCATCTACTTCTTGCTGTGAGAAAACTGATTTGACTAGATCATCATAAAAAACACTTCGAACAATATTTCGGCGGTTTGTGTCTTCCAGTTCCTAGATATAGTTTTAAAAGATATTAATTTACTTTACATGGCAATATAACACAAAGTAATATTTATCTGCAACTAAAATACAAATAATATAACTGAAAATAAATATGCAATAACACCATATGTATAACATACTTACCAAAAAAAATAGTATTTTTTATAATATATTCATACACAAAAACAAAACAAAAAAGAAACATTGCTATGCCATTTTGTAACACTATGTAGAATTTCTACTTCCATATTTAGAGTAAAAACTGTATCATGTCTTATCTGTTTCAAGAAATTTCATTCACTGGTTTTTATGCTTATGATGTCCAAATATTATGGGGATGGAATATTCCAGAATCATAAACGTGATTTGAGATTTTATTTTCAAGCATGTTTTGATATTCCCCCCTTTTTTAAGCAAAATAAAACCACTACAAGGGAAACATTCAATATTAAAAATTCATAAATCAAGTTTACTTATTTGCCATGATTGTTTACATAAGTTTATACTGGAAGAAATCTAGGCAATATATTTTATAGCCGGGATTCCCAAAGTGGTCGATATCGGTTTCCTAGGGGTCAACATAAATGAAAACTGATTTTGGGGGTCGACGAGGTCTAAAAATCGACCCCCTATTAAATTAACACAAGTTCTTATTTAAAACTTTCAAGATAGGTAGGTACTGTATTGTTTATGTTGTGTTACGTGTACTAATAATAATTAATATTTTTGTAGGAAACAGCATTGTTGTAGTAATGTAAAGCCTCAAGTTCGTACAAGATGAAGAACGGCAAGTCTGTGTGGACAAGTTTGTGCAAGATAATGAGTTCGAGCGTACGTCTTTCAGGTGCGTTTTGACTTGCTCTCTATTTGATGCTTATGCGATTTAACAAGAACGAATTCATGATCAAGTCCAAACATGTTCCTGATATTTTACTATTTAACGAGCTTGCACTTAGGTTGAAAGTTAATTTGCGTTTTGAAATTCGTTGGAGCTTGAACGGTAATAACTCATATAAGTACTCATTTATTTCAAGAGATTAAAAGTTATTACATAGCTAATTAAGTGAAGTAAAGTGACTGATTACTGAGAGTTTTATGATGGCGGACACGAAAAAAAAAATGCAGACAATACAGTTTGGACTACTTGAAGTTCGGATTTATTGCATCTCCATCACATCAACACTTGCCGATGTGTCTCGTATGTGAAAAAGTATTCAGTAACGATGCCATGAAGTCTTCAAAAATGGATGACAAGAGTACATGCTGACAAAAAAAGTAAGCCCTTGTCATTTTCAAGCACTTAAAGAAAAACTAGACAAAAGGCCATCCATAAGATCGATGTTTGCGTCATCATCTATTAAAGACGAAGATGGTTTACGAGCATCCTATAATATATCTTTACTAATAGCGAAGTCGGGGAAACCCCACACAATTGGAGAGCAGCTTATCTCTTACCAGACACTGCGGAGGTCCTTAACAATGTATTGCACAAACCCGCACATGATATTTTAAAGAGAATACCTTTGAGCAATAACACCGTTCAGAGACGCATAGACGAGATGGGACGCGATGTGGAAAACATTTTATGCAAGTCCTTACAGACCAACAGATTCTCTCTCCAGTTGGACGAGTCTACATTACCTGGCAATGAAGCTCTGTTGTTAGGATATGTTCGATTCATCAAAGATGAAAATATGTGCCAAGAACTGCTTTTTGCTACATATTTAGAGACTGATACCAAAGGAGAATGGATTTTTCAGGCCGTGGAACATTTTTTTACTGACAAAGCTATTCCATGGAAAAACATTGTTTCTGTTACGACTGATGGTGCACCGTCTATGGTTGGTAGTCATCGTGGTTTTATAGCTCACTTAAAGTGACAACTGCCTGATGTACTGGTCATTCACTGTGTGACTTATCGCTTTTCCATCATCACACCTAGTTGAAAAAAGCTTCAGTGTGGTAACAAACATTTTGACGAAACAAAGAAACCGTTTGAAAGTCAACCAAAGTGGAGATTTAAGGCTGCAACTCAGATAGTTACCAGGTTCATCCATCATACTGAATGTTTTATTTTCTCTTTGTGAATTAATACTTTTTTAAATATAATTTCCTACCTACTTAAGATTCTTTAAGTACTTAATTTGTAATAATAATTATAAATTAAACTTGATATTTACTGAATTGCATGTCTTTTTATTTTGTTAAATTTTGATGAGAAAATGAAGTCAACTTTACTCACTAAGTGCAAAGTTTCCCAATTGGTACTTTAGTACCTAGGTATTTTGTATCAATAGGAAAAAACTAAAGATAAGCCCCCTTATTCATAATTAGTCTGCTAACTTAAAGCATTGCTAATTCTCACTCTGTCTTCTTCTATTGACCTAAGTCAGAATGAAAAATAACACTCTGTAGCTGTTTTAAGTTAGTGGATCATTAAGAATAAGGGGGTTGATCTTAAAAGTAGGTAATTTGGCCATGGGCGTCTGAGGTAACAGTTCATTTTGGAAAAGGGGTCACTTGTCCAAAATAGTTTGGGTTTCCCTGTTCTATAGCATGCTTACAACTGATACACACAACTGTCATTCACATGGAAATGGAATATTCTAGCAAGAACATTGCACCTTTCACATGTCCAACCAGCATAAGCATTCAACTGACATCTTTGCCAAACTGTCTACCTAGAAGCCTTGACTTAAATCCTACTGCACACCTTTCAGATGTTATGGAGAGAGGTGTGAAATCACATCATACAACTCTAGCAATTCCTGAATTATAGACAGCTAGAAACCTTCCTGAATTATAGACAGCTCTAGCCAATGTTTGGCAAGTCGTTCCTGTAGAATGCTTCCACAAACTTACTGAATCTATGACTCGTTCATGTGGCAGCCATTATAAAAGCTATAGGAGGCCCAGCTTGTTACAGACTTGCTATTCCTAATTCAATGGCACTTCAGCATATTAACAAAGAGATTAAAACATCACACCTTCATACCTAAGGTGGGTGTGGAACTAATAAGGTAAATATGAAAGCTTCAAAATTTAACTGCAGTAAAAAACTGTTTGCAAGCATAATAAGCACTAGACCATATTAAAACTTTAAAAAAAAATATACTTAAATGAACTTCTTAACATAAATGAACATAAATTCTTAAAGCTACAGGATACAATAAATATTAAGACAAATTCAAACTTGGAGGATGCACTTAAATGAACATTTTAGCATAAATGAACACGAATTATTAAAAGCACTTTATTTAATGACACTAAAACATTATCGAGCCAGTAAATAATTACAAGAGGCCTTTTTAATATATGTACATCTTTTTCAACTAAAGAAATCATTTTCTGAAATAGCTCACTGTAGTGCTTGAATAACATGAAGATTCCCCTGAAGTAAGTTATTATTCTTCAAGAATAAGAAAATGACATAAATAATTCTTTCTACTCTATGCATTTCAATAAATAATATTATAAAGCACAGTGCAAAATCTGAGATCCAGACGTCCAATATCCAGAATTATCTAAAATACGGACCACCACCAAAAATTTTTTTAGGAATTTTTTTTTATGCTTTAGGCATGCACATTTGATTTTTGATGTCCATTACACAAAAAGTGGAATTCCTGCAAAAAATGGATAAAGGTATATCCATCTCAAAATTATGCAAGGAATCATTGGAAAGTCAACTGTATATGACATAACAGAAAAAGGAACTTATGAATTTTTGTAGATTCCGACACCCCACTCACAATGAATAACAGAAAAATTATTTGCTATGCTAAAAGGGACAATCATGACAAAGTGATGATCGAATGGTCAGACATAAAGGCAGTGAGGGCGTGCCATTGACGGGTCCAATGCTAATGGCCCAAGCCAAAATATTTCATGAAGAAATGAACTTCAAAACTGAGTGCACATATTCAATAGACTGGTTAACCAAATTTTAAAATCTCTATGGTGTAATGCAACTAAAAATTTCAGTTGAAAATGACTTGAAAATGATTATCTCCAGGACAAATTTACAACGTGGAGGAAACTAGTCTTTTCTGGCAATATGTACCACAAAGTACCTTGGCAACCTCTATAGAAAAGACTCCAATTGGTGTCAAAGATTTCAAAGCTAGATTAGTAATTTTAGCAGGCGCAAATGCTGCAAGAACGCACAAGTGTCAACTTTTCGTAATCGGAAAAATACGCAACCTGCAGCATTTAAAAGAGTAAAGATTTTCCCGTTATATATCATGCAAATAAAAGAGCACAGATGACACAATTAATGTATGATTAGTTTGAAAATCATTTCATACCCAAGACTCGGCAAAATTTGAATTCGGCTGGTTTACCTGATGACACAAAAATTGTCCTGACTGTAGATAACTATTCGGCTCATATTTCATTTAAAGTTTTAATGAAAGATAATGTATTCATGTTATTCATTCCTCCAAGTCCTTCATTCAGCCTATGGATACCAGAATAGTACGTGCACTGAAGTGCAAATATAAAGTCGCATTTTAAAAATCCATGTTAAATTACTTGAATATTGGCAAGACGTTTCAAAAATTTAAAAAATATTTTAGTCTGCTGTGTGGAGCAGTGCAAGATTGGTGGGAGGATTTGCCTCCAGATACTTTAAAAAATACTTAGCATAATTTATGGGCAGCTATCCATATTTAGAATTGAAGAGAAAGTATTAGCACAAAAAATAAAGCAATTGAAACAATTTACATTCAGAGAAATGTTTAATAAAGTAAATAAATAATTATTAAGCTTTTTTTTTTGGTAAATTTTGATACCCTTTAGATCATAAATACTTCATTATTTCATATTTTTAATTTTATAATTTCTACATGCCATCTCACTAGATTTAACTGATGATCTAATATCTGGAAAAATCCCAAATCTGGAATTGCCTAAGTCCCGACGAGTCCGGATCTCGGACTTCGTACTATATTAATTATCTTAAAAATAATATTGAGTTCTTTTAACACAATTCCGGAAAAGGCTTTCATATTTGTAAGTGTATAGTGTCTCTGTAGCATGGCAGCACTTAAAATATATGAAAAACCATATGTTCTCTCAAGTGGATTGATGGTAAAAGAGGAGGGGTGACAGACACTTGGACTGGAAGATTCTCTTCTAAATTTGACATTGAATTGTGCAAAATGGTATTGTCATCTATAAAGTCCCTAATGTCAATTACAGACACAGCTTTTTCTCATGATAGGATTCGTGGCCTTGTTCTGACATTACTTTCAGAAAAGTGAGGAAGTCAAAACTACAGGCTGTTTCTACATGAATTAGCATGTATTTCTATAGCTGATGATTTTAAAAACTTTAATTAAAATCAAATTCTAATTTCTCATTAAATGAAATGCATACATCTATCTAAAAATTAATATAAAGAAAAATTATTATTTCTGCTTTACAGTTAGATATATAACACATTTAATAAATTTTAAAGCACCAGTACTTCTCTTCTCTCCTGATATAAATATTTCCTTGATGATTATGAAAAGAAAATAATTTCTGATCATACTTACTTGAAAACTGATGCATGACCCCCTCCAATGGTGGGCACTTGCCTATAATGGCATTATTCACTGCTAAGGCCAGATGTGGTGGCCATTTAATTGTAGAGGCACCTAATAGGTGGCCACCATTACCTCCTACGAAGGAACAGACAATTTTACATCCATGTCTTCTCCGGGATTTGACCCCGGGCCCTTTGGTATCGCAATCAGCTCCCTTAATCACTATACCATCGGTGCGGCAAGTACACCAATGTTTCATGTACACACAAAATATTGTACAAATGTAAGCATTCCATTAATAAAAATGCTTATTTTAATATTTATAAATACAATTAAGAATTGTATTGTATTAACAGTATTAAAAATACCATTTCTTTTTTTGAAATAATTACAATTTTTAGTTTTTAAAAATAATTTAAAATAAATGAATTTTCTAGACTAACTCTGATTATTTTACAAAATATGTCCCTTTACTTTTTCCTCATTACTTACTCATTACTTCTTATTTACCCTCAGAGGATAAATGAATATTAAATGCTTGCACCATCCAAAATAAATCTGAACTTCACTCAAAAAGCACTTTTAATAGTCAAATAAGTATAATAATACTTGAAAAAGTTTAGGCAACTTACTTGTACAACCCTCAGCCTTTGTTTCATTCTTAACTGTTCGATTATATTATTTGTAATAAAACCATAATGAGCATATGCATCTTTTATGAGTTTTCTTACATGAATCCTCTGCAATAAAAAAGGAAATAAATCGAAAGAATTAATGATTTCTAACTCTGTCTGATTTAAATAAAATTTAAAAGCTAGAAAAGAAAATGATATTCCTCCTCAAGTTTTTAACTATCAAAGGAAAGTGAAATAATGACAATGTATAACACAGTTCAAAAATTACAAAAAATATTCTTAAACTGTTACTAAAATGAGACATACATAATTTATAAATAAACTGTATTTACTGTTTTCTGAGATACGTAACTCATCAGCAGACTGTCATTAATTTATAAATAAATGTAATTTATTATTTTCTGATATACATTACTTCCAATCTGTAACGTTTGGTTTTTCATTTGATATGTAACAATTGCATAAAGAAGTTTTTTCATTTTATAATGTAATAATTGCATAAAGAAGCAAACTTTGCTCATCCACATGTAAAATATGTATTTACAAATAGCTTTTAAAATACAGGTATATTCCTATCTTAATGTTGACTAAAAGAATAATGTTCAGAAAAATACAAGTACTACATTTAAAATCTGTAATATGGAGCTTTTAATTCTTCATTTGCTAGCTATAACATACTGTAGCTATGTACACTGAGCAAAAAAAAGGGGGGGACAATTCTATATCTCCCATTCTACTGGGCCGATTGATGAAATTCAAATTGCATTTTTCATGGTCTTGAAAGTGCAACTTAAAACTTAGGATATATATTAGATATATATACAGCATTGTTTTAATATAGGTATTTTGACACAAAATCGGACTTTTTCTCAAATTACATGACAATTTTTTCCATATTTCGATTGTACGACTCAAATTATGCTTAAATATTAAATTTTTAAAAATTTGGTACGAAATTTATGGAGAAATTCAAAAATTTTATCTTGGTTCATTTTTTTCAGTTTGCACCAAAAATAATTTACTTGGTGAACTTCTTAATATACAGCAACCTATTTTTATTTCCTTTTTTTCACTGCACACAAGCAGAAATAAAAAAGTCACTGTTCATACTTTTAAATAATTTCAACAAAGTGCATAAACCACATTTTGACGTTATTATCGCTTATAACGAATATGCCAAATTTCAAAAACGTGCCATAATGTAAATTCACGTATATCTTAGTAAGTTTTGAATAAAAAACTTTAATTTTTTGCAGATGTGCTTAGAAATACATCTACTTTAAGATGATGGTAAAAAATCTATAGGATATAACTCAAAATTTTTTCGAAAAATTTAAAAAAAATATATTTAAAAATACAAATTTTAAAAATAAATCGTAAAAAATGGGCGAATTTTATTTGGAATGAACTTAAATTTCGAAATGTGAAAGTAAGAATCATGTTTAATAAAAAAAAAAAAAAAAAAAAAAAAAGAGAGAAATATGAATAAATATATATCAAATTCAATTAACATTGAGGATCTAAAATTTTTCACTTTTGAGGCATGAAAAACGTAAGCTGAATTTCGTCAATTGGCCCAGCAGAATGGGAGATAAAGAAGTGTCCCTTCCCCCTCTTCTTTTCACAGTTTACACAGCTCCATAACAATAATTACTTTTTAAATAAATATTAACTTTTTCTAAAAATACTAGCTCTTTGCACATTTCACAAATAATTTTAAAACTACTGTCTTGATAACTATGTAAGAAAAGGCGCAAAACGAAAGAAAATGTGGAGATATCTGCTTCATACTTTATCACAATACATTACCTTTAACACTGTTATTAATAACTGTATTTTATGAAGCTAATCAATCAAAGACTATTTATGTCATGATTTACGATTTCAGAGTTAAATTAAAAAGAGTTAAGGAGAAATTACTGCTTATCTCTACATTCAAAACTGAGTAGATAATACTGAGAATTCAAATAACCAGTTGTGAACTGGTTATTTGTATTAAAGTACAAACTTCTAAGAATACAACTAATATACCAGTTGTGAAACAAAATATCTACAAATCTACCAAACCAGTTTAATGAATAATCAATAATTTTTATTCAGTTCTTCATATAAAATCAAAACTTTAAACATCACATGTATAGTAAAAATCTAGTTACCTAATTTACTTTATAATAACATTATCATTATTACAACTGTTTTTTTTAAATGCCCAAAACTTTAGTGTCGCTAGCCAAGTTTTTCACCAATATAAAATCTAAATTTGCTAGAGGAAAAATTCCATTCATGATAGCCTTTGGAGGTTATTTAGAATTCAAATAAAAATTATTCATATACAATTTTACTCCACATAATGAATGTTTTTTTATATAAAACTACAATTAAATGCCATTATAAGGTCAATAGGAAAATTTTCTTCCAATTGAAAATTTTGTTATCCTATTATCAATTGTTGTTCTGTTTTCAAATTCACTATTCCCTTTATTTGGATCACTCACCAATTTAAATATTAAGCGTTTTAATCTTCCTGTTTTTTAAGGCAAAGATGATTTTTTATATTCTTAACAAGGTTTTGCTATTCAGTTTATTTATTATCAGATTAAAAATATTTGATGTTAAATTTGGTTTTTAACTCATTTTGTTCACTCTGCATCCTCTTTTGATCTTTATTTTTTTTTGGGGGGGGGAAGAAAAAAAAAACATGGATTATTATAGATGGTGAAATTGTATTTAGTCAAAGAGTGTGCTTTCACTGTTTTTTACTTTTTTATACTAATTCTTTTTGCTCTACTTTCTTTCTACTAGGTCATGATTTGAATATGATATATATACCAATAATTTATAATTAGAAAACTTTTTATTCCATCTCCAAGGAACAGAAATCCAATTAAAACCATGAATTCTTAAAGAAATTTTATTCAGCTTTTTAATTAGTAATTTAAATTAGTATTATCTACACCTTTATTGCTTTAAAAACATAAAAATTTGTAAAGAAAAATCCTTAAATGCAAAAATACCAAAATCAAAAGTAAAAATTTACAGTATTGAAAAAGTAGTTATTGTCATTGACTGCAGATTATACAACTTATCAAGAGGATAAACCAATCTACAATTAATTAACAACAACTAAATAAAGTGAGAGTGTTTCTTCTTTCTTCCAAGAGAGCATTAAATAACATTTCTGCAAGAGCCAAATAATAAGTTATGAACAGTACTAAAAATAAATAAATAAATAAATAAATAAAGATATTAATCCATTTAAGTCAAAAGAATTGTCATAAACAAAATAAACTAGTAAATAATATTTTTAATTAAAGTTGTTCACTAAGAATACAACTAAATGGGATGCTCACTTTAGAAGATATATCTCTAACCCTTTCATTTTCAAACACGAATTCAAAGTTAAAAACGAAAGTAAACATTTTTAACATTAAAAAGCAATTCAAATTCAAAAGATCACAATGACAAAATCCTAAAATTAAAAAAAGTAGTTCTCTATAAAGATGACACGCATGAAGAAAATTAAAATTAACTTACATGCCTGCTAAAACTTAAAACAAAATGACTGGAAATGCAATTGTATTCTGTGATGGAATGTAAGAAGGGTTATCATAAAAAGTGTTCTCTATTTAAGAAAGTTTAGCCTTAAACTGGCAATTAAACTTTTGAAATTTTCTTGGAGATATTATATTGAGAGTAGGCTGGTACTAAAATAGGCTTTAAAGCTACCATTTAGTTAGAATATAAATTCTTAATTAAAGTAAATTAAAAAAAACCTATGACCTATGCTAAAGCTGCAATGTAATAAACCAATAATTTATAATTAGAAAACTTTTTATATACCTTCTCCAAGGAACAGAAATTTGACTTTGTTTAACCTGTTCTACCTTAGGAGAAAACAAAAACCTTTATTCAAAAATGAGATGTATGCTGATGGCAAAATAGTGCACGTTAATGATTATGGATTACACTGCTGTTAACATAATTAACACTTGTAGATGGTTTTTGAGAAACTTGATTTTTGATCGGAAAATTCAAAATACCACATTGCTTTAAAAATGCTAGACTGCTCCTTTGCATTATGAAACTAATCAAAGAGTTTGGTGTTTATTACGGGAAATGGCATGGTTCACAAAAATGTAGCAAATTTCAAAATTATATGAACTTACATAATTGGTACCAATGTCTTAAGTGTCTTATAGATAAAGGTGTGTTTCAAAATATGAAATCGAATTATTGAAAATTCCTTCTTAAAGACTAGATCATAGCAGTTGATGACAGAAGGAAATTCTGAATTTCAGCTTTATATGTAAAACTTTTTATTAATAATTTGGAATATGATATCCTCACATAGCAGTTTTTGTTGCTTTAGACATGTGGTTTTGCTAATGCAGAAGAAAAATACATTTTTATGGTTTAACTGAATATAGATGTGATTTTTTTAATAATAAATCATATACTATCAATGAACACAAAACTGCCTTTTGAATAATAATAATACACAATCTTACTCTTTTGACACATCCAGGCACATAATTCTGATACGATATAAAGGATGAATTTTCATCAGTATTAACAACACTACTCAAATAATCACTCAAAACAGTCATAGCTTCCCCATCATCATTAGAGGCTAAAAGATCCAGCCTGTTAGCCTCTAATACTTTTAAAGCAATTTGGAACACAACCTGAAAGGAGAGGGAAAAGATAGCAACTAATAATTGCAGCAAACTTTTAAAAATGTATATTATGCTAATCATGAACAGTATACGTCACTAAAATTTAATAAAAATAAATTACAATAAATTCATAGAGCAATATTTAAATAAAAGATCCATTTACATAATGACACTAGGATGATACTGCAATTAATTTTAGGCAATTTCATTTACTAAGTAATTATTATTGTCTGTCTACCATAAGAAAAGCTCTCGCCAGTTAGTCTGCAGCTGTCTGTTGCTGCAGACACGAGACTTGACCCATTTTCTGAAGGGGTGTCTTGAAGATTTACTTTACAATTTGCATCTTGGCACATTTAAAGATAAATTGGCAACCCTTGGTTCATCCTTATTTGAAATATACTAGACCTGTTGCTATAGCAACTGCCACCCACCAGACACTGTGGCTGGACTATTCTTCTCATAGACAGACAGCACCTATATTAGATATGGGTATTTTCTTTTCAGGGGAGCGAAATTACTAAATCCAAACTTTTTTTCCCTCTGCCCTTTTTAGCTTCTCTACTTCTGGGTGCACTGACAAATTTTTAAGTACATAAAGATATTTTTCATTTGTGAAAATGAAAACAAATATTTTTCAGTAAATGTTTGTGTACACATATATTAATTGGCTTAAGAATTTGAAGATAAAATATTTTTCACAAATTATCTAAATAAAAAAGCATAGAGAGTCTCAAGGGAACTGAAATGCTGATTGAAAATAGTTCATCTTTAATTATCATGTCTTGCTATCTTTACTTGTCTTAATGCTATATTAAATATAATTAATATCGGTTTTGTCTTTTCATTTACTTTTTACTCTCTGCCATTAGTTTAAACTTATTTGCTTATTAATTATTTTCATATTTTATTTAATTTTAATTTCTCATTATTTATTGTTTTATTTATTTATTTGTTTTTGCCATTCCTGACTATGCTTTCATAGGAATCAGGCACTTCAAAACTCAATTCCAGTAACTCAAGGCTTAATTTCAGATATTAAAATCAAATTTCTGCACAGTTAGAATCTGTGACAATAAAATACATATTTAATAAACCATTTTTCCCCAAAACTTTCAAATTTTTAGTTTAATTGTTATCTTTTAGTTATTTATGTCCAGTTATTTGTATTATGATCATGTCTGAAGCTGTAAGAAAAATGTAAAAGAAGACATACAAGAGGGTCGGCGAATAAAACCATTCTTTTAAAAGGGGTCAAGTCAAGTAAAGGGTACGAAATCTTTGATTTACAGTGTCAATTTTAATTTTTAAATCATTGCCAAAATGCAAAGAAATGATTTTAAACTTTCCAGTAAAACTGCTTTGCTGTATAACGTTAAAAGCCATGTGTTGAATACAAACCATCACAGCCTTGCTGATATAACTGGTATAACTGATGCACCAGCATCTACCATGGCATGTTGTCTACAACAAGAAAATCATCTGCATAAGAAATGGGCTGGTACTTCACAAAGAGATTCTACAACATCCAAAAGAAAACATCATACAAAGGATACAGATGTTGAAAAAAAAAAAAAAAAAAAAAAAAAAAAAAAAAAAAAAAAACTAGATGTATGTTCTCTGTAGTTTAAGGCAAGGTATGAATATCAATGGACAAGAAGTCATAGGAGATCATTAAATTGATTTGAGCCTCAAAAGTGCATCCATTGACTGATGTCACCATAAAATTTAGAAATCTATAATTTAGGAAGGCGAACTTGATAATTTGATTGAATTATCTCTTGTAGTCAGTTGACCTTATATCTGAGTTTCTTTTTTGTGTTGTTCCAGACTGGATTTCAAATATTTATTTATTCTAGATTCACATAAAATTAGTTTATCCTTATAATTCATAAAACATTCAATTTCTATTTCAAGTTTCTTTTCATCATCTATCAAAGATACAATTTCTTCATCTAAATTTTACAGTTTTTTTACTTTTTTTAATTAATAATGCTAAAGAATCTTCTAGCAAATTTTCAGCATCACAATTATTTTTTTATATCATCAGCTACTTTAAATTACAGTTTTAGTAATTGGTGTTCTGAAAAACCCTGTGGTTTTAATAAGTGTTTTCATTTTATAAATTTTAACATAAATAATGTAAAACTGAAGAAGCCTTTGAATACTTCAAAGGTAAGTTTATTCAAAGATAAGTCCAATTCAAAGTTAAGTTTAATACTTTCTTTTACATGATACACAAAATTTGATGTTTCTCATTTCTTTAACCTTATGACATTATTATTCTATTTCACTTTTCTGACACCAATCTGTTGTGACCGCGATGGTCATGACTGTGGGTTTCCGTCCATTATTTGGCATCATTCATAAAATAAACTTGTATTTTTTTTATGTTTTTATTCACAGTAACATGACACAATAACTATATTTTTACATACATTACTCACACATATCTTATTAATATTTTTTTTAAATCTTTCAGCATATTCCACCTGATCTGTTTTGCTATTTTTCTCTGCACTTCGCTGGTGCTGACATCCTCGCTATTCACAGAAAGCGCTAATGCCTCACATAGTGTTTCTGGTTTTTCTATCGAGTTGGTACTTCTGATAATCTGTTTGAGTCAACTACTAGTTGGCTACTTGGATGAATAGCTGTGCAATTCACAGAGCTATATAAATTGTTTGACTTCTAAAACTTGTTTCTTTGTGCTTATTGTTAGATCTACTTTACGCTGTTATGAATTTTGTATATAAATAGACGATTTTAGTGCAGTTAAAAGTGAAATTGTTGCATTTTTCTGTGCAATGTAACGTAAAACAAGTTTTTAAGAGAAAGTCATGCTGGAAAAGTAAGAATACAGGGGCATTTAACATAAATGCGTATCTCAATAATTTGGTGAGATATCAGCAAGCTGACAATTGTTTTGGAAACTTATTTTGTCGCCAAATTTGGCAACCATTTGGGCCCAGTCCCTGTATTACTGTAATATGTACTGAAATTGAATAAAAGTAATTGACCATGTTAGTTATAACCATGATTCAAATCTCACATGCTTTCCAGTAATTTCGAGAAGCAGAAAGTACTAGAAATATATCGGTGGACACTTGAAAACTATTTAAGACCTAAGAGATAGAGAGCACCTGCTCTCAGTTGCTTTGTTGTTGAGATTTGTGTGAACCGAGATATAAATAAGTTAGCTTTCTCTTTAGATGCACTTTGCATTGCTTTGTGTTTAACTTTCTTAGTAGTCTGAAGCGTAACTACTGATTGTACTGTGTGATACTGTGGACACCTGTAGGAGTATTTCTGCAGAAAATTCCAGAAATCTGAAGTGTTTATTTTGATAAAATAAATTTTCTTAACCTATCATCAGACCTGTCTGCATGCAATCTATTATGAATCCATACACACACAACAATACTAATATCAATGATTTGAAATTGTGCATAACTTCTGAATATCCCTTTCATATGAAAATTCATCTTGTTGAATTCAATTTAAAAAAAAAAAGGATGTGTTTTTCAAGACAAATGGGAATTTATTGTGATATATGCAAGAAAATTGCTTGTTTTATTCGTAATAATTTTTAAAAAGTGTTTTTCTTAAGGCTATAGCTATCAGAACTGAAATGTCAGCAACTTGTACTAAAAAATGAGGTTGGTTTATAATTGTTTGCCTATCAACATATATCTTTCTTCTGTATGTGTTGAAGAAAAATTTAAAAGAAAAAAAAAATAGTTTGTCTTCATTTCTTCTCAATTTTTGTCCAACTTGGGAAGTTTTTAGAATTTGTTTAAAGCTAAAAGTAAGTTACTTAGTTATAATTCACCGAATTAACTACCAAATAACTAGAACTATTTGAAATAAATGCTTGGTTTGAAAATTTAAATTTAAAGCTGGTTTTGAACGGTATTCTGAGAGATGATTTTCATCAGTATTAGTATTCAGATACTTAATATACATGGTGTCTCATTCAAAAGAGGCACAGGGAAAAGTGGGATAAAAATCTTATAATAATAGGAAAAGAAACCAAATTTTTACATGATATACCTTTATGTTTGAAAAATGAAAGTGCATTCGAAGATTGCTGGAAGTAATCTTCCCCACTTGTAGACACAGTTAAACATGGTGCTGCATGTTCGCATATGTTGCTGCCAGAGTATTGGGGCATCACTCCTTGCATTTCACGACGGACGTTTTGACACAAATTGTCATGGTTTGTGTTTGTATGTATTACCTTTAAGACGACCCCATAGAAAAAACTCAAGGAAGATCAAGTCTGTAAAAAGCCCCATCTTGCTGGTAAGCCAAGTGTCAGCTCCTCATCATCCAGCTAGTTCACAAATTCATGAAAAAGTGCCTGGTACACTTCACTGGTGACAATAGTGTAAAACAATTGGCCAGATGATATGCCGCTGGGATAATGCATAAAACACAACCATTTTCTGTGAATGAAAGGGTTCGTCGACAGCTGCATCATGGTTGTCACTACTCCATAAGCGTGTGTTTCATTAGTTCACATGAATGAAAGTGAAACCACGCTTCATCCCTTTACCATGAGTAATTTGGGAATAACATAACACAAAAATGCATTAACTATTGATCATGACGACAGAGGCCAAATGATAAAATAACTTAATCATCATTACAGAAATTATACAAAATGATATCAGTTACAAGAAACTTGAAAAAACTGCAATGAACATTTTGCCTAAACTTGCTAATGAGATGTTGGCTGAAGATAACAAAGTTAAAGAATGTCATTAGTAAGTATGTCATTGTATATATAGCTTGTTCATACGAATGCAGTGATAATGTAGTTTGTTTGAAATGCAATGATCCATGTTGATATATCATGTTATCAAATTTTTACAGAAGATTGCAATTTTTTTTTAATGAACTAAATGCTTTTAGAGAAAAACTCTAAAGAATGTTTGAAAAATTAAGCTAAAAAGATGAAATTAATATCAGATGAATCCCACTTTGAAGCCTCTGTGGGGCTTATAGTCCATATCCCAGTATCAGAAGTTGACAAAAGAAGAAGTAATGCCACATTTATTATAGCTACTAGCAGCTTTGCTGCCAGCCTTCGTCTAGCTTTTAAATGTACCGGAAAAATGACTGAAGGGAACACCAAACGTTAAATTAAAAAACTGCATAGAATTTTACTCTGCAGAACAACTTCATAAAAATAAGTTATTACGTATAACAAAATTACAATGAAATAAGCAATATCCCTTAATACAAATATTAATTATCCAAATAAATAAATTAACCAACTTCCCTTTGCAAAATCTTAATGAAATGATGTGATTTCATCAAAAATCTATCAACAACTATAAAACAGGAAAATTGTTGCCAAAATCCCATTTTTAAAGATGTGAGACGCGTGAAGTGTACTCGGAAGCTTAATTTAAAATTTTTTTTAAAAATACAAAATATTATCATTTTTCCAAAATTCTTTTTGTAAAAGCAGTCGCAAGGATGAAAGTTTAAAGTTTCCAAAAATCAAAGAAAAATAAACATTTTTAGAAAAAATCCCGTTGAAAAGGTGTTAAGCTCCCTTTGTTAAATAAATTCATATTTAATAGATTTATTGAACAGGGTTCATAGCCACATTTTAGATAAAAAAATAAGCACCTATAAGCACTTTTCAAGCACATTCTAAGAAAAAAAATAAGCACCTGTCTAATTACATCATACACAACTGCATAACCTTAAAAATTAGAATTGTAATTTAAAATATGAGAAATGAAGTACTTATAAGAGAGAATAAGCATTACCTCAAACATGGAAAATAATTACTTTTTTTTTTTTTTAATTTTAAATAATAGTTCAATTTACAGAATTAGTTTACAATGAGAGGAAAAAAAACTGTGAAGAACTAAACTATATGTTACAAGATTTAATGATGAAATTTCAGTTTGAAATAGAGAAAATAAATAATAATAAGGCATATTTATTGTATTTGTTTGGAACCTAATAATAAATACAATTTATTTTTCCACTCATATTGATATTTAAATAATTTAAATCTAAATTCTGAACATTTTCTAAATTTTTATTGTATATCAGATTTCTCTCAACAGAAATTGCAAGCAAAGTAATTTAAGTAAAAAAGAGGAACATTTCTGAAATCAGAAGACAGAAATTTGCTTCATGCAGCCATTTTCAATAGTAAAAGCTTAACTAACCCCCATACTTGGAATTGGCGAATATTCGGACAGTCGAGTGTAACTTGAAGGAGCGGAGGGGGGGGGGTAGACTGTAGCCGCTCTTTAGGTTTTTTTCGCTAATAAATGCTTTTGACATTTCAATATGTGCATCATATAAAAATAAACCAACGGAACTAAAAAATATTCTGCTTAGCAAGCACAGTAAAACTCTTTAGTAAGTAAGTGTTCATAAACAAATCTAGGACTGAACATCAAAATTAATTATCTCTGCAAAATATCGCAAACGTTATTGCGCAATATGTGCGCCATAATTCTTCCCTACATGATATTACGCAATCGGAATCAACAACTGCCGGTATTGGGAGAATAAAGAACTAAATAACTGGGGTGTTTTTCATTCTAATTTTCAACAGACAGCGTTAAATTTCCGGAATAGAATCATTCTTCGCTTGGGTTGGTAGACCGCAGAACTTTTAGTCCTATTCAATCCAGATTGGAAAGTAACCAAAAAAAAAAAAAAAAAAAAAAAAAAAAAAAAAAAAAAAAATCCATTGCTTGTTTTGCAGCGAACTGTAACAGTTTCAATATTCAAGATTTTGCGAAGAAAAGTGAGACCTCCCAACCTTCGTACTGTATAATATATTGGCCAAAAAAATGAAATTATTTTGACTATTCGGTTACTTTCCCTTTATTTAAGCCATTCCGAATATTATTCCTTAGAAAGCTAATCTGTGTTAAAACACAACCATTTTTGGAAGTTTACTATACTTCAGCAGTTACTGCAACTATGTTATTATAAACATTCATAATGCTCATAATATAAGCATAACGATCATAATAAACACGAATATGAACTAACCAAGCAGAACGAGAATGCAAATTTTTAAGATCTTGATAGAAATTCAAACGCGTGTAGTATTTGGGTGGGAGGAAAAGAATGCCGAATGTAGCGGAATTTTCTACTGCTTTTGCAATTCTTTGACCAATAGAACGACGGGCACCTGTCTGTACTCTTCGTGCATACCAAAGGTTATGTTAATGCAGAGAAAGGGAGAAAAGCTATTTCCAGGAGTATGACTCACCATCTGACATTCCATATTAGGAAGAAAAGTTGTTTATTTAGTTTCGGCTTTGGTACGGGGAAAAATAGCGCGTTCATTAAAAAAAAAAAAAAAAAAAGCACTAAAAGCAAAAAATAAGCACTAAAAACAAAAAAATAAGGACTTTAAAGAAAAAGTAAGCACCTATAAGGGCCTTTATATTTTATTTTCAAATATAAGGACTTATAAGCACTTATAAGGACCGCTACGAACCCTGTTGAAACATGAAATTTATTTTAAGTTTGTAAAATAGCTAAGTGCCTACGTTTCATGATGATGTGAAAATGGAGTGTGTAGAGCAAAATCTCTCTTTCCTATAGCCCATTATGTCTCAAAATGACGCGATTTCGTCACAAAACATAAAATAAAAAAAATTCTAATTCTAATTTCGAAAAAATCGCTTTGAGGTGCACTGGCTCTTGTCTGGATGCACCTATGTACCAAATTTCATAGCCGTGGGTCTATTAGCTTACGCGCAGCGCGAACAAAAGACACACACAGACAGACAGACTCTTCCTTTTATTATATGTAGAGATATTAGCTTACGCGCAGCGCGAACAAAAGACACACACAGACAGACAGACTCTTCCTTTTATTATATGTAGAGATTATGAAAATAACAGAAGGAGGATTGTTTCAAATCAGAACAAGAAATGGTGGCTAAAAACTACTATATTTCCAATCCTAGTACAGTGTCTGTGAAGAAAAATTAATTAGGATCGAAGAAAAAGCAGAAACAAAGAAACTGCTCTCATAGGTTGCTACAGTTCAAAATACCCGTCAAAGATTTAAAGAATACTCATGTAAAATTAAGTGTATCAATATGAAATACGTCTGTTTTAGAAATAATGTTCTACACAATTTATGCATCATCATCTCTGTAATTCCTGTTGCAGCAAATGATTTTATTGCATCTTTGAATAAGTAACATTTTGTATGCTGTATAAATCAGCTACATTGTTTATTTTACACTTTAACTGTTTACCATTACTTAATTTGTAGAATAACTAGTTAAGGCATAGAGTTATTAATTTATTACAACCTTTAACTCAAACGATCAGTTATTTCATGAAATAATCCAATATTTTAGCACATACATAACAATAACAAATAATAAAAGAAAAATTAAATCTTAATTAAAAAGCATGATAGTTTTAAAAGAAAGTTTAAGAAATTTGATAATATACACACAAAAAATACCTTTGCTCCATCATAAAAGAAACAGTCAACTATGTTCACAGCAGAATGAAATGGAATCACACTGAAAATTTAAATTTTTTGTTAAAGTATGTATTTAAATTACAACACAGATTAAGATTAAATGAGAAATTATCAGATGTAATTCAATGTGACAGTATCAGCAAGGTACCTTAAAAATATAGTTAAAAACCATGATAAAGAAATCATTGATAAGACACCAAATGGCACCAGTTTTGCATGGATATCTGGTAAATGTTCACTGGTTAGATGTTCTAGAACCCCTAAAAAAATTAAAATATTTGCAATGAAAAATAGGAATTGTCTATATTTAATAAAATTCAAGACTACAAATCTTCATTCATCAGATAGAAAATTAAACATTTTAGTTCAACACTTTAGCTAATTTTATACAGTCAAAAGTCTTTAATCCGGACTCGTCGGGACTTCGGCGATTCTGGATTATCGATAAGATGGCATGCAGAAATTATAAAATTAAAAATATGAAACCGTAATTTATAAAATAATGAGCAATTATGATCTAAAGGGTATCAAAATTTACAAAAAAAGAAGCTTAATATTTATTTGTTTACTTTATTAAACATTTCTTTCAACGCGCGCATGCGTACCTTACGCATAGCCGAAATTAGAAAATTGCAACCAGAAAACTATTTGATTTCTATTCGTGATATTTATAATGATGAGGAATTTGATTTAAATCATATCAAAGACGAAGTACATCGAGATTTAATACTACATTTAGTAAGAAATTATAAGCCGAATAAAATAAAAACATCTGCCTTGAAGATAACGATAGTGGTGACAGATCAACTTCCAGTTCATTGCGCACCGCGACATCCCCCCCCCCGCTGAGCAGCGTGAAATTGATAAACAGATTTCGGAACAGTTACATAAACAAAGGATATACCTTTATCCATTTTTTGTAGCAATTCAACTTTTTTGTTTGATGGACATCGAATCACACTTTCGTTTTCTAAATTCTTTGGGAGCTCCAGCATCGGAAATTCTATTTGACATAATCGAAAGTTCAAGATTAATTTTATAAAATTGCTCTTACAGTCTGCAAAAAATAATAAGCCGTATCCAATTCGAAGATTAAGGAACAACGCAATCATCAACATTAACTGAAATAGATAATTAGATAATTTTAGCTTATACCGTCCGGTATACATTAAACGCGAAAACGTATTCTGCGCTTGCACAGACGCATACGCGCAGTCGTAAATGTCTTGCGCGCACGCGTAAAATGCCTATGAGCATGCGTCAACACAGCGCATACGCAGAAAGATTTTAGTTTTGAGGTCTGGATTATGGGTGTCCGAATTAACGACTTGACTGTACTGACATACCCAAAACATTCTAGTTGCTTTAGTTCACCTTCATACACCTCTTTTTTAAACAATATATCAATATACAAAAGTACCTTTGAAATTTTTAAGATACACTTTATAAGGTACTAGAAGTGGGTACGGCCCGACCCACCTAACCAAACAAATTTGTCTTATGCTCATAACAGGGCACACCACACACAGCATACCTTCGTGGTCAGCACACTCACAGTGTATTCAAGAGGTCCAAGTTTGAGTCACGGCGAGGGCATTGGACACTTTTCATGTTTCCTGCTTCAAAATAACCTAATGACTCTACTACTACTTCTGTGGAATGTTCCAGAAGAAGTGTTTCTTTTGATAAAATAAATTTTATCAACCTAACATCCAACTTGTATGCATTTCATCTACAAGCATTATGAACTCATATGCATACAACAATATAATTTACAAAAATGAAGTATTGTTTCCATCTTTGTGTATAATGTTTGTTTGTTTCCATGCATAAGATCATTTCCTCCTTTCATGTGCAATTTGATGATAATCAAAACTTTACTTTTCAGTTTTTGTTGATTTTCCCTCATGTTTTTAACTTGAGGAAGGCAGTGTGTTCTGGCTTGTCACTGTCTACCCAATGACATAAATGGTCATTATTATGCATTTCTAGAACATGAATTCAGAGTAAGATGATGCTGTACAAATTTGTATTTGATGAAAGACCATTTGTTTTCATTTTGCTTCACAGCAGAGTTTTTCCCTAATTCTCTACTAGGAGGTATAGCAGTCACTTTTGATTAGGTGTGTCAACTTTATTTGAAATGGAGGTAAAATCTGCAGTCAGAGAGTCCGTTCACCATGAAGTAAAAGAGCTATATATGAGCTTTCCCTAAAACCAGCAATTCTCAACTGGTGGTACGCCAGAGGTGGTAAGCAAAGAAAGAAAGCATTTTTAACTATTAAATTCAAAAATCTCGTGAAGGAAAAGAACAATTGATAGAAATTTCCTGTGATCGGACTCTAACTGAAGATTTAAAAAATAAAAAAAAATAAAACACTCATTAAGTTTTAGCCGAACTGAAAAAAAGAATTTAAAGGCATTTCAAACAAAACTACTAAATTTTTATTGCCTCCTTGTACTTTTGTTATTTTGCACACCTATTTGTGTGAACAAAGATTTCCTTTCATGTTATATATGAAAAATAAATACAGAACAAAATTAAAAGTGGATCCTAATTTAAGTTAAAACTAAGTGAAATAAGATCTGACATAAAAAAATTGGCAGCTCTTAAACAGGCCAACAATTCACACCACATTTATAATTAAAGTATCATAACTTAAATTTTGATAATTAAAATAGTAACTAATTTTTAATCTAGTGCACATTTAATACAAATAGCCAACTGGTTGTGGAAATGGCAATATATATATATATATATATATAATCAAATGTTGTATGATCTTAAATTCACTAAGTGAAAAATCGAGTTATTCTAATATATATATTTAATATTTCTATTGCAAAATTGAAAAATAATGATTGTAGAATGTAATAGTGGTACAACAGTTTTTCGATTTTTGTTTATATGGTACATGTTAGTCAAAAGGTTTAGAACCGCTGCCTTAAGCTAGAAGTTTAAATAAGTAACTTTAAACATTTTTCTTGTACATTTATTGATGGCTTTATGAGATATCACTAAAAGTCTCTGGACATTATCATGAGGCAAGGAATTAGTCAGAACTTTTCAGATTGCTAGCATGTTAATTTTGAATAAACATAAATTTTACTATACCATGTTTTAACAGCCAAAAACTGGTATTTTTGTGGAAGAAAGTGCTATGTAAGTTACATACACAAATTAAACACATCACAGTTTTACATTATACAAATTAAAGTTAAGGATGAATTTCAGTCTCAGTCTTTTCATTAAGTTATACCCGGGTCAAATACTTTTGCACTGCAGTTCTCAGATGCATTTCTGTTTTGCATATCACAGTCTGAAGATATAGTCCTTTCAGACTTTCCATCCACAGGAAGATCTGAAACAGTTTGTTTACCACTCTGTAGTTCATTCTCAGCAGGCACACACTTCACTTTGGTATTTTTAGTAATTGATACATGCTTATTTTCCTCAGTTTCCTGGGAACCAGTTTTGATGTTTGCACTAGGGTCGCAAATAGAATCCAATCCTTTACAAGCAGAAGTATCCGGGTTTAGAATCAAGTCCTCATCTGTAAAACCAGCACTATGAGATGCACACATAGTTTGTGAAGTGGGAGAATTTTTCTTGCAATACTGGAACACTCTGCGTAAATTGTACATCAGCTTCTCCCATCTCTGCATCACATGCACTTTCAGATGGTTCAATACTTGCTAACTGCCACTTTGTAACTTCACTATTAGTGTTGTTGAACTTAACAGTCACATTTTCATTTTCTTCCTCTTCCACTTCAGGCACTTGAGAATCAGGAATTTTATTTACATGAATTATTTCTTCACCTCTTTCAGAAGCTTTACAAGCCACTTCGTTTATTTCTTCATCTTTACAAACAGTATTATCAATGTCTTCCAGTTCAACTTTGGACACCTGAGGATGAGAAGCGTCTTCCCAGTCTTTTTCTTCATCTTTTTGTTATCTTTCTTTAATCTCGTTGGCTTTCTTCCCTTCCAGTCTGGCTTCTATCTCTTTCAGTGCAGCTTTGATCTCAGCTCTCATCTTATCATATCCAGCTTTTAACTCGGCTAGGAAGACCATCAAAGTCTTCGTTCCCTCCGCCATGGCTTTCCTCGGCAGGCGGGTTACTGGCATTCACTCGCAAATCTCACTTCTGACACCAGCTCTTGAGTTTTTCTTTTCTGACACCACTTGTTACCGTACGGGGTTCATGAGAATTTGGAGTGAATAATGATGACAGCGCTTGATGAAGTATCAAAACACACTTTATTTAGCCAGTACTAATCAGGGCAGCTCCAAAATCATGTTACAGTTGTCGAAGAACTACTATAAACTTGCTGACACAATCAGCAACACAGCCTTCAGGTTATCAGGCTATCACGTTGGAGACAGCTTCATTGCAAAGCACCAGAGTACAGCTCCCGACTCTATTCAGTTGTTCTCGGAGATCAACATGCTCTCTTGACGATGTACTAACCACTACACACCTAACTATCTTGCACTCTATGCAAGGCACTCTGACTCACCCTCTCAACGAGGCACACTCTACTTGACTGCGGGACAGCAGGGTTTATCTCACCGCCCCTGTACATTTTGTAACAATATCAAGAAAAGGAAGCAACACATTCAAAAATGATCATAAATCTTCTCATGACACTATTAATTGCCTTTATAATACATTTTTAAAGAAGTGGAAGTGTAGCCTGATGTGGCAGAGATATTCACAAAATAGCAAATAGTCAGGGTGCTATATTGTTGATAATATTTCATTCAAGTATTTCCTTTTGAATACTTTTGGCAGTTGTGTAGCTTATTTTACTCATAATAGAATAAAACTAACATTATTAAAAGTACACCTAAAGAAACACCTTGTGTTTACTCAATTACAATTAACACTTTTTGACAATTCTCAGAGCCAAATTTTATTTCATAAACTTTACAAATTTATGTTGTTATAAATTATTATATTTATAAAATTGGCGTATGTGCTTCAGGAAATGAATTGTTGCATTGACGGCCAAAATTTTTCTTATATTCTAAAAGTAAAATTTTGGATCCCAGAACAAAGGAAACTTTTAACTCAGACTGATATTTTTACAAATTAGGCCTTCTATATATAAAATTCATAATTCTACCTTGATCAACAAGAGCTCCAACAACTTTAGTATTAAAGTAGTCAGGAAGCAACCTTTCACATATAGCAACCAATAACCAAAAAGCTTCCTCTTCTGATGCATATAACAGTAGAACAGATGTCACAATGTTCATAGCTTGGCAATACCCTAAGGGGAAAAAAAAAAAAAAAGGAAATATATATTATAGTTGGAATTTCAAAAATGCACAAATAAGCTAAATAAGAAAAATGCCAAATAATATAAAAATGAAAAATGCAAAATTTTTTCTGACTAAAATTTAATAAACTAATATATAACTTTTGATATTTTAAATTGGACGTTTAAAAGGCCTATAATTATAAAAGAAAACTATAAACTATAAAAACATATTCTACTCTTTTTCTATCTAATTAAAATATTTTGAAAAGTCAATGAATTCATAACTATAGGTGAATGGTTTGTCTACACAACAAAGTTGCAAATTTCGATTAGAAAGACCAAAAGCTCAATTTCTAATACTTATTAATTGCCTGATGGATGGATGGATCGGGACAGACCAATCAATCAAACAGTGATGGATGGATGAATTGATCGATGGATAGATATTGGGAGAGAAAACAAAATTAAAAAAGACTTAAAAATGATTATCGTTGTTATTCATAATTATTATTACCTCCCATTATCAGAAAAATGGAAGGTGTTGAAGGGTAATTTTTATTTATGTAATTATTTCTATGTGACTGGCAACAGTAGTATTTCAATGTGAATGGGAAAAGTAGTAATTATACTAGCTGTTTTTCTGTGATATAAGTATTTTGGTTTTGTCTACTGTTATGTACAATTATCATATAAAATAAAATAACTAGTGTAAAAATATGCTTTCCCAAAATTCTCAACACATGCTACAGCATACTTTTTAAAAAATGTAGAGAAAATTGTCCAGTTTAATATCTTTTTATCATTATTGTTTTAAAAGAGGATGAAGAATTTGTTTTATTATATGTAAAAATTCAAAAACATTACAATAGAAACATTTTAAGTGTTTAAATTTTAAAATAATAGACATCAAACAGTTATACAAATTAAGCTATTTTTGAAAATTCACCAATAAATCAGAAATTATGTTTAAAATGTCATTAAAAAGACTCTTTTTCTGCTCTGTCTCATCAAACAAACAGTAAAACTATGAAATTTTTTAGTTTCTTCATTAGGCAAAGGTATATGCAAAACATATTTTCAGTATAAAATTCTTAAAAATTTAAATCAAATTTTGACCTACTAGCATCATCCACAAACAGTGTGTAAGCAAGATTTGAGCTCAACAGCTTATTATGAAAATAATATTAAAATTAATGAAAATATTTTGATCACTATCAACACCATAAATGGATTAAATAAAAACTTATAAAAAGCATTTAACTCCATATTTTGACTTCATGTTTTAAAATCTATAATAAATTTATACATTTTTAAACTACCGTATAAGCTTGTGTCATGTCCATGCTCATGCAATGTCCACACCCCAACTTTACATATAAAATTTATGTAAAAAAAAAGTGACCCGCATAATGTCCGCCAGCCCCAAAACTAAAGAATTTCTTAATTTAAAATATATTTTTTTAACATCGCCTTTTTCACTTTAGTCAATAACATTACTCAATAAACATCTTTAAAGAAAGAATATGCATTTGTTTTGCCTTCTTGTGTATTCTTATGCTACTGTTTGCAGCAGAAAGTTTTTACAATTGCACATGCAGATATAACAACCAAAATTTTCATACAGTGCGTCAACAAATTTTTTAAAAAAATAATGTGGGCAAGATATTAAAAGAACCAATGTTTTTTTAATTTGTGCAAAAATAAATACTAAAACTGCAAGTGTTGCTTAATTTGTGTCTCTATACTGTATAATTTGTGTCTCTATACTGTATATGCGCCGAGTGTTGATAACATAAACGGGGTAAGTTATATTATATATGTGGATGGGAGAAAGTGAGTTTGTAAATTTTAGGTAACTATTAGACAACTTTAAATTTGATACTTTTATTACTTAAGCCATTTTTTTCCACTTAGAACTTAACTTGGCTGTTTGAAATGAAATTTACACCCAAAATTACTCACAAGAAAAAGTGCAATATTTGAACGACCTGTGTAATGTCCGCACCTGCATTTTAGTGATATAATTTTAGTAAAAAAAGTGCGGACATTACATGAGTGTATATGGTATTTCATCACAAAGAATTAGAATGAGGCACTGCTGAATGGTATCGGGGGAAAGGGGGGATAGATTTACATCTGAGAATAAGAAAACTAATGAGTTAGGTTCACTTTTAATTGACGAGAGGAGTTTTTCCTGCTTTTATCTTTTTTTGGAAGTATTGCTACACAGATTTATCTTTTTGTATTCATAAATCACCTGAAACCATAGATAGCTGTCTTAAAAAGGGCTGAATGTAACTTTTTGTTTCTTTGCTTGTGCTTCCAATGTTATTCTTTCCTAAAGCTGGATGCAGACAAGATTTCATATCTTTTGTTTTAAACTATCAATAAATAAATAAGAAACAACAGAAACATTTTTTGCAAAATATTATTATGAAGTTCAATAATTTCAATAGGTGCATAAGTATAACACCTAAAATTTTCTAAGGAAGTTCACAAAGAATTCTAACAGTGCTTTTCCATTATGCACCTGGCATGCATTTTTTGGGTACTATTATAATAATAATATTTGTTTGCATTTAATCATTCTTGTTTACATGAATACAGTCCCCAGATGATACTACTGTTGAGTCTCAGTATGTGATTGGTGTGTCAAGAAAAAAATGGAATGAAAATGAAAAATTTAACTTTTAGCATTTACATACTCCTGTACGAAATGAAGCTGTATGTAAGAGGCCATATAAATGTTAACAGTGAATCAAATGCAAAGAGATCTATATATTTTGCCTGCAATAAATTCTATACATCCTCGTTTATAAAATATGGGAAAAAATGTACAATATGCAAAAAAGGAGGGACAGTTCTACTAAGCTGATTGACAAAATTCAACTTTTTTTTTGCTGTTGTTGTGAAAGCGCAACTTAAGATATATATTAGATTTATATTATAGAATTGTTCTAATGTAGGTATTTTGACACAAAATCGAAGTTTTTCTGAAATGACATTTTTTCCATATTTCGATTCTACGAGTCAAATTATGCCAAACTGGCGATTTTGCACAAGTAGTTTTTTAAAAAATTAGCTCTGAAATTTTTAACTCTTCCATGTTAATTGCATCTTGTTCTTCCTTTCCCATTTTGAAACTTAGGTTCATTCCAAATAAAATTTGCTCATTTTTATGATTTAATTTAAAAAATTTGTATTTTTAAATATTTTTTTTTAATTTTTCGAAAAATTTTTGAATTATAACCTAAAACATTTTTACCATCATCTTAAAGCAGATGTATTTCGAAGCATACCTGCAAAAAATTAGAGTTTTTTATTCCAATTTTTTTAGGATATACGTGAATTTACATATTGGCGCATTTTGAAATTTGGCATATTTGTTATAAGTAATAATAATACCAAACACGGTTTACACACTTTGTTAAAATAGTTTGAAAGTATGAATGATGACTTTTCCCCCAGCTTGTCTACAATGAAAAATAAGGAAAGGAAAGGAAAATAGGTTGTTATAAATTATGAAGTTCACCAAGTGAATTATTCTTTGTACAAACTGAAAAAAATTAAATAAGATAAATTTTGAAATTTCTCCATAAATTTCCCACCAAATTTAATATTTAGGCATAATATGAATTATCGCAGGATCGAAATATGGGAAAAAATTGGCACGTCATTTCAGAAAAAGTCCCATTTTGTGTCAAAATATCTGTGTTAGAACAATGCTATATATAAATCTAATGCATATACTAAATCGCGCTTTCGAGACATGGATTGAAAAATTATTTAAGTCAACAAATTCGTCTACAGCTTCAAGAATTTGGTACACAAAAATAAGGAACTTTTTGCACTTAACATTTAAAATATACTGAATATTATTTAATAGACTTTTTTCTTTAAAGACCTAACAAAAGTTAAATTTTGTATTTTCACAACAATTTTATCTTCAGTGCAAAAACCTCTTCTCATTAAACCTTCTACCTTACTTCAAAAATGTTTGTAATTGGATGTCAGATACCTTATTTGAACAGCCCATACATAAACAGGTGTATAAATTTAAAATATTCAAGAAATATATTATCAACAAAAATAAGTGATCTTGAGAAATAGAATTCAAAATCAAGCTGAGTTTCTACAACTGAATATTAATGAAAGCCCCCATTTTACAAGACCTAAATTTATTACGACAGGTTTCGTTACAAAAGCAACAATAATTTATGTTACTGCTTTACTTCATATATTTAATTATTTTATTAAACTGAATATTTACTATCCTGTGTCAAAAGTAGAGGTTTACATATAAACTGATAAGAACTTTAAAATCTGTAAAAAGGTTTATATATAAATTGATACAATAATTTTAAATTGTGTTTTATTTTATTTCAAAAATCTCAGATTTCTCATAATTACAAGTATGTCTCTTTTAAGGACATAAAATTCATTTTGACTTATAACGTAATAAATAAGTAGTACTTTTTCTTAAATTTCAAAACTAAGCTTATATCTAGAGCCTTTCCTGCTCGTTAAAGTATTCTGTGAGCTGTTAGGCTAATCCACTACACCTTGAAATTATTAGTTGTTATGTAATTCTGTTAAGTCAGAAGTGACTAGCTTCTTGTAACCCAAGTTGGGCCATTTGCTATTTTTATGTTCCAATAAAAGGGTCTTATACACCCTCCTTTTGATTTCTGCTTTGTTTCACAAGGCTAAAAGATAATTCTTCAATAGTTCTTTTAAAGTCTAATTTGTATATTTCCAAACTTCACATGTCCATACTTAAAAATATATAATTTCAAAAGATCAACAATTACAACAAAAGTAATCTTATTTATTACTGCTATTTTAATGAATGAATATTGTCTTCTATCTCAGCTGAAAGTTGTATCATTCATACAAAAAAGAGACTTGATTCCTCAATCTCACTGTCATACTCATGAAAATAACTCCTACCTACAATATTCTTGCAACCTACCTACCTACAATATTCTTGCAACCACTTGCTAACTCATAATCTTAGATAACTGAAACTTCTTCTATACTCAGCTTAGGGCTATTAAAATGCCCTCTATGGGAGATCTCACTATAAGCAAATAAAACAAAAAAATCAACTAGATTTCTTTATATAATTATAAAATAAAAATAGCTTAAATTACTTATTTAACTTTATATATGGGTATCAAAATCCATGATGTCTTCATATGGACAGTATATATTATGCATTGGAATTCTGTGAAAATACTACTCGAGTAAAAGAATATGCACACACATTTAGACATATATGAGTATTAATGATTTATATGGCAATGACTTGCCACAGTTTTAAAATCATTATGATTCTTACTTTTGATAATAAGAGGAGCTTTTTAGGTTCCTATTGAAATACATGAAAGTACAATAAACAGACAAGTTAAATCTCAACTAATTATCAAATTTGAATTAAACAGCATAGATTGTAGAGCCATTAGGATTTTTTAAAGCAGGTGATGTGAAAAATGTGCAATGCCCTTGCTGGGACTTGAACTCTTCAATGTGCGCCAAGTGCGCTACCATTACACCATGAAGGCATACAGAAAGGAAAGAAAAAAATACCTTATAAGATTATTATCAAATTTTAAAACTATTTCATAAGGGTCACATTATTTCTATCCCAAAAACTGATTTGAATGAATTTAAATTTACATTTTGCTTTAATACATAAACATCAAAAATATAAATTCATCACTTTTACATAACTTCTCATGGCTGTCTGTTTTCAGCTTCTAGAACTATCATGCCAATCCCCGGACTTGATGTTTTATATTTCCAGTTCACAGTATTGCTCATAAACTGCAGCATCATATTTAACTGAGCAGAAACCTAACTAACTGAATATCTTAAAAATTCTAATATTATAGTTTGTTTCGTCAAACTCATTTTATTCACTCACTATGTTGGTAAAGAACCTCTATAATGTTAATTTATTTGTGTCTCTGCTCTAATTACAATTATCTATATCTTACTAGTGTAGAATTTAACCCCTTAACTGCCGCGGGCGTATATATACGCCTTGCTCAGCCGATGCGTTAACTTTGCGAATAATTTTAGGTGTAGCAGCGCAAAGCAAATGATAGCAGTTTGGAAGGACGTATATATATGTCTGGCCGAGGCAGCTAACGCATCGGCCGAGCAAGGCGTATATATATATAAGCCCGCGGCAGTTAAGGGGTTAACAAATATTCTCTATCTGTATAAAGCTAATTTAAAGTTAATTTAAATTTAAATTTTAAATTAAGATATTTTAATTGCATACAAATAAAATATTAATTATTGCTGCAAACTAAATTTACAATATCATTTAAATTCTGAGAGCATATGTAAATTAAGTGCAAGTATCTAAAACCATGAAAAAATATATAATATTCCAAAAACTTAATCCTAAAATTTTTTTAAAAAAATTTTACGAAAGTATTGCTGCAAGGAATTAATTCCTTAAAGCGCACACAAAGGCACAAGAGAATTATTTAAATTTAATTTAACTTTACTATTTATTGGTGTAGATAGTACAAGTTCACAACATATAATAAGGTACACAAGCTATGTAACTAAAAAGTCATCAAACATCTTTTGATGTTAAAGGACGCTTGATGATTTTAGACTCCATAGCATGCATTTATAAATACATAAATTATGAAAAATAATTTAAAATACTGATAAAAGGTGAATTTACCAATACTAGGATTTCTCCAAGCATAGGCAGTTAAAACCCGCCTCAATACATCAATTCCCAAATCGGATTGAAAAGCTGAATGCTCTGGAAGAGATCTATGCAAGTCTCGCTCAATTTCTTCTGCTGCGATACTTGGTTTGCCACGACTCTCCTCGACAAGCCATTCATAATAACCAGGATATACAGCTAACTAAAACAAAGGAAATAAATTTAACACAATGCATTTATATATCATACATAACACAATACGTTTATTTGCTACACATATTTCTTCAAAAATAACTTACGTGCTTTATTATTGAAAATTGATTATTATTGAAAAATCACATAAATTTTATTCACTAAGGATTCAGATACATTTTTGCAAATGCTTATGTGACTATCAAGTATCTACTCTAATATGTAATAGAATGTCAAAAACTAAACATTGATTATAATTTTATGATTAAAAAATAAATGTACTCCACAGTGCTATATAATGGCAATCATTAAATTTATTTTTCTGAAGAAAATAATTTTTAATACACATATCGATGTTTCCCAAATAGTGTAGGCAATCATTAAATTTCATTTCAGAGAATAATTTACCCTCAGTTAAATTGTTAGATTTCACTTCTTTCACCAAATAAATCTTGTACACACATAATCTGAAATCGAGTTTAAAAACCTGCTGCAAAATGATATGCAACATTGCCAAAGCTTTACATGTTAACATATCCAGGTCACTTCTTATGCACTATCAAACATACTGGACAATTTTTTGCTTTGCACAGAGCATGCCCACCCTGCTTGATTTGCATTTATGGGGGAATCAATTCATTAAAATTTAAGGATCCATGATTTATTTAAATACTAGGTCACAGACTAACCTCATATAAATCACAGCGTAACCAATACGAGCACTACATAAGAATCATTACAATAGAGTTTTAGTGGTGACTAAAATTATCAGAATTTATGCATTCCTCTCCCAGACATTTTCTGGGAAAAACAATATTGCTACTTGCAAAATTTATGGCTAACATCGTATTTTGAATGGCTAAGTAAAATGTTTATATGCATTTCAGGCTGATTTCAAAATTAGGACCTCTCATAATGCTAATAATCATTTAGAACTGAAAATAAAATATATAGGAATCAATTAATGTATACTAATTTAAACATTCTGAAACATTATGTTTAACTTCTTTATATTATCTAATGATAAATCATAACATAATGCAAATAATAATTATAAAAATTCATTGTAAATGTTTATCATTTAAATAATTGAATATGATATAAAACCTTTATGGCAGCATAGTTATATAAGAATTATACCTCATTTACAGCACCAGAGTATAGCATCCACAATTCTCCTCGAAGCTCCACTGGAATGCCTTTTAAAATTAATTCTTGATCCCTGCATGTTCGGTAAGATGATATACCTCTAATATTTTAAAGAAAAGTTAATTTCACACTAAAATCTGAAAAGCCATTATCTGAATTATTTGATAAAATATTTTATTCTATATTTTACACAAATAATTTTATTTATGCTAAAATCCATCAGACCTCCATACAGCTTTTTTTCTGCGTGTATCTCCCACACAGCTTTTTTCTGGAGGGGGAGGGGTCAGCAACTTTCTTCTCACACTTTATAGAAATGCAGAATATGATATTCAAGCAAAAGCAAGATAGCCTAAAACCAATTTTTGTCCCAATTAGGTAGGATTTCTTTTGACAAAGAACATCATTATCTGCAAGAGTATTGAAGCATCCTGCATATTGTTTTAACTCCTTTGCACTGATAGAGGCCAAAATCTTTTCGTCTCCAACATCTGAAATGGTTGTGTATACCAATTTCTTTTGGAATGAATTTCCTCACCTCCTCCCTCCCCCCAGTAGAATGCTGCAAAATTGACAATAACCTTAAGTGAAGTTATACTTCGCTCTTGGGGACCTTTCTGCAGTTTCATGCACTGTGTGTAGTTTCCCCTTAGTAATATTGCAATTGTGAGCATCTATACTATTAAAACTTGTGCGCATCTGCCAGTTTGTTTGTTGGCATTATCCCCTCCATAATAGCAGGGAGTGAGTTCAGCTTGGAGAGAGGTACCCCCGGATTCCAAAAATTCATGGGAAGCGATTTCGACCATTCTCATCTTCATATGACTTTAATTAGCCAAAATATTAATTCAAAACACTGAAAACATTAATTTTCTCCCTCGTTTTCCCGAGTGGCAACAGTCTCCCACATTGGAGGAAAAAATCCACTTTATTTCCAAAAGTGTTGCCACTATTCCCTTTCAAATCATAAAGTTTGTTAATAAAAATATTGTAAGTTTTACAAAATATGAAATAAAAATAGCACTGTCAAACTTTAAACGCATTTTTTATTATATAAGGTCCCATTCTGACACTGAAGAAATCATGTGACTGCATGTGGCTTCATTGTTATGTCGAAATTTTTTTATTAATGTCAGCACATTTTAAATAAACAGTTGTTGCTGGCAACTTTTTTGTTTCAGGTTAATACAATTGACATAATATATTAATGCCTCATTAATTCTTTTATTGATATTGAGAAAATGTTGTTATATTAAATTTAAATCATGATATCACATGTATCAACCTGAAGTGTGAAAACTTTTTGTTTCCTGGTTTGACCATAAAAAATTATTTACGAATTGGTTGTTGCTTGGAAAGAACGAACTGATTTCATTCATACCGAAATGTTTTAATATATTCGCTTTTCAGGTGTACATAGAACTTATAAATTTTGCTTTGGCTGCAGCATCTGCCGGGTTTGCCCGCTAATCAATTGTTAAATGTTGATAAATAATGATTGGCATGTCATTTAACGACTCCCAAAACCAATAAGCCAAGCACTTATGTGACGGAACAAAGCACCAGGAACAAAATGGATGCAGGCGTTAGTATAAGCTGCTGATGCCTGAATGCATAAGCGATATCGATGACTTCATTGTGAAAGGATTAAATACCTACTGGCTAGGAAACCACAATTCCATTTTCAGCCTTGAATAGTTGAGGGAAGGGGCAACTGTTTTTTCTCTTATCTAAGTCTTAAGCAAAACACGTGAAGTCTGAAGACCCGTATTTGTTTCAAACACAGGTTTTCTTTTGTTGGCATAGCAAAAAGGAAGGAAGAATTATATTTCTTTGAAATTAAGCTCAGCTAGCACTGTGAATTATGCTCTTCCTTAATTTTCTGATTTGATGCAGTTTGTTACTTAAGTCAGTCTATTATTAAGCTTAACAGAATTAAAATTTTTACTAAATGATAACATCTCCATTTTATTCTTTCCTAAATATGTATCCATCATTTAGCCCAGGGTTTCTTAAACTGGAGGTCGCCAAAAGTTTTAACAGTTTTGATATTTCTTTAACTTATTGTAATAATTTTACAATTACCAAATATTTTTGCACAATGTGTCTGAAAATAGATAAAGATAAGACAATACAGACAAAGAAAAAAACAAAAATGTTTCGACACCTTCTTTTTATAATATAAAAGTTCATTTCCTTGCTTTGCACAAGACACTGTCATTTTGTCTGTTACTTATTTAAAATTTTCACACTATGTCTTAAAATTAGAAATTAAAGTTTGACCTAAAACTGCAACTGTATATTACAGTACAAGTGAAAAAATTGACATTTTCACTCACGCGTGTGTCAGATTTGCACAATACTTACGAGGTCCGTCAAAATTTTTGTAAATATTATGGGGTCCGGGGAGTGATAGCAAAGGGTCACAACTGAAAAAAGTTTAAGAAACCCTGATTTAGCCAACAGATACTGAAATTTTGTGTGCAGTTAAATGCATATATAAAGTAACATTTTTTTAAACTGAAGCGGCAGTAAGATCATCTATGAATTCTTGAATATTTTAATATAAAAACTACAGTGGAGATAGATAATAAAAGGTTGAAGAAGAGCACATCTGCAGATATTTTTTTTAAATGTTTTGGATATTTTATAGCCAGCTATCTAATTTCATGATGATGATAATAGCCAAAAATTTAAGGCTTTCAGATGTCACATGAAAAAGCAAAATTGTGAAGGAATGTTAAATAAAGATATAACTAAAGCTTTCTTTCCATTGCAATGTATTTCAATAAAAAAAAATTGTAATACAATTTTTTAGAAATATTAGATTAAAAATGCAGTAGCCACCCAGACAGTATAATGGTTAGGGAAGTCTGACTGCGATACCAAAGGTCCTGAGTTCGAATCCTGGAGAAGGCATAGATGTAAAATTGCCTGTCTCTTCATGGGAGGTAACAGTGGCCGAATATTAGGTCACTCCACAATAAAATGTTCACTGCTTCCGGCCTTAGTAATGACCAATGCCGTTACAGACAAATGGCTGCTATTTGTTTAAAAAAATTTTTTTTTTTTTTTTTTTTTTTTGCAGTTTTATCAACAAAGAAGCAAAACCACAATAATGACACCTCCCCCCCCAAAAAAAAAAATAAATAAATAAATAAAAAAATAAAAAATAAAAAAATAAGGTGTTAAGTAGTATGGTTCAAATAAAAAAGAATTACAAAAAATTTCCAAATAATGGAATATGTGAAAAAATGCAAATAAATGTTAACTACGGAATTATGTGTTAACATTGCCTCAGAAACCAATTAACAAAATCTGGAGCATGGTTTTAAACCCAGATATCATCACCGCTGAGAATAAAGAAAGTAATAAAAATTCAATTAAGAATGAAAAGATTTCAGTTGAATATTTAATGAGAATTCTTGACATGGCAATTACAGGATCTGAATGATGGAACTTTGTAAGTGAACAAAAAATTATACCTCTCTATGAAATTTAAAAAAAGATATTAACAAAAAAAAAAGTCTTAACAATTTATGTTGAAGCAAATGTTTAATAAAATAACTGTTAATATTAAGCCTTCCCGCCCCCCATTTTGTAAATTTTGATTTCCCTAGGATTGTAAATGCTTCATTATTTCAAAAACACACTTTTCATGTTTTTAATTTTATGATTCCTACACATCATCTTGCTAGATTTGTAATAATGATTAAAATCCTGACATTGCTGAAACCCTGAATCGCCTGATGATTCTAGATCTCTCACTTCGTTGTTAAAACAGAATATTCATTTCACTGGTCATAAACAATGGTAGTTCAATCTCTGGTCAATAATTTAAGATAAAAACCTCCTTCTGGATTCTGATAAGTTAATCTGCTACTGAAAAGTACATAGCTCATTTTTAAGTTAGAGAATTAAGCATCAAGAACTCATCTTTAGTTAAATTTTGAGCAACAAAAAGATAATTCCCATTTTATATTAACGTCTTGGGAAAATATAGGAAATATTATGAAAATTCTGTTATCAAGTTGCATAAATAAAAAATCTTTTGCTTGCTGTTTATCATCTCTAAGGAAATATTAAAAGTAAATAACAAATCATCAAAAAAAAAAACTGAAATTTTCCGGCATTACTGAATATGTTCAGAAAACTCACATAACATAAATTATTTATTATATTCCAAAACACTATATTTTTAAAAGTATTAGGCATGTTAATTCAGAGATGAAATGATCTGGAAACTCACGAAGTTTTCCTCGCATATTAATTCTATGCATGTGGCATTGGATGCATGAGACACAGTCAAGTTTAGTCCAATTCTGCACCAGAAATCCCCATTCAATGATCATTACAGCAGCACTGATGCTTTTTCTTAGCTTTACCGATGCTGCTGGCAGTGGGCTGTCTGCATAAAAATGTTCTTTATATCCTTAATAAATCCTTAATGTAGCCTCACAAGAAGAAGTCACATGTAACTAAAACATGACACTTGGAGAAACATGTTGTAAAATATGTGGCCTAAAACTTAACTACTATTCAGATGTGCATTGTGTGACCAATAAGGTACACTGGTGTGCAAAACTTAAGCAACTTGTGTTCTTTCTTGCATAACTACACGAAAAATCACCTGAGAGACATGAAATTCAAAATTAAGACACAGCATTTTGTATTTAAATGATAACCAAAGCATAATTGCGATAAAAATGAATACAATGCATACAGTATGAAATCAAACAAAAATAGGCTTTATTGAACTCATACATGATTGTCTGTACAAGAGGAAGAACAATAAACATATGTTCCTTACTATGAGATATGCCGTCCCCTTACTGCAACCTTGCTTCGAATGGTCTCTCCATACTCAGCACCAGATTGTCTAACAGATCTTGAGGTAAGACGGCATATTCCTCAATCAGCATCTGTTTCAGTTGCTGGGTGTTCATCGGAGGATGTAATCGTGCCACAAGGCATCTTCCCAAAGCATCCAACACATGTTCTACGGGATTTAAATCAGGGAAGCACGCTGGCCAATCCATTCGAGTGATATCTTCACTTTTCAGTAGCTTCTGAACAGGAGTCTGGTGTGGCCGTGCATTGTTATCCATAAAAACGAAGTCTGCTTCAATGACACCTCGGAACAGATTCTTTCCATGATAGTACTGAGATTAAAGCATATTCCGACCTCTCTCCAAATCAATTTGTGTTGAGAATCGCTTGTGGCACTAAAACCACTCTCATCTGTAAGGAGGATACAACTCCATTGACGAGATGCCCAGTTTTTGCGCTTCTTGCAACATTGTAAACGGTGACATCGATGGCCAACTTTCAAAGGGATGCAGCATTCAGGACCGCAGGTGAATAAGCCACCTTTTTGAAGGTGTCTGCACATAGTAAACCATGACACTTGTCGACCCGTTGCTTTACACAGTTGTTGAACTATGGAGTTTGGTGACTGGTTTCGTGCTCCTTTTGCCTGCAAGACAATATATCGGTCATCCACTGCAGTTGTTTTCCTTGGGCGGCCACCACCAACCTATCTAACAGCCGTACCTAGGGTTTATAAGGCTTTCCAAGCGCGCGAAAAGACACTTTTGTTGATTCCAAACTCTTCAGCTATACTGGTCACACATCATCCCTACTCCAGATTTTCGATCATTCTACACATGTGAAATGTGAAATCTTCCAGATCATTTCTTCTAGCCATATTTCATGAAAGAACTCCTTGTACTTGCAGCGAATGTCTTTAATTGCATCTCCATCTTTCCTTTTATGGCAGTCTCGAGTTGAGCGTGCCGACCGCACGCGTTTTGCGTACGCTCACGTAGCCTGTGACGTTTTTTTCTTGACATTTGCATACGCATGACCTTTCTACTGAATTGCGTGTTCATTGTACTGAACGCAAGAACCCCTTTCCTACAATTTAATGGCTATTTGATTAAAATTTACATTGTTGCTTAAGTTTTGCACACCAGTGAATATAAACAATATATGTAGTATTTAAGCAAAACTTATCAAGTTTCCAGTTCTTTTCATGTATCCATTAATATTGCATGATACTTTTAAAATAGGGATTGTAATTCTAGTGAACTGCTTTCCCAGTAAATTGCTGAAAATAGCTCACAATTTTTAAAGATAAATCAGCATTATTTTACTGATAATTTGGTAAAAATACATATCAATATGATCCATATAAAGTGAGATAAAAAAAAAAAAAAAAAAGGAGACTAAGTGTGTAGCTTGAAAACAGAGTGGAGTTGGCAACAATTGTCATGCCAGCCACCTCCTCTATCCATGCGGCCAGTTTCAACTTAATCGAACACTCCAGTGGGAAGTACTGCCTCATTGAATGAACATGTACAACTGCATTCTGCCAGAAAAATGTCTAATGTAAAAACCAAACAGCAAATCAATAACAAGTTTCTTCTGAAACTTAAGAAATCAGCCACGGAGGAAATATTTCAAATGTTAACCGAGGCTTATGGAGATAAAACTTTGTCTCATGCACGTGTGTTTGAATGGCATAAGCAGTTTTTAGGGGAAAGGAACAGTGTGGAAGATGATGAATGTGCTGCGGCCCAGCACATTCATCTTTCATGATTGAATGGGTTCCCAGTGGTCAGACTGTTAATCAATACTACTACAATGAAGTACTAAAACAGGACTTCGAGAAAAATATTACGGGAAAAAAAAGGAAACAGTTGTGGAGTGATGGATGGCTGTTGCACCAGGACAATGCATCTGCTCACACGGCCCTATCTGTCAAGCAGTTTCTGACCAGCAAAAATATTACTGTGGTGTGGGGCATCTTCCTCATTCACCTGATTTGGCTCCATGTGACTTTTTTTAAAATTTCCTAAAGTTAAATCTTACTTAAAGGGAACCCATTTTACCTCAGCTGAAGAGGTTCAGGCAAAAATGGGGAATCTTCTGAAGGGGCTTCCAAACACCTCATTCCAGAACTGTTACAAGCAATGGCAGCACCGAATGCAAAAATGTGTGAATCCTGAAAGGAAATACTTTGAAGGTGATAATGTCACGGAGAAACAGATGCTGTAAGTACAATGATTTATTGGACCAGTTGCTTTTTTTTGTGTGTGTGTGTGTGTCACACCTTGTATATGTCTTCTTAATTACCCCCTAATGTGTTAGAAAAACTTTCATAAGTTTAAAACCTGATATAATTTTTTTCAGAAATGTTTTAGTTATACAATATTAAAATAATTACAGATGATGAAACCTGATGACTTTCATTATAAGAACATAAGTTTATATTTCTTTATGTTGAATTAATGAATTAGTCAATCGCATTTTTTTTTTTACATATGTGCTCTATAAAAAGTAAACTTTTTTTAAATATTCAAGTAACAAAATTAAGAATGCTTTAAAGCATCATATAAAATCAAGATTTACAAGTTGATTCTGACATGAAAAACTGGAACGATAAAGATTATGGGATAATAAATCATGCAAAACTGCAGTTACAGAGAATGTCATGGAATGAATTGAATGCATATATAAGAACAAACCAGATGCTATTGAATTACAAGAAGCAACATGAGATACTGATTCTGAAAATTTCTTGGCTTAACTTTGTCAACTGCTATCTTATTAAGAAAGAAAAAAATTCAGTTTCTAATAAAACCAAAGCCACTGTATCTTGTGAAGAACAAACACTAATAAATAAATTAATCAATTAAAAACTAAATCAAGTTTTCAAAACAGGATGGTTTATTTTGAGCAGGAAAAAATAACATAGTTTTCGCCAATGATCAAATATTTGTCATAGGTGACCAGTTTTTGTATACCATCATCAAAGAGACTTCCCGCCAGTTTCGATAACCACGACTCCACAGCATTTTTCGTGTCATCGTCAGATCCAAAGCGCTTGCCACCAAGCTCGAGCTTCATGTGCAGGAACAAGTGATAGTCGGACGGCGCCAAGTCCGGGCTGTACGGCGGGTGATTGAACTGCTCCCAATGAAACTGTCGAATTAACGATTGAGTGACACCAACAGTATGGGGCCGAGCATTGTCATGGAGCAACACAATTCCTTCACTGAGCATTCCTCTTCGTTTGTTTTGAATGGCACGCCTTAGTTTTGTTAAAATCTCACAATATCGTGCCGCATTAATGGTTTCACCTCTGGGAAGAAATTCAGTAAGCAAAACGCCTTTCCTATCCCAGAAGACAGTGCACATGATTTTTTGTGATGACATTGTCACTTTGAACTTTTGTTTTTTCGGAGAATGAGTGTGTCTCCACTCCGATTGTTGTTCCGATTCTGGTGTGAAATGACACACCCAAGTTTCATCATGTGTCACAATTTGGTTTAAAAAGTTTTCTCCCTCATCACCATGTGAGAAATGTCAGGGCACTACCAAGTCGCTTTGTTTTGTGAACATCAGTGAGCATTTTGGGAACCCATCGGGAACACAGTTTGCGATAATTCAAGCGGTCAGACACAATTTAGAACAAAACAGTATGTGAAATTTGTGGAAATGTCTCTGAAAGAGTTGTCATTGTGAAGCGTCTGTTCTCATGAATTGCTTCATCAACTTTTCTTACCAAATCATTGGTGACAATAGAAGGCCGACCACTCCGAGCCTCGGTGTGGGCATTTGTTTCACCTGCATTAAACATTCTTACCCACTTTCTCATAATTCCATCACTTATCGCGTATTCACCGTAAACTTCTGTCACTTGACGATAAATTTCGGCTGGTTTAACATTCCTCGCGTTCAAAAATTTAATCACGGCATCAATCTCACAGTCAGCGGGAGAACTAATTGTCTTAAATATTTTGAATGTGCACAGAAAACTGAAAACACAACATAGAGCAACAAAAATGGCAACAACTGAAAGTCAGTGAACAAGAAAGACTAGTGCGCATGCGCGGGATGCCTATCACAGTGCTGCGACGGCGCTAGAATGAAACGGTACTTAGTTTCCGAATACGCTATGTACATACAGCTCTTATTAAATCTAAAGTTGCGTCTCTTGTTTTAAAGAAAAATCCAGCTGTCAAAAAGCTATTGCAAAATCTTTAAATAACTCTGTAGGAGCTGTGAACAAAATTATAAAATCTGATTTAAAGATAATTAAAAAAAAAAAAAATGATGTTCATCGTTTAACGTTGAAACATGTTTCTCAACGTAAGACTATATGCAGATTGCTGTATGAAAATTATTTGGCAGGTGAAAATTGGAAATATATAGTTACAATTGATGAAGCTTGGATATACTTATCTGATTTTAATAGAAAAAGATCAATTTACTACCAAAAAAGAGGAGAATAAGACTTAATATGTTTGTTCACAGAAAAGAAGGAAAGTTTTTCTAAAGATTTTATGGTTATTAATGGATTCTATTAAACAGAAAACTTAAAATAAGGAAAGTAGAAAAAATGTCAAAATTCATTCGGATTACTATCAGAAATATGTTTTGACATCTGTTCCTAAATAAGAAATTCCGTCTCTTTATCCAAACAATCTTCACTATGTTAAGTTCCATCAGGATAAGGCTACAAGCCATACCTCTAAATCTCTTGCTCTATTTTTTGAAAAAATGAGAAATAAAACCGGAATTGAAGTTATTCCTTTTAAATGCATCCACATAAGTCCACTGGTGTGTTTCCTATGGATTACTGTGCATTTGGACTTTTAAAACAAGCTTTTTATAAGTGGCTTTTATTTCATTTTTTTACATATGTGTATGATACTTTTATGTTTCATGTCCAGAATATAATTTACATTAATACATTTTTGTGATGCCTTTTGAATAAAAAATCTGTTTTTGTATCATTTGCTTATATATTTCCAATAAACAGTTTGGAAAAAAAATATTTGTAAATTGCTGTTAAATTGACAACTTTACTAAATTATTGGTAATTAAAAAAAAGTGGTACATTTACAATATATATTAATATATCTCTATTTTATTTTTAAAAAAAACCTAAAACTTAATGTATTTCAGTTTTTTTTCTTTAGAAAAATTTACCTTCCATATTCAGAAAAATGATTATTCCATAAGTCAAGCTTTTGTTTTTCTTCAGCAGATGTAGTAACTGAATCTTGTTGAAAAAGTTTGTACAATGGAGGCTGGATGGACCAAGTTCTTTCACCTAAAAAATATGTTTACAATTTATTTAATTCTCATTAAGAATTAATACTGAATACATAATATATATATTTGAATATATAATTACTAGTGAATATATAGTATGAACATACTTCATTTTGTTTCCTTAACTTGTATTCAAAATTATCCTGTTATTCTTTTTACTTGATGATGATATATTAGATCAGCATATATTTAGGCCAAAATTAATGGACTTTTATTGCATTTATTTTTCTGCTTCATAAGTACCTGATAATTATACCAGAGATCTCAAACTACACATGAAGATATTTCAATTATGTATTTATTGCAAGTATGCCACTGCAAAGATTTTAGTTTAAGTCTGAGTTTACATTATTTTCATTTCCATTAAAAATGAATATGAATAATGAACCAGAAAGTCTATTGATGGAGTTACTTAATTTTCAATGAGATATAAGTTTTATTCAAAAATTTGAAAATACAGATTTGATTAACTTTTATTTGTACCTACAAAAATAAATAAATAAATAAGCTCAATTATGAATTTTTGCATGTTTCATTTGGAAACGTACTTATATGAGAATCCGCCCCTTTTTTTACAGTTGAAATTTAGTATGAAATGAACATGATTGACCAATGAACATGATTTCTAGTAATGTCTCTCTAAGGCATCAAAAAAGAGAATCAAAATGACATCCATTGTCAAGCCACAGAAAGAAATAAAGAAGTTTTACAAACATATGCATTTTTATTAATCTGTTGAAGAAAATTGAATAAATAAGGGAAAGTCACTAAACTGGTTTTATTTATACTCAAGTTTTGTACGCTTGGAAAATTTTCTCTGAAAACTAAGAAAATTTTCAAAACTTTTATTTTTAATTAGTTATTTAATGATTAATTATATAGGCTTCAATGATTTGAAATAAATGTCAATCTGAAGTATTAATATATTTACTTGTCAATATGTTTCAATTACAAAGTGTAACAAACAAATATATCTTGCAGGTACCAAATTTCAGATTTCAGACAGGAAATAAATATAAATTTAATTTTTTCCCCCTCTCAATATGGTTTTTACATATATTTTCATAAAAAAAATTTTATAATGGCCGGGTGTTTTATTTAATAGCTATTAGTGTAAGCACCTAATAGGTGGCCACCATATGAAGGGATGGACATTTACAGCCAAGCCTTCTCCGGGTCTCTAACCACTATACCGACTGGGCAGCATTTTCATAAAAATTAAGTAAGCAAAATTAATTTTTTTTCATTTTTAAATATTTTTATTTATTTATTTTTGTTAAAAATTTTTACTTCATTATTAAAAAAGGGAAAGTTTGGCCCATCAGTTATTTTCAGATCATGCATTTGGCTCACAGGAAATTTGAGTCTGAATCATAAAATCTAAATTTTAATACCTTTAACATAAGCAATACAACACATATAAGTAAAATTACTAATTATATTTACAGGAAGATTAGCCCAACTTATAAAATATGAAAATTTTAAACAAGTTTGTTAAAGTTAAAACACTATACAGGGAGCCTCATAAAAAATGTGGCATTACATACAGGTTAGATGGGAAAAAAATGCTGTTGGAATGGTTTTGGCATAGAGCTTCATTTAGGAGACATGAGACTTGGAGTCTATGTCACTTCCAAACAAGTGAATGGAAGAGATAATTGTGATGTAATTGTGAGGAGAATAATAAATTGTGAGGAGAATAGTATAAAGACATACATCAAATCCCTGCAAATGCCTATAGTACCTTACAAGAATAGTTGAGTACTGAATATATAGGCAAAACTAAGAATGTCAGGGAAATGTACTTATGTCTGTCAGTAACTACAACTGCACAGCCAGCTGTGATCAACAATATGCTGTGACCATAAGATTAACAAAAGATGCTTATGTACAAACAACAAATCATGATACTTCCTTCATGCAGATTTTTGGAACATAATTTTGCACATATGCATTATCTTTAATTGTTTCCACTTAATTTCTCTACTACTAGAATTCCATTCAGTTGCAGAGCGTCGGTTGCATTGCATAACAATGTACTCTTCACAAGAGACAATGCTCACATACATCTGGTACAACCTTGCTTGGCAATGTCCATCAGCTGAGTGGCCCAAGCTGTTTTGTAATCATTTCACTCACATTAGCAGAAATGCAATTACATATTTATCAGTCTTTCTCCTCTTCTCCTTTTGCATTTGTATTTCTTTTAATTTTAAAAATCCAATATGATATCAAGAGGAAGAATGAAGATCATAAAACAGTAAAAAGCTGCAAAGTTTATAAGAATTTTAAGTTTTACTGACATTTATTTTATTTTAAAACTTTACTATCCTCTCTTATTTTCCATTTCCAGCCAGAATAAGCACGAGTAGAATTGTTTATGCTAACAAGGTGCTGATATACTAAGACATATTGTAGTATTTGCCTTTCGTTCCCTACATGCGTAGTGTCAAAAGACCAATCTTCACATTACTAGTCTCTGTAAACCATTTAAATTTAGTTCTTATTTAGTTTAGTTTATTTCTTATTTTTTACGTTTTAGACCAAAAGCGCTGGTCTTTGTATCCTAAAGTGCAGGAGTGGCTGCATGCTGTGAGAAATAAAGGGTAAAGTTAACCCTTCTTATTTATATTGTATCTCCTCCATACACAACACACAAGCATAGTTTGAGTAAGCTCCCTGTTCTTATTCAAGATTACTAAATGTTCCCGAAGGAAATTAATTAGAAGGAATGGCTGTCCTTACAAGTTTTGTTGTTATATCAGAAAATAATTTAAATTTAAGGTAAGTTGAAAAATGGTACACATTTCACTGCTAGCATAACAGCAATACAGGAGAATAAAGAAAAGGTTCAATTCATGTCAAAACAACACTTTGGCAAAGATTGCTTCAGTTGCAAGAAAAATTTTGCAAACGGAAAAGATGAAAAAAATCTTAACAGCTTGGGTTGACAATCTAATAGGCTAAAAAGGCTCAGTAATAGAAGATGTTACTATTTGAAACAAAGCTTTAGATTTGTTTTATACCCAACACATTTTTTCCACATATACTTTGTGCAATGTGATTTTGCCACATGCAGAGGGTATTTATGACACAACTCCCTGCATTCAGCAAGGATTTACTGTATACACAAGGATGTTGTATGCTGTGTCCCACACCACATATTTCACAAAGCACTTATTTTGCTGACTAGTAATGGCAATGCAAGAGACACTGCATTGTTGCAGTATGGACTGTCTGAAATCTTCCAAAAATACCTGGCATCATCAAAACATTCTCGAAGACTGACTGAATATACACAATAATATTCTTTATGGCAATCAAGAGAATTGCCATAGACAATTGCACAATAATATTCTTTATGGCTCTCTATGGAATCATTTGTATTGGCTTCTCCAACACAAGTGATTTTATATGATCTCTTAAAAAGAATCTATGGGTTTTCAGTCTGCTGATTTGCGGACAAAAGAACATCACTGGGTGCCCCTCCATTTGCCTAGCCAGATGTGACATCAGGGGATTTGGCCTCTCACATATCTCTTGCACTAATTGGAATACCAACACATTCCAGTGGCATTTTCAGTCTTTTAGCCTCTGAATATACAATGTAACACAATGTGACTGACAAAATTTTTTCTGAGACATCCTGTTGATTCATCAGCATTAATTTACAATTAAAACTCCCTTTATGATACAGTAACCCCGACTTACAAATATCTGCAGCTATATAAATATAAAAAAGCCATTTGACATTCAAACCGAAACTTTCATCAGTTAAAAATAAGGACCCCATAAACAATTCTTGTTTTCCTTGCATTTAAACAATAAATCCTTAATTTATAAGATAATATACCTACATACATATACATACATTTAATACTAATAAATATTGCAGTTCCTTGCAAAATTATACTTAAGCAATTTATTAAGAGGTTATTGTCATTCTTAAAGGTTTACAAAATGCATTACTTATATAACTTGAGACTAACTCTTTTCTGCTATATTGAACCATACTGCAAAAAGAGAGTATTTTTCTTAATATGTGAATGTGCATATAGAGACATGCAAGATCAAAAATATGTAAATCAGTTTTAAAATTTAATTTAGCAATAGCCTCTCAATTCATTTTTAATTTTGGGTATTTCTCTCTCTGTATTCTAAAAACAGTAATAACTTTTCTGGACTTTGTCATTTCTAGATCAATGTCACATGGCTTGATAATGAATGTTACATGGCTTGATAATCAATGCCACGTGGCTTGATAATGTAGCTAATTCAAAACTTAAATTCAAAAGTGTTTCTCTTAATAAGCAATCTAAACCAAAACCTTCTTTTGGTGAGCTTCCATAATGGATAATAGCACACTTTAACTTAGCACATTTAACTCCATAGTGGATAATAGCACACTTGTTCTGCTTGATTCCTATCATAACAGTATCAAAAATGTAGATGTTCTTGAATAGCAATGATTAGAGTGCTAAGTAAATTATGGCTACAAATGTCAATTGAAATAAAGTTGAATATTTAATCTTATTTAACTACTAAGTTTCTTCTTCAATATGGATCTACTTTCTATGTCATCAGCACTGCAATGTCCTTTTCATCACAATGTTGCTATGTCTTTTTCTGTTAAAATACTGTAAAGAGTATCCTAATTTTTTCAAGCAATAACTGAAAAATCTTTGCTTTAATATCATAATTTTAATATTTTACAGTCCTTATAAAAATTCCTGTTATCAATATAAAACCAAAATTTTCTTTTATACATATTCATGAAATTTGTATTAAAATTAATTATTTATGACAATTATAATTTTAACATTTCTAAAATAAGCCACATTTTCTTACTTGTAAAGCAATTAAAATGTACTTTAGAAATTAATAGCAGAACATTAACAAAATACAATACAATGGCAGAAAAACTTCGACTGAAATGGACATGTCCTCACAAAGTGAATCAATGTTAGAACCTGCTGATGGTTGTGGAATGCTTAAAATACAATAGAACCTAAAAACTTCCATTCCTTTAAAAAGGTAACTAGCTTTTAATATAGTTATCAACTTAAACAATAAATCTTTAATTTATAAAAAAAATGCATAAGCTTAGCTTATTAGCTTACGCATTTAAAACTTATTGCCATAAAAATCTTCAAATTAGTTAATTGAAATAAAAATATATATATAATTAAAATTTAAGATGTGTATTCAAGATAGGCCTTTTAAATTTTGTAAATAAAACTCTACATTGCCTTACAATAATAATATTGACCATATAATTTTGAGGTAATAAGGAAATAAACTTCATTATTATATCTGTTTAGGGTAGACTTTTAATATTTTTTAAATATGAAAATTTTAAATACATCTATTAATTATGTTACAAAATCACAAGGAATTTCAAAATATTATAATCCGATTTATTTTGCATTTGAAAGATCATTTGAAATAATATTACTAAAAATATGCTTTCTATTACTTTTCATTTGTTGAACCAAATTTGGAATTTTCAATGCCATATAATTTTTAATCTTTCAGTAATGCAATACAGTTAACCCAATAGAAACAGCATTATGTATTCAAATCTCAAAATAATAAAAATTATTATTAATATTAGCAGTTTACTATTCCATAAAACATTTTAGTTACAATAATGAATGACCAAATTATCTAACTCACAACCAAGAAAAATATTTAGTGTACACTATGATAACAATATTAAAAAATATTAAAAATGCATTATGAAATAATATTAAAAATACTCACAAAATCCATGCATTCAAAAGCATTTTAAAATACTGAATTGTCATGCTTTCATTCCTTGAACGATAGTTTTATATTTTTCAAAACAGCACAATACATTGCAGAAATTTTAAGCAAAATTTAGCTATAAAATATAGGGTCTGCAGCATTTAATAATTTTGTTTCATTGAAAAATGAACCTCAGTAAGTTCACACAAAGACAATAATTTTGAGTTTATGAATGACAAAATGGTATTAGGAAAAGTGTAGTGCAACCAGCAATTTTCTGTCACACACACTCAGATCATTGATCTTGAACCCATTGTAATGTTGAATCTCTTAAGCATTAAATCATTTTGATGACTTAAAGCTCACTTTTCCCCCTTAATTATTGAAATAGTAATGCCACATTTCATTTCACTGGACATTAGAAATTTTGAACTTGCAGATAAGTAGGCACATTTATTTTAATTTTGTAGATATTTTATGGAAATCCAATTAGGCAATAAATTTTCCACTGAGATTGATAGCATGGAATCAAGATTTCTTTCTTTCTTTAACACACTTTATAATTCCAGAGATCAATTTTCCAACAGTACTTATGACATGCTGTTAGACTCATTGTGATGAAAAGGACAGAGGATGATGGCATAGAACATAGATCCATACTGAAAAAGAAACTTGGCAACAGACTAAGATTAAATATTCAGATTATTTCAATTGATAGTTGCAGCCACAATTTACTCGGCACTCTAATTGTTTCTATTCAAGAATGCTAACATTTTTTATACTGCTGTGATGGGAAGAGAGCAGAGTGAAATACTACTATCTTAGCAGGAAGAGACAAAAGCTAAAGTGTGCAATTATCCAATATGGAAGCTCAACAAGAATAGGTTTTTGCTTAGGTTGCTTATTAAGAGAAAGGTTTCAGTTCTTGAAATTCTGAGTTCAAGTTCCAAATTGGCTACATCATCAGCTTTACGCAAACCATGTGACACAGCTTGATCTAGAAATGATGCAGTCCAGAAAAGTTATTAATTTTTTTTAGAACAAAGAGAGGAAATACCCAAATTAAAAATGAGGGATTAAGAAACTATTGCTCAATTAAATATTTGTTTTATCTTAGATACATGTGTGTATGTGAGGTCTACCTTCATATACTTTCCAAGAATAAGTTAGGTCCACCTTCATAATACTTTCCTCAGAAAACATACCAGTACAATACTAAGTTACTGATTTGAGGAGAAATACTATAAGGCATGGATTAAAATAAAAATACAACATTCCTACATTTTCTTTTATTTTTTATATTTATAACTGACTCTGTTTCATATGCATAGTACATATGTTCACTGTGTTGTGATGCATTTGCTAACCTGTTGAAAATGAAATTTTTCCAAAATAATCAAAATTTAAATAAAAGACATTTTCTAAATGTTCAATCTGATCGCCCTTTCTCTGATCTACACCTAAATTTCAACAATAAATGGGCACTTCTTGTGTAACATTAGCCCTTTTCTCCTCTTTCTATTGCTTTTAACAGCCCATTAGTAATTAAAACAGGAGAGACTACTGATGACACATTAGAGGACTTCTGAAGAATATAAACAAAGGATATAAAATTTAATACTCATCTCTTTTACAATTTTTGGAAGAATTTTAACAGATTTTTATGTATAACTGATAGCATTATCATGACGAAGTAATATTCATTCCTGGCTATATATATAAAGATTTATCAGTAAAGACATAAAGTAAGAAATTCAAAACCAATTTTACAAAGAGCAAAATTTGAAATTCATAAGTAATAAATTTCATAAAATCCAATAAATGGAAAAAAAGAATTTAATCAATGTTAAAACTAAAAATTTTAAACAAATTTAATCTACAAAAAATCCTTACTTTTCTGTATCCAGAATTAGCCAATGAGCCTTTTCAATTTATTTTAATTATAATAGTTCACCCAAAAATTCTGAAAAAATTCTTTTTGTAAAAATATAGGGGTTGAAAAGTATTTTGATAACAAAAAGAACTGATTTTAAAATTTCTCCACTCAACTTTTCCTAGCTTTAATTTCTTATAATATGAGAAACTGTGCAATCATAAATCTTTTACTAAAACATTCTTTTAATACTAAATGTATTTTTTTGCTGAATGATTCTCGACCCATAAATCTTTTACTGAAACATGAAACAGGAAAGAAAAAAAGGGGAAAAAGATTACAAGTCTTTTTCTCCATTTCTGCTACAGAAATAGATCCCTCCATAACAGTCATTTGAATAAATGCATGCTCCATCAAAAGGCACAACATATTTCCATTTATTTTCAGCTAAATAATTCTAATTAGAAGTTCTTTCAGCCATTTGTATTAGCAAAAGGCAGATTTCTGCTATCTTAAGATTTAAATCTTTATTATTCAGCTTACTGGTACAAAAACATTTAAAAAAAACTCATGTTTTTCTTTTAATTATAAATAATACTAAATATTTTACACTCAGAAATGTTAATTCTATAATTAATTCTATGAAGAAATGTTAATTCTATAATTAATTCTATGAAGAAATGTTAATTCTATGAAGTGTTTTTTAATTCCAGAATAAAAAATAAATAAATAAATAAAACACAATCTTCTATCCAAATTTTGTTTATATGTGCCATATTTAATACAGACACAATTAACCACATCAGATAATTTAGATTCAAAACAATGAGTTGCAAATTATTCTTCTGAATTATGTTTTTAATGAATTTTTTTTAAATGAATGAATATTTTCTAAAAGTACTGACACCAAAGAACATTATAAATATATAAAAATAATATGACTATTTTTTTCCCAACTTTTGTTAACTAAATACGTGAAAATTACACAACATATGAAAGTTCATTTTAAACTCACAAATGTTGCCTAGCAAAATTTCATTAAGTTTGAATTTGATAACTTGATTTCATACATTTTCCTAAAAATATGTGTCAACATTTATTTAAAACAATTATTTTTTAGTTAAACCTCACTACCTTTGATTTTCTTTGGGGGGGGGGGACAGAGAGGTTAGGAAAAATTTGTTGAGTTTTTTTGAGATGAACTGTAATTTAGCCTCATCAGTCACAAAATTTTATATAATTTTTTACCTGTGATAAACATATTACATACAATACATTTTCTCTTGAACAAAATGATATATCATATATTATGATATTTGATGCTGTTATATGACATACTTGCTTTAGAAGAGTTTGAAGCACCATCATCTGAATTTGAAGAGCCATAACTGAAAAATAAAATATTAATTAAATAGAAAGAATATTTTTACATTCCCTACCTTTCCCTTCCTCATAAAGTATATATAACTACAGAACTCACATATGGTGCATATACATATTGTATAGTTCTAATAACAGAAAGCCGAAGCTGATTATGTAAATAAAATATAATGAATTAAAACTTTAAAAAAATACATACTATATTGCATCATATATAATAAAATGAATAACTAAAATGTTATTCTAAGAATGAATGCCTCACCTACAAATGTTTTCATTAGTCTATAGATAGAATGCATTGGATTTTGAGGTGTACTTAATAGTTAAGTTTATCAACTGCAAATTTATATTACACACGCAAAAAAAAAAAAAAAAAAAAAATCAAGAAAACTTTGTAAAGACATTTTATTCAGCCACCAGAAACTATGCTATTGATAAACAATCAATACAACGTCATAAGTTATAGCTTTCAAAAGAAATACATGTTTATTCTATTTATTATTATTATTATTATCATAACAAAATTACCCCATTTGTTTCTTATCCATTCTTTATTGTATCAATGGAATTAATGTAACTAGAAAACTGAAGTGGTACAATTTTAGGCATCACTTACAAGAAAATCACAATTTCATATACAGATAACTATGCTTTAATACACGTACAAAACTTTTTCTAATAAACCGAGAATCAATTACAAAATCACTCTGCAGCTTACATATTAAAGTCAATTTAGTGCTTATCCAATTAAATAAATGTAGTAATAAAATTGTTAATACTATAATAAATTAATATTGATAATGAAATTATTTGGTTTATCAGAAAAGTCATAACATATTTTGGTAGAAGATGGTGCAATGATGTGATTATGGTAAAGCCTCGAGGGTATCTGCCTAAGAAGGAGGATGCCTTTGTACAGGAATTTCTAATAATTTTCTAAGGGAAATTGGCTCATATAACATGTTGCAATAAGGAAAACCACAAAAACGCACATGCAGCCAGCCCAATCGCGGAATTAGAACCTTGGACCAAACTACTAGTAGTCAGTGTCTCTACTGCTCAACCGCTGGTAGGCCTTGAAGATGGCAAATGTTGACTTGTGAAAGTCCCAGAGTTATTCACATCCATGAATTAAATAGCTGAAGTTAAGTGTTATGTGCACTAATATTGATCTTACTTTGGTTTTCTTTTACAGATTTGACAACACATGGAAGATGGAAGACCAAAAGCTGCATTTCTGCTATATATTATTGTTTTATTTCAGGAAAGGGAAGAAGGCACAACAAACCTGTGAAACTTGCATAATGTTTATGGCAACATTGGCTCTATACAAATGTCAATGCTGATGCTGGTTCACGATATTCCATGCTGGTGATTTTAATCGCAACGATGCCCCTTGGTCAGTAAAGCCAATCAAGGTTGGTGATGAATAATAAAGGCATTTATTAAGTCCAAGCCATCGTTACACAATATGAGAGATTTCAGAAACATTGAACATCCATCAATCAACTGTTCACGATCATTAGAAGGGAATGGGATGCATAAGCAAGCTTGATGAACTCAAAAGTTCATTTGATGACATGGGTAAACATATGTGACATGCACATTAAATGTGAGGAAAAGATCCTTTTTAAAACAGACTGGTAACTGGTGATAAGAAGTGGATCACGTATGACAATGTGGTGCACAAACGTTCTTGTCGAGGTAATATGCCTCAAACAACATCAAAAAGACATTTATAAGAGAAAGATTATGCTGTCAGTGTGGTGGAATTTTAAAGGTATCATGATTTTTGAGCTTCTACCTAGGAACCCAACAATCAATTCTGAAGTTCACTGTGGCAAATGAACAGTTTGAACAATACATCATCCAAAAATGTCCAGAACTCATTAATTGTAAAGAAGTTGTGTCCCATCACAACAATACAAAACCACTCACTAGTTTGGTCACATGTGAAAAAATTTTAGAACCTGGATGGGATCTGTTGCCACAACCACCATATTCACTTGATCTTGCACTGCCGATAAGGACAGGTCCTTCTATGAATAAAAAATTCCTCATTTTAACTTCGGCATTTTCTCTCTATATATTGTAATTTTTTCTGGATTGCATCATTTCTAGACTAATCTATATCCTACGACTTAAACATAACTATACTCATAACACAGCTAATTAGAAGCTGAAATTAAAAATTTTGAGAATTGAAACCTTTATTTAAATATGCTTCCATATCGAATATCTAAGCTCTTTGCTTCAACCTACAGGGGTTGGACAAAAATATGGAAACACCTTATTTAGCAATATTAAGCACTTATCCATATTAAGCAAAGAAACAAAACATGTTACTTTGCTTAATATGGTGTAGGAAACCCGTTGGCATCCAAAACAGCTTGCAGTCTTCTCGGAATGGATAAATACAGTTCCTGTATGTTTGCCAAGGGAATATTATACCATTCTTCCTGCAAAACGGTGGCAAGTTCAGATAACGATGTTGGCGGTGGATAACAAGAACACACTTTCCGTTCCAATGTAGACCACAAAGGTTCGATAATATTTAGGTCTGGTGACTGTGGTGGCCAGGGGAGATGGGACAACTCATCCTCGTGCTCAGAAAACCAGTCCTGGACAATGTGAGCTGTGTGAACAGGGGCTTTGTCGTCTTGGAAGACACCATCACCATCGGGGAACAAAGTTTGTACCATGGGATGAACTTGATCGGCCAAAATGTTCACATAAGTCTTGGCAGTCAGGTGCCCTGACACAGTTATCATGGGGCTAGTAGATAACCACGATATGGCTGCCCAAACCATAACAGAACCCCCGCCATGTTTCACTCTTGGCAACAAGCAGTCTGTATTATAGGCTTGAGATGGTGTTCTCCAGACGTAAACTCGGCCAGAAGTGGGAAACAATGTGAAAGAAGACTCGTCAGACCATATTACTCGCTTCCACTGCTCTATAGTCCAGGCTTTATGACTTAAACACCACCTTTTTCCTGTTACGGGCATTAACATCACTGATGAGTGGCTTCTCAATTGCAGCACAGCCAGCAATTCCCTGTTTATGAAGCTCCCTTCTAATTGTTTTGGTACTCATAGGGTTCGGTAACACAACATTCATTTCAGCAGTAACTTTTGCAGCTGTGGTCTTCTTATTTTTCGTCACAATTGCCCTTAATGATCGTCTGTCACGATCACTCCACTCAGGATACACTTTCGTCCGCGCTGTGATTTAGCAGATGATGTTTTTCCGCTTTTCAAAACATGCGGAATAAATCTTCGATACAGTACCTCTTGAAACACTAAACACCTCAGCTACCTTGCTTATGGAAGCACCTACCATACGTGCTCCAACAATTTGCCCACGTTCGAAGTCTGTTAACTCTGACATAATGCAATGACAACCTCACATAACAGTACTCCGACAACAACTGAACTGTTTAGCACATTTACGAAGTTGTATAGGTGGCGTCAGTAGTCAAAAACGCCAGCGCCACCTACATATTTCATTAAAATCAATCTTTCTTTTCAAACATGCATTTCACAAGGTGTTTCCATATTTTTGTCCATCCACTGTACGTTGTCATTAAGATACTGCCAAACTGGTGAATTGTGGCTACAAATGTCAACATGAGAAAAAAATATTTAATCTACATTACAGAATGATCACATAAAGCAAAAAACAGATTAATTTTCTGATGATGCAGTCCATAAAGTTATTATAAACAATTTCTGCTTTTAGAACAGAAAAGAGAGAGAGCCAAATTAAAGAAGGGAATGAAAAGGATTACTGCCACATTAAAATTATCACCTTTCTTTTATATTTTATATCTTATATACACATATATAGTTAGTGTATGTGTTCAATAAAAATTTCAACATGATGATGTAGAACATTATGATGAAGCTTGTGCTTTAAGACAGAGCAGGATTCATGGACACTTAAACATTCTTTCATTTCTAATAAAACATTCTTGAATACATAATATATATAGTCCAACTGAGGCAAAATGCACACTCATTCTTCTTTGATAACATTCACACTTTTATAACATATTTGAAAAAAGAAAGAAAAAGAACTAACAGCAAACTAGCAGGATAAGAAATGCATAGATTACAAAATGACTGTTACTTATGCTTCACTTTATTTCTGTTGGTTAATTAAGGTTTTGGTTCACAAAATTTAACACTATTATTGGCCAAAAAACTTTTTGTATTGTTTAAGTACACATGTCATGTGACAGAGATTAATTCTAAAATGGTTCATTTCAGAAAGATTTATTATAAACATGTCACTATTTCTTTATACTAAAATTATAAAAGAAAATATGGGGGGACAGAGCCTAATTTCAGTGTTTTAATTGAATGCACAAGCTCCAAACTTGTTTTAATCAGTGCATCTTTTTGTTTCCTCCAATATCGAATCAGAGTAGGTTGTACCGATAGATTTAACACTATTAACTTCAATGAATTGTAAAACTTTTAATATAAATTTTGCTTTGCAACTACAATTATTTCCTTTCCCCATGGTTCTGAAAATTCATGGTACACTGAACTCATAGTACACACATGCAAAAGAAACTTCTAACTACAAATTCTCAAAATTTGTGATACAGTGCATTCAGAGTACACACATGTCTAAAGAAACTTCTTCTGTCTATGAATTCTCAATCCTAAATAAAGAATGAAAGTGAATTGATGATGTTAAAGTCATGAATATCACATAGATTGCTACATATCTGTCTTAATTACCTTGTAAAGCCCCAGGGACATCTCACATGAATGAATCTTGACTGCAGTTCCCAAGCAAAATATCGGAGGAAGGGAGTGGATTTAAAGGCACCGATTTCAAAAGCTCAAACACATCAGCGGTAGATAAGAATAGAATGAGCTGGAACATAAATAACAGATATGAAGTGAAATCACATATTTCAAAAGTTTCTTAGTGCAAGAACACGTGCCCTATCCAGGTAGATTAATGGAGAGGCTGCCCAAAATACGTTTCAAATAATAAATGCACGTATGCTAATTCAAAAATGCAAATAAAAATGGATATACTGAATAAATATAAAAATGGAATACATTTACCAATAAACCAGACCTCAATGGAAAAAACTATGAACAATAGTGGAATTGGAATATTGTGCAAATATTTTTTAAATGTTCAGAACCTAGCACTAAAAAATAAGGAGAAAAAATACAAGAGGATATACCTTATAGATAACAAAACTTTCAAGTTATTAAGCTTATGCATTCAATCAAAACACTTAAATTGGGCTCCAGTTTTTTTGCTCATATTTGCTCTTTTAATCACAATATAAAGACAGCCAATAACTTTGACAGTTCTGCCTTCTTTGTACAATTTAACTGTATAGCAAATGAAGTTTGTATAAAATATCATACAGCTTTCCCATATTAAAATGATGAAATTACTACATTCACCCTACACTAGTGGGAATATGAGGAAACCAGAATTGGAGGAACCATTTCTTGTAGTAATACCATAAAACTATATTATAATTTAATCAGTAATGCAACATAATAGCATTTATGAAGGATTATTATATTACAATAGCATAAGGAAGAATGTTGAAATATGTGCAGAAAATGAAAAATACAAAAATTCCTAATAGAGTTTCTTATAGCATTGCCTGACGCTGCCTTCCCATGAAGTGAACAAAGTTTTTTTAGCTCCACAGCTGTTACAATATGAAAACAACATGGATTTTTTTCTATTTAATTGGATTTTATTGCAGCATATTTTTTGCCTTATGAGTTTTATTAGCCAACTCTACAGATTTTTTAACGTGGTTAAGGTCTTGGCTATTCCAGGCCATTTTAGCAGTGAAATATTATCTAAAAAAACCCTTTTTGTTCACAGTAGCAACATGATAGAGAGATGAATCCTGTTAAAATATAAATGCTTCATTATCTTAGAAAGAACCATGAGCAGAAGGCCTTCAGAGTTTGGGCTCAAGTATTTCATTCATGTATTTTGAGCCATTTATATTTCATTTAGAAAATATACCATAACATAAAAATAACAAACAGGGAAGTTCCCAGAAGAAAATAAAGAAAATTAAAAATAAATTAATATTTAAACTTTAATTTGAGCAATGCATTGCATAAAATGACTATAAACATATTTCTACAATTTAATATATAAAAAAATTGAAAATTTTTATATAATAAAAATAATTTGCTTTCCACTTCATGTCAAGTTCAATTACCTTGAGGTTATTTTACCCCCAATTAGTTTGTAAATCCGCCTAAAGGGGGGCAGTACATATACATACCTTTAGGCGGATTTACAAACAGATTTACAATTAGTTTGTAAATCTGCCTAAAGGGGGTGCAGTACAGTAGTCAAACTTAGTTTGACTAGTTTATCTACTAGTGAAGCTTGTCTAGCACTGAAATGTACTGCCCCTTTCAGACAGATTTACAAACTAATTTTGGGTATAATAATCTCAAGCTAACGGACTTGACATGAAGTGGAAGACATATTATTTTTCTATTGATTTGTTAAAGAAAAAAACTTTTTTAATTAATTTTTATCATGCATATAACACACTAACAGTTCATATTTAAAATAATTAAACTTCTTTATTTAAAAAAATAAATTAGGTTGCAAAACAAAGAGGTTGAATAACATGAAACTTGAAAGGGACGGCTATTTTTGCCTACGATCACACATTTAAAGATTTATATCTAAAAAATTTCAATTGATTTTTTTATATTTTGAATTGTAGAAATATATTTATAGTCATCTTTATGCAATATATTGCTCAAATTAAACTATAAACATAATTTATTTTGAATTTTCTTTCTTTTCTTCAGGGACAGAATATGTAAGCAAAACTTGAAAATGGGCCAACAAAAGTTTTGTAATGATAAAATATATTGTTACATGCATGCAGGTTCGTAATGGACTGAATGCACAAAAACAAAAACACACAAAACTGATAACAGCTTGATAAAATTTTCCACAAAGAAACAATTTACAATTCTGGAACTTCACACAGAAGCTCTCTTAGTATCACAAAGCACAACCAGTAGTTTACATCAACTACAAAGAATGTTAAACACAATGCAATGTTAAGTGCATCTAAAAAGCGAAGCTCTCATGGAGATCTCAATATTCTGAACCAGTTCTGAACTAACAACTGAGAAACTAACGTTCTCTCCGATCTTACATAGTTTTTCCCAACCACCAAGAATCCTCTAGTACCTTCCATTTCTCGAAATTACGTAAAAATTATATATGAGGTCAGATATGATTACAGTTACATATATAGATCGATTACAATACCAATTACAGTTATACAGGGACTGGACAAAAATATTGCCAAATGGTTGCCAAGTTAGGTGATTTCTTGCCAAATTTTGGACAAAATGTATTCTTATTTTTTTGGCAGAGATTCATCTCTTTCAAGCTCTTAATGTTACATTACACAAAAAATACTACAATTCACATTAATTTAACTAAAATTATTTACATATGTACAAAATTTGTAACAATATTTATATACTCCTAAAATGTACCCAAAATGTGTTGAAATAAATTAAGAATTAAAACTAATAAAATTCAATAAAACATCTTCAAAATTTGCATTTGTTTTGTTTTTTCAATTTTGAATTTAAAAGATTTGCATACTTTTTTTTAAAATGTTGGACTATTATTTTTGAAAGTTTTGTTTTTGGACTCAATCAATTTAGTTTCTTTTAAATTTGTCTATTATTTGCAATTGTATATAAATATATATTGATTTCTCTCTCGTTTTTATGCTACAATTTTTTTACAGCATAGTCGGCCTATATGAGTTAGACTGATAAAGACACAGATTACTTTGATTGTTTTTCTAAGGTTACTATTTTAAATTTTAAAATTTTAATTTGTGGCATTATCAGTTCAGAAACAAGGTATTTTATATATTTGCTTCTTTCTTTTCACCAACCCCCTTGTTCAGTCTTACCTCCCTGATATATGAACTGCAAAATGTAGAAAATGCCTCCAGAGGGCAGTGCTGTGCAAAAAGAGAAAAACACAGAGTGTGTTCTCGCTTGGAAGAAGTAAGTGATCTCACCTTTGTGGCGAAAGTGTTAAAGTAGTTACAGAGATGTGAAATAAAGCTACAGTCCTAAACTTTATAAGTGTTTTCGAGTTATTGAGAAGTTGTGACATATAATATGAATATTCACCCCTGATAAGAACGTAGCAAATGATTTAAATCATTTTTAATTTTAGCTTTTGACATCCCCCCTATTTTTAAGGTTTGCTACTGTGCTTCTGTTTTTTTTTTTTTTTTTTTTTTTTTTTTTTTTTTTTTTGCATGTGGTTTATTACAAGCTGAATATGGGATGGATTTGAAACAAATTTATTTATTTATGTTGCATTATTATCACCACTTATTGCTGCTCTCCGTGCATAACTGGATTAAGTTTTGAACTGCTTTTTACATTGTATTAATCCTTAAATATACATACAGATACAAAGAATATCTTATTACATATCTGTTGCAGTCCAGATAAAACCTACGCTGTTTCCCAGTGTCATTACAGCACTTTGAGAGTGGGTGAACACCTTATCAAATAACTTCTTTGAAGAAATTATAAAACAATTTTAAAAAAACTGCAGTACAGAGAGGTTATTTCAAAAACGTGCATGCTTTGCAAACTTGTAATATATATGAATGTCCTAATATGTTTCAATAACAATGAAAATGTAAATTATCAATATGAAACCTATTCACTAAAGAAAATTCAAATAAAATTCTAGCAAATTAAAAAAGTAATTGATGACTTCAGTGCTTCCTGCATGTTGACACTAAAATCTAGTCAACGGGCGTAATCCTCCGGCTTTAATTATTGCAGGAGCTACACATGGTACAGTTTGAAATGCAACCATTGATGCAAAATCTTTCACACAGTTTTTGTGATGGTCAATTGACAGGATGAACATCTGGACAGCTACAAAATGTATGGAATGAGCTCGATTATTGTTTGGATGTGTGTCGTGTCACCATAGGGGGCACATACTGAATATTTGTAGATGGTATATGAACTTGGCGAGTTTGTAGTTCTTTTCATATATCTTTCATGTGTATACGTGAAATACTTTTGAAAATATACCCTTTTCAAAACAAATGAATCATTTATGCTAGCTCTGTATAATAAATAATGGCTATGTTAATTTTGCTCATTTATTTGTTACACACAGCAAAGCTTTGATAAAATTATATCATATTCAAAGAGATATGCCAATTATTTAAAGAAGAATGGGGAAATAAATATTATTTTTCCTTTAAAAATATTTACTCACTTATGAGGTCTTACTTCTGTCATTTTTGCAAGTAATTCAGAAACCTTTTGCACCACAAACTCTAAATCTTCTAGATCAGCAAAAATAAAATTTTTCTATAAAAGGAAGAAAAGGAATACAAATTCTAATTCTACTCTAGCTTTTCCATGCAATTAGTATAACATTTGTTAAAAGAATTTCTAAAATTAAGCTATTTTAAGTTTGCTATTATGCTTGCTATTTTAAGTTTGTTTTATTCTTTGTAAAGTCTGCTCCATTATTAAAAACTTTCTGACTCAAAAAATCAATTAACTACACTTTACTGACTGATTTTATATTACCATCATTCAACATCTGTCATAAATTAATTTTATTCTATAATATTACAACTAAACTCACCTTGTCTTTAGTAGTAATGAGCAATGCATTCTTTATAGAATCTGCATTTGTTACTTTTTCTACAATGGACATTTCCCGCAAGGGAATAACTAAAGAAACTAAAAATCGCACCTGCAAAAAGAAAAATACTTCAATTCAAACATTAGAATACCACATTACAATTCAAACTTAGAATACGTTATTACACACTTTAAATATATAATCAAATATACCAATAATAATTTTAAAATAAATTACATGTGCAAATAAATATTAAATAATTAGATGCTCAGTTAAAATTATTGACAGATTAAATAATTAATAATAATGAGAATTTAAATAATTTTTAAAAAAATCTGAAAGATTTCAGGTTTTAAATTACATCCAAAGGGGCATATTTTTAACATTTTGTATGTTACCTTTATTTATTAAATATCATGTTCTTTGCACTTAAACTATAAAATTCAGTTAAAGAGCAATATTGCAAAATAATTTTAAATTGAGCATATCTTTAGAATTTCTGATACACAGTCTTGTGCGCTGGAGATTAAAATATTTTTTCTGCACAGCATTGCCATTGCTCATTTTGAAAGCCTTGAGTTTGTTAATCAAAAATTCGTTAAAGTTTTACAAAATATGAAATCGATAATAAAAGAAATTCTAAATTTCAAATTTGGGCTTCCAAATGCCCATATTAGCATCATTCAAAACTGGATGGCTCTAGGTACCGTTGTTTTATCACAATGCAAGAAACATACATACATTTGCGCAGATTCTTCATTATTTAATTTCTTCAAATATAATATAGGGCGACAACATTTGGTAGAAACAGTTTGAAAAGTGAAATGTACATTCAGAGTGATTCGACACAAAATTGCAAAACGAAAACAATAGTCTCTCAGGGACAAAGCCCCTTTGGACTAAAAATAAATAAAAAAAGGTTTATATACCAAGTAAAACTGCTGCTATATTTTTATGATTATTTATTTGTTATTTATTATCTGGAAAGTTCAAAAGAACTATCCAGTAAATTACCTTGCAAAGTAGAAAAATGTTTTTGACCTTTGATCATTATCATAAATATCATGAATGTTAATATGAATACATAGATAGTCAAATTTAACTACTAATCGGCAAATCACCTGCTCAGATAAATCTTTACCTACATATTTACCGAATTTAATAGTCAGTTGCAAAAATTAAGTGTATGCTGATGTCATTGCTCTACTCTTTTCTGGAAAATTAACTTTGCAAACATAAAAATTATACATTTTCTTTAGCACAAGCAAACATTACAGGTGATAAATATGATTTTAAACTAATGCAATATTTATCCCATAATTTTATCACATTTTGTATTAATAATATATCAAAATAAACAAAAAAAAAAGTTTCAGAAACAGGACAAAATAACAAAAAAAAGATGTTCAAATACTTCCTTAATATGTTAAATATATACACTTGGAAGTTATATTGAAAGATATATTATAAAGCAATGGAAAATTTTTCTAACTAAATTTAAAAATTGATAGATGTTCTTAACAGAATGACAAACTTACATGACTTTCAAAGCAAATATAGTTATTTGATAAAAACATTTTCCCCCATACATGCTGTTTATTATAAGGAGTCCATAAAGAACATTCTGTGCTACCATCTAATTTTTCTTCTAGTGGTAGTCTGAATGTTGACCTATGAAAAAACAATCTGAATTTAAAATAATTCATATCATAAAAGAACAATAGTCATTATGAATTAATGCAATATGCTCAACAACTATTCAAAATTAGACATCTTGATTTTTTATTAATTTATGACACTGTTTTATCTCAGTATCTGCAATAAATACTGTATTTTTCATGACATTTTATGCCTACAATTAAATAATAATATTCTCATACACATTTCATAGTACTTGAGTCTTTGCAGTAGAAAATACAAGTTACAAATAGTTGAAAAAAGATAATTAAAGAGTTCATGATATGATTATGAAATTTATAGGGTCAACTGCTATAATCTCTTTGAAATAACTGCAAACTTTATCCAACTTCCAAAGGGACATCACATATTGGTTAAAGAAGAAAAAAAAATCCTGTTATCTAAACCTTTCTTTTTTTCATTGAGATTATGGTGAACCTAAGCTTCTTTCTACCAACTGTGCAATCAGTCTGTATTTAGATGATTCTGTAAATAGGTCAACAGCGGTCACCAGACATAAATGTTGCCACAAAACTTAACCTAATATAGTAATGACAATCTAACAATACATTCGGGATGCAATGCAGTGGAAAAATAAATTTAAGAAAAATATTATAGTGTTTCATGACATGAATAATTATTTTCTTATATCCATAATAATACAATAAAAATGCACAAAAGATAAATCAGATCATATAAAATTAAAGTTTCACTTATCAAAAGATAAGGAAAAAATCAAAATCACATGAAAAATATGTTCAGATAAAAAATATGAATAACAAAATTTGGCAAGGTTTATAGTTTACTTGCAAACATTTTGGCTGCTGTCCCATTAACAGAAGACCTTTTCAAAAAATAAATAAACACATAATAAAAAATTTAAAAAATCTGAGATCTTTCAGATTTTACATTTCACCCAAAGGGTGTTTTTTTAACATTCTGTGAGTTACCTTTATTTATTAATTACCATGTTCTTCATGCTTAAACCCTAAAATCCAGTTTAACAGCAATATCGCAAAATAATTTTAAAATGAGCGTACCTTTAGAATTTCCGATACACAGTCTCGCACGCTGAAGATGAAAAAGGTTTTTTCCGTACATTGTTGCCATTGCTCGCTTTGAAATTGTTAAGTTTGTTGGTCAAAATCCATTAAAGTTTTACAAAATATGTAATAGATAATAAAACAAATTCCAAATTTGGGCTTCTGAATGCCTATATTCGGGTGGAAAAGTACGTTATTCAAAATTTGATGGCTCTAGGTATCATTGTTTTATTCCCAATGGCAGAAACATAATACAGGGCTGTAATATTTGGTGGCAATAGTTTGAAAAGTGAACCAACATTTAAAGTTTTCAACACAAAATGCCAAAACGAAATTAATAGCCCTTCTGGGCTAACACCCTTTAGGCTAAAAATCAGAATTATGTATTTATTGCTAGTAAGAACTTTGTATGGAACCAAGATCGTGAGAATTTACAAATGAAAATTTCCTTCTTGTAGCAACCATGCTTTAACTGACCATCTTCTTTTAATGTGCTTGGTCTTGGTGTTGTTATTAACATATTCCACATTTCTTCATTGATCTATGAAATTCATGAAATAATGAAATGGATCACAAATTCTCTTTGTAATGAATCACAGAATATGTATTGCCAAATATTCCAGAAATTTCTAATTCTCATAGAAGAAAATTTTGCACCACCAAAGAAACCATGATGAGAAAGTGACACTTTGAAGCTATTTTACAATGTAAAATCCAGCTGAAATTAAAATATTAGCCAGCTGGCTTCCCAAGTTTCCTTCATACCACCAACAAAAGTCTCTGACTTATGTCATCAAATTATCCTGATGCCAATCAAAGTTCTCTATCATGATAAACACATAAGTAATAAAATTGCTTAAAGCTTAATAAAAACTTTTCTAAGTAACTTTACCTGTAAGTTTCACTATGAGCTCGAGCATCCAAATCTCGTTTTAAATAGGAAGGTTTCTTTGGCACATTTTTACTCAGTTTATGGGCCAATTCAGCATCTGTTTCAAAGCTTTCTTCTGAAATTAATCTAAGAGACAAAATTATAATGAAATAAGAGAAAATTTAAATAAAGGTTCTGTTATAATCAAATTAGAATATAAAGCATGATAATTTAAATTCTGGGGGGAGAAAAAAGTTGTTATTTTGCCAAATTTTAAACTAGGCGTTTGCTAGGACTCAAAACCCAGGCTTAACTATTAATACTCAGTAATTTTCACTATTTGATTACTAGCGAGATGACCTTTTGCATGAATAAAGTAAAATGCGAGCCTTAAAAAAATATTCCTCTTTTAATTTTCTAAGGGGTATAAATATGCAAATATATGCATAACTACACCAAGCAGAATAAAAAATAACAGAAAACAAGGTACTGTTCTGTTATTGGGACCAGATACAAAAATGTATAAATGTATGCACATGTGTATTAATGTATGTGCATATATGTGTATACGTATACACGCATACATTCGTGCTGACATATATACATTCATACATGAACACATACATATAAGCATGCATGCATACATACATTTCTGCATCCGATTCCCTGATAGCAGAACAGTAACAAAAACAGAAACATATGAGAACAAAAAAATCTGCTTCTCCTTGTTAAAAATCTAATAATATAAATTATCAATTAGACAAAAATTTAAACTTACTTTTTATTATTTATTGAAATTAAGTAAGTGCCTAATATTTATGCATCAAATAAAATAACACATGTAAATAAATTATATTTTTTTCAATCTTTCTTTAATTTTCTAACATAAAAATATATGTATAATAATATTGTAATATTGAAAAATATTACATTTTCTCCCTCTTCCAAAAAAATTATCTTTGCATTTGTTGTTTTTAATATGCATGTTTCAAATTTGTAATTTTAATTTTTTGCTCCCAGACATAAATTATTTATAAGATACTTTCAAAGAGAAAATATTTCATAAAATCAAACAGTTTTACATATTTACCCCAACACCACAGTCCAATACATAAACAGGTACTACTTGATTTTTATGACCCTCATTATCAAAATGGCACCAAGATTAAAGTGAAGTTTAAACTAATAGCATATAGTTTGTGGCTGCCATATCTCCATGACTGCTTTTAATATGACACCAAAAAGGTTATCGTTCCTACAGAATTTCTACCACATGAATTCTGGAAAGGTACGACTCTAGATGATGTCAAGCCATAAACCTTTGTTTTTTGTTTCACCATTTCACACAGCCCCACAACCTTTCCACAGTTTTCGTGGATCATTAAAATTAATCATGTGATTCACAGTTAAACAACTGTAACAGCTTTTCCAAGCTCATCTGTTTTATACACTTGCCAGTAATCTAAATATATTGTTGATCCTTCCACTACACAGTCCACAAGACAGCATTCGCCACTTTCATGGCATAAATTTCTGAATATCCACAACTATGGAAGTACCCTGCCAGCATCGTTTTTCCAGCATGCGAGCAAACTCTCATCCATTTTGACAATATTACTATATTTATTTTAGCTAAGATATATTATTGCATTCAATATTTGTTATGTATTATTGTAGTCATTTATTGTTTATTATCATTTAATCCTTAAACTTAGCACACAGAAGTCGAAAGTGAAGGTGTTTATGGTTACCCTTCGTTTGGCTACAGTTTTTCACATAATTTGGCGGTTTATTGTGGGGGCCATGAAAATCAAGTAGTACCAATAAATTACGTATAAGATAGTTTCAAAGGAAAAATATTACATAAAATCACACAGTTTGACATATTTACCTCAACATAGGATTAAGTATTGAAAAAAAAATTACTTTTTCATGGCAATATTGGCAAGCTGCTGCATGAGAGTAAAAGTTTCATCCAATTTTAAAAACATTGAAAAATGGAACTGAAATAAAATAAAAATTTTAATAAATTTTATTTCTAAATAAGCATATGAGAAGAAACTTTAACAGTGAAGCTTTTCATATAACTAGATATTAGCCACATAAAATAGTATTAACTGTTACCACAATTAATAAATGCTTTTCACTAATTTTTGGAACATAATACATACATTAAATTAAAAATGAATATACTGATTCATATATTATAATTATGTTAAAAGCTTCATTCATTCAATCTGTGTGCTTCATCAGCTATAATTCAAACAATGCATCAATTTCTCTTTTTCTGTCTTCTTAATTGTAAGGTTAGATTACTTTGGAATATAAGTTTTTATTATCTCTCACAGGCTATACTTATGATAATGACAATCTCAATAGATAAGAGTTTGAAAGGAAGTTTATCATATCAGTATGATCTAGTAACGATTTCAGTAGCTCCTTTAATTTTGCATTTACACAGAATTTATACATATATGTAATATAACTGTGCCATTATTGTAATAAGTTGACTTGGTGAAAGAAAATTGCAATGGATTGGTGTTGGAGATGATTAACAGTGTAGTTAGAAAGATGACACTCAAAGACAGACATGGCCACTGATCTGATTTTGATTTATTCCATGATAATGCACATCATCACTATGAAGCCCACACATAGTGATAATACACCTCATCACTATACACCCCCCAATTTTGTACAGCTTACATCTTCTTAAACAATGGACAAAATTGGAAAAATAAAGTCTGCATGGCTAGCAACAAGGAGGCAGTGGAGCAAATTGAAAAGCCGAAGTAGACATAAAGAGAAGGAGAGTTGCGACAGAATTCCCTTTTATACCATTTCAGATCATATGACAAATTCAATTTGGAATAAACCACAAGCAAAAACTAATAAACAGAAACATAGTGGTAAATTACAAGCAACAGGGAGATAAAATATGCCAAAACCCGAAATGAAAATGAAATTTGCATCTTTTGCTGAACTGTCTTCAGAGTTGGTGCAATGAAAGAAGTAAATAAATAAAACAACTTGTTTTTGAACCAACAACGACATAAATTAAAGTTTAAAATTTAAAAATATTCTCAGGAAAATAATCAACACTTCTTTCAATGAACTAACCCCCTGATGACCATGCAGTATTTATTTTTATTTTATTTTATTTATTTATTTTTTTGTTTTGGCATATTTTGACCCTCCCCATTTCTTGTAATTTCCCACTGTGCTTCTTTCCCCCTCTCTATCCCTTTTTTTTTTTTTTTTTTTTTGTTTGTTTGTTTGGGGGGATGCAATTAATTCTGAACTGAATGTGGGATAAATTTTAAATGTATTCTTTATTTCATTTTGCATTATTACCTCCTCTGTTGCTGTTACCAACATGCAGCTGGATTAGGTTTTGAACTGTTTTTTACTTTGTATTTATTCATTTTTATAATATATATATTATATAATGAATTTAACAAACATTCTCTTTGTAAAAAGCAAATTTAAAGTTAATTAAATTTTTAAATGAAATTGAATTACAAATAAATGATTAATTATTGCTGCAAACTAATCTACAATATCATTTAAATCTGAGAGCATATGTAAATCAAGTGCAAGTATCAAAATCTATGAAATATATAATAAATGTATAATATATAATTCCAATAATTTTTTTAATCTTGAAAATTTATAAAAATGCATAAGTAAATAATTGTTGAGCAGGCAGGAGACAGACTTATCAAGGGGAAGTTGCCTCCAACCTAACTCTTCAATTATTCAATACGTGTTTCGCCATCTATGTAAGCAAGGGTAAAAGGAAAATTCAAAACCAAATGTTGTGAATTACTAAAAAGAATACTAAAGTGGAATTTAGAGAAATTAGCAAGTAAAGACTAGAATAATTAAAGTCAATTAAGACTAGAAAACCAAATTTTTTAGAAAACCAAAGTAATTTAGAAACTCTTGCCTACAAAAAACTTCCTCCAAAAAGAAACTAAATACTATTTATAAAAAATAAGGCAAGTAAAAAATAAGTTTTAATTTAACTTACTATATTTGTATTTGGAGAGTGGATGTAACATAATTATATAATAAGCATTAAGAACTCAAAAGAGCTTACTTTTTTTTCTCTGGTTAAAACACTTATGCTATCAGGAAAAACTAAGGAATCATTTTTCTCAATTTGCTGAAACAGAAAGCAAAGAATATTGTAAATATTTTATTTTTTATAGATTCATAAACAGCATAAAAGCTTAAAAACTGAGCTTAAAAAATACTAAGAGTATCAATAATCTTACCGTTACTTCTACCCATCTAATAACTATTTTAATTTCTTTTCCAAATAATCGAGAATGAAAACACATGTGATTGACACTCAGATATAACCAGCCTTGGCAAGGCAACTTCTTTTTCCAGTAACAGCAAGAGTAATCTGAAGAAAATGCATGAAACTGCTTACATATTTAATTTCATATATTGCATATATAAAGGTTACTTGATAAGTAAGTGGACTGGCTCTGCAGTTTCAGTGTATGCAGAAATAAGAAAAATATGATCATTTTTATTAATACACCTGTCTATCAAGTGCATTACATGGAAAAGTTTTTGCAGATAGACACTTGACCCTCAAATATGAATGAATGCATCAATGGATTCTTCTATAATTGAATATGAGCTTAACTGGAAAAAATTTGTTGGAAAGGTTTTCTTAAACAGGGCGAATTAGCGGTAAATTACGGTATTTACAAGTCTTCGACCCGAGGGCCTTTACTCAGAAATTTTTAACCCTACTGGGTAAGTGTTAGTGGATCTTTTGCTAAGTTGAAAATAGTTATCTTCCTTAGTGAAGATAATGTGGCACCATCTACTTGTCGAGTATAAAGCAATTATTAGACAATGTGATAGGCATGGTATAGTGATGCAAAAATTTTTAAGAGATGATGATGAGGCATATTATACAGAAATGAAAAATATTTACAAGGTTCTTGAATAGTTATTTTTATTAAAATAAGTTATAAAGTTTGACTGTATTAAGCCAATTGTAGAGTTTGCTCTAGTCACGTGGGTCACGTGAAAAACGATTCAATGCAATGCTAGTAAATAAACTTAGTCTTGAAAAAATGAAAGTAAATAAATTGAGAAAATAAAAATTACAAGTCCTTATCCTGCTTGCAGAGGGAAACGTAAAGTCTACCTTTTCTTTAATCTTACTTATCATCATTGATTTGTTGCTAAAAACGCATTAGAACATTTGAGATGGAAGACTGGAGACAACTGTTATGGAATGCTGTTTCCAGGCATTGTGCTTGCATGGGTAAATGTAAACCACATACAGCAGCTCCAACCTTGACAAAAAATCTGATGTGTACACTACATGACTTCCTTGTACAGAATATTAAACTGTATGCACTTTTTTCTGCATTTTGCTTAAACTTATTGCCTCCAATTTAATTGGAGATATATTTCTCATTCAATTAATTCAGTTCTCACTTCACAGCAAAGTATAAATTCATAAAAAATCAAAATATCTTCGTTAAATTTGTAAAATACAGTTTTAACAGTTAAAAAAAATTTTTTTTACAATTAAAGTTACAGTTTCTAAGAAAAAATAAGCAATTCGGCCAGCGTGCGAGAAGGCAGACTTTTTGGTGCACAAAACTGAAAGTTCACTTTTGGTCCAACTCGGCAAAAAAGACACTGAAGGTGCAAAAACTAGCCTCATTCACTATTCTTCTAAGTTTCAAATGTAAACAAATATGGCTGTTCCATTAGGCTTAACCTCACAAACAGCTTTTAAATTGTTGATAATTCCACAACTATTGTAAGGAGATTAACTAAAGGCATAAAAACCTTAACCAGAACATAAAAACAACATAATCCAATCATTTTTAAAGCAAGAAATGCATAATTTGCCAACATATAGGCATAAAAAAACTGAGCACATGGCGCAGAGTAACAGAATGGGTATATATATATATATATAGAATTCCTGACGAGTCCGGATTAATCCGGATTACAGACTTTGTACTGTGTCTCGTCAGGACTTCGGCGATTCCGGATTAGGGGTTTTTCCGGATTATAGATCAATTTAAATCTGGTAAGATAGCATACAGAAATTTTACAAATAAAAATATGAAATCATAATTTATGATATTAAGAGCAATTATGATCTAAAGGGTATCAAAATTTACAAAAAAAAAAGCTTAATATTTATTTGTTTACTTCAATAAACATTTCTATCAATGTAAGTTGTTTAAGTTGCTTCGTTTTTTGTGCTAATACTTTCTCTTTGATTCTATAAACAGACATAATTTCTTGTTCAGTTACAAAGTTTCACTGTTCAAGGTCCTGTAATTGCTGTGTCGAGAATACCGATTAACCTGTCAATTGAAATTTTTTCGTTTTCAATAATGTTCTCTGTTACTTTCTTCACTATTGGAAGTTCGCATGGGTAAACGCTTTACTGGCTTTACCCGCATGCATAGCAGACATGCGCATCAAATGCACATGCGTAAGTTTGTGGCTTTGAGGTTCGGAATGATTATAGATCATTCCGTATAATGGGCGTCCAGATTTGAGACTTTTTACTGTATATATTTATATGTTTTTGGCGTGGCTGATTGCAACAGAAAAGGGAAGTGCATAACTACATCATATAGCAGTCCTATGTACATAATTTCAATGTTCTGAGGCTACTGGTTTTTGAGTTATGTGAGATAAATCTATATGTAAGTACATACAGACATCACAAAAAAAAAAAAAAAAACTCTTCTGAATCCACTCTAAATTCTTTTTGCAATACATTATGGGGGAAAGAGTCCTTTATTCTGTCCTTATGTAAAGATTTCACATAAAAACATTTTAAATTGCATTCGATAGCAGTCAAAATCGATATTTTCATTGAAATATAACAACTGAAAATTTTCACGATTACAATACCTCTTTTACTTGGGTACAGGGAAGTAAAAAACCAACAATCCAGCTGAAATGTGCTACCTCTCTGTATCTTTTCCCTGGGATGCACTTTATGTTGGATGTTGAAGTGCAAAATAATTTTTTTCATGGCTTCACAACCAGCCCAAAGAGTTCTACAGAAACGGAACTGACGGGTTGAGCATCTTTGGAATCATCATCACAGTTACCAATGAGAATACGTCAAAATCACTTTTAAAATCATAGTGAGTCAAGTCAACTTATTTATCAAACAACCCAGTAAATTAACAGAAGCACATGCATAGACAGATCCAAAATATGATCAGGAAGAAATTAAATATATTCTGATGATCTTCTAGGGTAAGAGTGACTTAATAAAATTTGCTGAACATTAAAGCCTACAGCAAAGGAAAAACTTTATAATTAATTTATCATAGATATCAAGACAAGTATACATTTGAAAACTAACTTAATCTTTATTAATAATGATACAGCTCATTTTAAAAAAATCAGTAAATAGATACAATCTATAATATTTCTGTATTACTTACAATTAACTAACTTTTCTTCTTTTGGCATATTAAACAAACGGGAAAACTTTAATGACACTATCTTATATTGCATGCTATCTGGGTCTTGAGTAGTATCAAATGATTTCTGAGCAACTAAACTTTCAATTTTACAAGCAACAAAATCTCTCATTTCATCTTCACTATCAAAAGCACCTAAAATGCACAAAATAATAAATATTAACATACAATCTCTGTTCATTACATATTAATATAAAATAATTAACAAATCTGGAATAAAGAAAAAATTAAATCCAGAATAAAATAATAATCTTAATTTCATTGGGTACTAATGCAATTAATTAAGAAATGTACACCTTGAACAAACAAACAAAAAAAAAAAAAAAAAAGAGAGAGAGAGAGAGTTCTATATCTCTCATTCTACTGGATCGATTGTTAAAATTTAACTTGTGTTTTCCATGTCTTGAAAGCGTGACTTATATATATTAGATTTATATATACCATTGTTCTAACATAGGTATTTTGACACAATATCGGACTTTTTCTGAAATAACATATCAATTTTTTTCCATATTTCGATTCTAATTATGCACAGATATTAATTTTTTTCATTTCTGGTAATAAATTGATGAAGAAATTGAAAAATTAATTTTTGTCCATTTTTTTTTCAGGTTGTACCAAGAGTAATTAATTCACTTAGTGAATTTCTTAATTTATAGTAGCAACCTATCTTCCTTTCCTTTTTCTCATTCTACACGAGCGAAAAAAAGGTCATCGTTCATACTTTCAAATTATTTTAACAAAACACGTAAACCACATTTGACATTATTATCACTTATAAAAATATGCCAAAATTCAAAATGCACCAATATGTAAATTCACATATATCTTAAGAAATTTTGAATAAAATCTCTAATTTTTTGCAAATATGCTGAGAAATACATCTACTTTAAGATGATGGTAAAAAATTAACAAAAATTATTTTAAAATACAAATTTAAAAAATAAATCATAAAAAATGGTGAATTTTATTTGGAATGAATAAAATAAGTTTAATAAAAAAGAAATATTAATAAATATATACCAAATTCAATTAACATGCAGAAGCTAAAATTTTAAGAGCTAATTTTTTAAAAACTACACATGCAATTTTTACAAAAACTTGGCACTTTGGTATAATTTAAGTCGTAGATTCAAAATATGGAAAAAAATTGGTATGTTATTTCAGAAAGAGTCCAATTTTGTATCAAAATTCTTATGTTAGAACAATGCTATATATAAATCCAATATATATCCTGTCAATGCCAATGATTAAAAATTGGGGAGTGCCTATGGTTCAAAACCATGTACCTCCTCATCAGAATTACATAAAAGAGTGCAGAAATAGGAAAATTGCATAAGTAGTAAACCTGATGCTCAATAGAGGGAGCCACATGGCTCCCTCTATTGAGTTAGGATCGAGAAAGTTTAGGGATAGCAAGAATTTATAAAACTTAAGAATACATAATTTTTTTGCAAGTTTTTAGATTTTTAATCTTTTTTTTTTTTTTTTTTAAATAGTTTTTTGGATTTTTTATAATTTTTTTGGTATTTTATAATTTTTTATATAAACACGATACAACACAAAAGCATAAAGTGGAGAGGAAAGATTTTATGATTAATAGGCTCATTGGCATGTGGCATACAGTGGGAGTGCAAATAATAAAGTTCACGCGCGAAAATATTCAGATGTGATTCTACAGGGAACAGAATGATAACTTTGCATAATGATCACTTCTCAAGTTGCAGGAAAGGATGATGGTAAAGTTTGGCAAAATAAGCAACAACGTGGCAGCTCGCTGAGGGGACGTCCTTCGTTCACGGGGTGGCATCTGAAACTGGCAATATATATCCTAAGTCACGCTTTCGAGGCATGGAAAACGCAAGTTAAATTTCGACAATCAGTCCAGCAGACCGGGAGATATACTGTCTCATTTTCTTTTGTGCAAGGTGTACAATTACTTAAATAGCTAGATAAGCTGTCCAATTGCATCAGCATCTGCTGATAAGGCTATTCAGTAATTTGTGGATTAAAGAATCCCATTCTTGAATAAGCACTCTAAGAGTGAATCTGTGATTTGTAATGAAGAATTAAGTGTAGGCAATTCAGTATGCAAGGGAATCAGATACACAACACATAGGTTTTAACATAGAATCACAACACAAAGTGAAAGCGAGGAAGCTGCCCATCCATTACATCTCCTTAAATGATGAAACATAGACTTAATAGAAATTCTCTGTTACATAACTTTTTACACTCCGCTAATGGAGAGTTGATAGTGCTTGTATCATTGCATGATAAAAATGTTTCAACATACTAAATGTGTTTCTTGTTTTCACAGTTTGGATTATCCCTTAATGAGGTAAGAAACTTTCATTTACTTTTTAATACGAGGGCTATCCAGAAAGTAGATTACGTTTTGGAATAAAAAAATAAACAAAGTATAGGAAACAAATTTTATTATATACAGATGAAAGCCACACTCAAATACTACTTTTCTACATAGTCACCATACAAATTAAGGCATTTATCGTAGCGATGTACGAGCTTGGAAATTCCTTCGTCGAAAAATTCGGCCGCCTGCGCCTTCAACCACTTCGTTACCTCTTCTTGCAGCTGTGCGTCGTCATCAAAACGCTGCATAGCCAGCCACTTCTTCATTGCTGGGAATAGGTGGAAGTCGCTCGGTGCCAGGTCGGGACTGTACGGCGGATGAGGAAACAACTCCCACTTAAAAGATTCAAGAACTTTACGAGTGACATTTGCCGTGTGGGGCCGGGCGTTGTCGTGAATCAACAAGATCTTAGAGCTCAACATTCCTCTGCGCTTGTTTTGAATTGCTCTTCTGAGTTTTTGGAGAGTTTGGCAATACCTTTGAGAGTTTATTGTAGTGCCTCTTTCCAGGAAGTCCACCAAAATTACACCTTTTCTGTCCCAAAAAACAGTCGCCATCATCTTCCTTGCCGACATTGTTTGCATGCATTTCTTGGGTTTTTGGGGAGAACTTGTGTGCCCCCACTGCATTGATTGCAATTTCGTTTCACAGTTCACATGTTTCACCCATGTTTCGTCACCAGTAACGATGCGATCGAGTAAAGAGTCACCATCCTTATGGTAAGCGTCCAAAAAGTTCAACGCTGCAGCCATTCGCTGATTTTTGTGGTCCTCTGTCAAGATTTTTGGAATCCATCTTGCACAAAACTTGTGGTAACCAAGCTTTTCGCTGATGATTTCGTGCAACAAACTTCGCGAAATTTGTGGAAAACTCAAAGAAAGTTCCGTTATTGTGAAATTTCGATTTTCACGGACTTTAGCATCGACTTTTTCGAGAAGTTCGGCGGTCACTATGCTGGGTCTCCCACTTCGATCTTCGTCGTGAACATTGGTTCGGCCATTTTGAAATCTTATGACCCACTGACGCACTCCACCTTCAGTGATAATGTTGTCCCCATACACTTCACGAAGCTGCCGATAGATTTCTATCGGTTTACAGTTTTTTGCAGTCAGAAACCTTATTACTGAGCGCACCTCGCAGCTCGCGGGATTTTCAATTAACGCAGACATTTCAAACCGTCACAGTATCTGAACGGAGCACAGCACGAACCTCTCACTAGCACGGCTAGATGCAGACTGAGCTGCGCAACGCTCTGACCCCAAGATGGCCGCGCTAGCCCCGCCCCTAGCGGACACAGACGGAAACGTAATCTACTTCCTGGATGGCCCTCGTATTTGCTTATTGCCAGTTAATCACATTTCGATGACAAACTAATGAACTTCATGTTAATCCAACATTTGATTATGAGACTGAATGTATATTGACTTCATATGAATACATAAAGCAAATTAAGATGAGCTATTAAGAAATAAAACAAGAAAGAAACGCTGTCATAAATTACCACTGGACAGATAAAAAAGCCAAGCCAGTCTTCAGAAAGTGAAGCAAAACTAATACAGTTGTTGTTACTAATACATACTGCTCATTTGAAAAATAGAAACAAGAATGGATATTAGTTGTGAAAGTTAAGAACTCAATTGTTAAATTAAACAGTAACAACTTTCAGTTACATATTTCCATAAATGAAAGTTGTTAAACCAGAAATGATTCTGAAACAGGAAAATTTATGGGATTTAATCACAAATGATACACCAAAAGAAATCACAGCAAAGTGGATAAAATGAGATGAACAAGTACAAGCTACTGTAAGTTTACTTGCAGAAAACAAGTCAGTTGTACATACAAGAAACAAAATAACAGCAAAGAAACATGGAACAAATTACAGAATATTAATGAAAGAGAACTTCAGAAAAAGTAGAAAATGAATGAAAGTTCGAAGAACACAACTTTTGTATGAAAATATGGGTTTTATATCTTTATGTACTTTCAGCTTGACAGCATGATTTTGGTATTTTTCATATACACAAGAAAAAAATATGAAGTTGTTAAATTATTTTAGTACCAAGTAGAGAGATAAAATAAAATTTTCTTTGTTTATGATTTTCTGACAAATTATTTAATAATAAGATAATAAATATGAAGTAACCAGAAGGTTACAGCTCTGTTTCAGAAGAAAACGAATTCTGTAAATTAAACAAAAGAATCTATGGACTAAAACAGGCAGCCAGGAAATGGAATGACAAAATAGTTGATATCCTGTGCAATCAAAAGGATATATTCCAAGCAAAGGAATTATCCATGTTCCTTCACATTAAACAAGAAAAATACAAGAACTTATATAATCATATATGTTGATGACATATTAACCGTGAATGACAGGCACGAATCAATTCAAAAAGTTGAGCAAATTCTCAGAATACTTTGACATTCAAAATCTTGCAGAAGTATCTACATATCTAGGAATTGAAACTGAAAGAGAAAAGGATGGAAGCTTTTAATTTCACCAAAGCTAATAAAGATTAAGAGTATAATCAAGAAATTTAATAGGAAATCAGAAATGAAACTAAGTTATCCTATGACAACAAATTTTATGAAGAACAAAAATCCTTTGTTAATTCTGACAAGGAATCATGGATGCCATGGTTGTGCTTGCCGTAGAGTTTGTGCAATTATCTTCTTTTTAACAAAAACAGATAGCTATATGCATGAGGGGGAGGAATAGCAATAGGAAAAAATCACAAAAGGATTTCTCAAAATAGGTTATTTTTAAAATGTTTTTAAATGAATGTAATTAAATTGGCAGCACTAGATGTAGACTCAAAGATACTAAAATATACATTTCTTTCCAATGTGATCAATAAGTTCACGAATGCTTTCTAAAGCCAGCAACCAGCCTGCGACTTTTTGGTGGGGCTGGGGATAATCAAAAATTACCAAGATATATAATATATTCACACCAACAACCACTATATAACAATCACTGCATCTGCTTATAGAAACTTGAATAAAAGAATATGAGAAGCAAATTTTGTTAATATTTCATGAACTTACTCAATGTTGGAACAATATTTTTTTCCAGCCATTCCCAATTATCCATAATATCTCTCTTCGAGAAAGCATTTGCAACAGAAACTAGAACAAAATAAACCAACATAAATCTTACTCTTTTAATATATTTAAAACACTAACTATTCACATGCATAAATTACAAAAATACCTCATGTTTTAAACATGGGCAGAGAACAGTACTTTTAAATGAGTGAAAATATATTTGTTTTGCATTTAACATATAACAAAGAAGAGCAAAATAAAAACATAATATTAATCTTTTATGTCACTATATGTTTAAAGTCTATTTATTCAAGAATGCAAATTTATATCATTAAATGAGAAATAAAAATTTTCCTATAGAAATGGAACTGAATCTGAGTATTTTATGAGAGGGAAAAAAGTGGGTAACTCTTGTTTTAATTTTTCTGTTTGTTCCAACTCAAATACAAAAATCCAAATTAGATCATTATGTCATAAAGTTGTAAGGCAAAAGATACATGAAAAAGATCCATATAAATGCCTTAACTGTCTGTGAAATAATAATTCTCTACCATTCAACATCATTTACAGATTTTTATTTTTATTTTTATTGAAGAGAAACTACAAGACTAACAGGAAGGTAAGTTTAGGTTGAAGTAGTTATAATAAGTTCATAAAGCACTTATTTGGCTTCAACTGCTTGCTGAAGATGGAAATGATGAATAGTTATATGTCTTGGTGTTCTTTTCTGCATCTGAAACCTCAATGTTGCGACAAACACTTTATAGATTATTCAGTAAAGAAAGGTCTTTATGGGGAAAAAAAAAAAAAAAAAAACTAATGCTCTATATTCCACTTACCCCTTGACACTCAGATGCATATACATACCAAAAAAAAAAAGTCTGAATAGCTTACTCGGATACAAGATAAATCAGTTCCATTGTGTTGCATCAGCAACAAATTAATAATCTAACCTTCAGTCTAAACACATCTAGAAAAAGTTACGGATTAGAAACCTCATATATAACATGAGAAGAAACTGAGTATTATGCTGATAGCAGACTCGCGATATTGAATGGCTTGATGGTAAATGTTTGCTATAACACTCCATGGACAGATTTCTGAGTCAAACATGTTTCCGGTGGCGACAATCAAATTGTTTGTTGTTTTAATCATTTTTTTCTCATGATTTTATCACATGTTAATTTAAAAATAGCATTTTAGTGGTGCCATTTATTAAATAAATAAATAACTAAAAGCAATAGATTGCATACTACATGATTACATAACTTGTGTGATTATTTAACACCACTTAATGCAATATATGTTTGTATAAAAAAACATGGAAAATGCATTGCTTGTAGTGATCATCAACTCAGTTAATCAAACTATTATAGAATGAATTTTTTTTAATTAAATTCCCCCAAAAAAGGTAATTTGCCAAATAATGTCAAAAAAGATTACAAAAATTCCCAAGTGACAAAGAAATGGTGCCAAAATGAGAGGTAAAGTCACCAAAAAACTTAGTTTTGATTTCATTCAACCATTTAAAATTAGGTAAAAAAAAGCAATCTTAGTTTTACACAGATTTTTAATAACTCTGTCAATTTTGAGGCAATGAGACACAAGTCATCCTTTTTTGGCAGTTTTCCTTTAAAGAGGGAACACATCCGCAAAAACTACAGTTGCTTTATAGCTTAATTTAAAATTTTACGTTGGCTTGTTCTCTTTCAACAAAAGATGTTTTCAGAATGTTATAAGATTAGGGATGCAGCATCAGTTAAATAATTTCCAGAAGTATTATAAACAGTTCATAAATAAACTTTTGTGTATTCCTAATTAAAATTCCATGAAAGTACCGATTCATATGTTTCTAGTTATATACGTGCCAGATATAACAAAATATGACGGCTGCTTTAAAAATAATTGGTGGTGTTATATAACATAGTTATGCTAGAATAGTAGAAAAGAATATATAACATGACTATAATAATATATATATATAATAAAGAATATATACATAACTATGTTATGTAATATAGAAAGATCTTGAATTAGAGAGAACAGATGAATTTAGTGGGAGGGCACCAAATCTAGAATAGATAATTTTGAAGTCGGCAATTATTTTTAAAGCAACATTGCTTGAAAAAGGAAACAAAAACCCCAAATTAACCAATCATAGCTCAGAGCACTTTCCATATCTACTCAGTATTAATACCGCTTGCAAATGAACTACAACATTCTTTTCCCTAGCTTCCACCTTGAAAACATCTCTATGCTGCTATGCCCTCCTTTGTTCTTATTCTAAGATGATGTAACATGCACATAAAAAATACTGTTATAGCTGATGATCTAGAAATATTTTATCTACTAAGAAATGATGTGATATGCTTGAAAATAAAGACTGGTGATTTATCGAAATCCAATTTCAATACGATAATTTTTAGGTACACTGATTTTAAAAGACGTAGGCATCTGCAAAGTGATGCAGGGTTGGCACAGCAGCACTTATGGAAAGGAATGACATAGTTTATTGTGCCAAGAGTATTTATGCTACGTCTGATGTATAAGTACAGCTAATCTGTGATTGGTTAAATTTAGGTTGTTACATAACATGGAAGATCTCGAATATCATAATTTATATCAAAGCACATATCAGCCCTTGACCTAATGAGCTACAGTTCTTTTTCATTTCCTATTTGAACCATGTGACAAAATACAAAAAAATACATTGCTTATGAAAGTGTTCATAATGTAATACTGAGATCACTTTATTATTAGCATGGTAATAGTTTTCATATAACATGAATTTCTATGATGAGTTTTTTTAAATTTCATAAAACTGCTGAATTTCAGATTTTGTTTTTATTTTCAAATTTCTAGTGTGACTGTCAAACAATTTTTTATGTTTAAATATTATTGATATATGTCAAGATGTCTTTTTAATGTTTAAAAATACACTGTATAATAACAAGAAACTATATTAATGTACCACAAGTGCAGTAGTTCTCAAACTGTGGTATACATACCCCCTAGAGTTTGCAAACAGCTATCAGATGATATATGGATAGCTCTCAAGCAAAAACTTCATTTAATTCGCTCAAATTTTAAAGAAAATTAAAAGAGTATTTCTTGCTACACGTTTTCTCAAACCACTGGCATTTTCAGCACTATATGAATGGAAGTATAGTTCTTATTTAAAGTGTATCGATACAACTGCAACAGATTAAATTTGAAGATGGAGTTTATTTTGAAAGTTCTAACTGGATAACAAAATAGTAGAAACCTATAGCAAGCCATATAACCCATTCATAGGAAAAAAACACTGAGAACTCAAAATCGCTTAAGATACGATTAAAAATTTCAAAAATTCAATTTTGTATTTGACTTTTTGTTTTGTAATTTCAATCAAACAATTAAAGAAATGTTTTATTTTTTATTTTTATCTATTTATTTCATTTTTTACATTTTGCAATAAAAATTTATATTTCTTTGTTTCATTAACTGACTTGTATGATTCTTGAGAAAGAATAATGGTAAGACAAGACAATAATAAAGATGATTAAACAGTTTTGTGACATTCTGGAACAAATTTACTTCTGTAGTAGACTGAAAACTGTTTCAGAATGTTGTCTGGTAGTTATAAATATTTTTGAGACCTTCCTGAAGTATTTCACATTGGGGACTATCAGATTTCTAATTATGACCAAGTATAGTATAATATAGGAAAAGATTGTGAACCACTTGTATATATAACATTGAAACACTGTCCACTTAATTGAAATCACGATTGTGTATCACACCATGATAACATTACCAGAATTTGACTGCTTTATAAATCTAAGAAACAATGTGTAATTCATAAACCATGAATTTTTTGTTAAATCATTAACTGAAATTCTAGGCTATAAAATTTCATGATTGTGCACACTGCATGAATTTTATCCTTTTTATTCTGATAAAATTTCTACTATAATAATGAATAATCATGCTGTATGATTACATATTATTATCTAAATACTACAAGATAATGTTCTCAAGAATATGTGAAAAAAATCTTTAATAACTTAAGGAAATGTCTTCAAACTCAAAAAAAATTAATAAAATAAATATCATTAAAAAATGCGATTGAAACATTATCTCAAACAAGACATAGTATTCAAGATACAACAGAAAAATCTAATTTTTATAATAATGAATAATCATGCTGTATGATTACATATTATTACCTAAATACTACAAGATAATGTTCTCAAGAATATGTGAAAAAAATCTTTAATAACTTAAGGAAATGTCTTCAAATTAAAAAAAAATTAATAAAATAAATATCATTAAAAATGCGATTGAAACATTATCTCAAACAAGACATAGTATTCAAGATACAACAGAAAAATGTTGCGTACATTATATTCATAGATTTTATTAACTGTAGTTCATTCTAAAAATATTTTTTAAAGATAAATTGTATATTAAAATGCTGAATAAAAAGCATAAGTCAATGGTAAATTATTAAAAGTCAAATGATAAAAATATTTGCACTTCTATTATAATTCATTTCCTTTCACTTATTCATTTTCTAATCTTCAGAAAATAAATTTTATTTTGGCTACAACAGTCTTTTGCATCGTTAAATGTAAAGCTTCATAAAATATTAAACAAAATATGCTGAGTAAAGGGATTTCCTTCCCTCTGGTCTCTTGTTTTTAACAAAAAAAAGTATGTTGTGCATATGTATGTGTGTTGTCTATGTACAGAAAGGGATGATACAAAATTTTGAATCTTTATATATCTACAATTAATTATTTAATATGAACTTTTTATGCATAATAATTTTAATGCTAGTAATTGCATCAGTGACTGGTATAATTAACAGAATAAAATACGTAATTTTAAATTCACTTATTCCAGAAAAGATAAAGTTTATGTAATAAATATTTTAAATGAATTAAATTTTTTATCAAATAGTTCAGAATAATAAAGTTAATTATATATTCATTTAATATGTACAGCAGTTAAAAACAAATGCTAGATAATTTTAATATGCATTTGTATTAGGTATAATTATTAAAAAAATGCTTGTGAAAAACAAAAGTGAAAATAATACAAACAATGTAATTTCTATAAGAAAGAAATACGTAAATACTTACGAGGGTTTCTATTAGATGAATAATGAAGGAGAATTCGAAATGGAAGAGGCTAAAGGAATTTAAAAACATATAAGATTCTCGAAATTACTCTATAAAGTGACACATTGCCAAAAACTGCAAACTGAAAATAAGATTTAAAAAAATCTAAAATTGTTTACTTAACATGAAAATTTCTGAAGACTACAATCTGTCTAACACAGAAGAAATTCTAAATCAATGAATTAAATTCACTCATCATTTTCTGACACATACCCTATATCAAAACATCAAAATGAAATGACAAGGGCCAAGTGAAGGAGATACATGGTGAAGAATTTTTATCCTCTTTTAATTAAAACCTAAACATTACGGTACTTACATATTATCGCAACCACTTTAGTAGAAATCGCCAAATTTTCAGACGTGGCCAAACTCTAGCAGTTCTTTAGGTTACCATATCCATTGCAAGTTGCAATCTGAAAATTCACCGAATCAACTTTTTCTTCTGTAAAAAAGCGCCAAAATGCACCAAGGTGGTTGCACTCATACGTAAGTATTAATATTATTATACATAAATATGACAGACTATAGGCCTAAATTCAATAACAAAATTTGAAACGTGGAAACTTAATGGTCCTGTCACATACTTTTAATCTTCTAATATACAATGCACTGCAGTTTTCGAACATCTAAACAAAGAAGGACTGAACTATTCATCATTTTCACATTCTCAAAACATCCAGGCTTAGAGAAGCAAAAGAATTGAACTCACTGACTTGTAACACCATCTTCTAGCCACATCTACAATATTTTTAAAAATGCCTTCTAACCTTAACTATGATAAGAATTTGTCTAATTGAATGATACTATCATATAGTATATATATATAAGGATTAGATAAAAATATGGAAATACCTCATAAAATGCATGTTTAACCTGAAATGTTTATTCTTGGTAAAGGTGTTGGTGGCGTTAATATGTTTTCTCACCAACACCATCTGTACAACATCCTTCATACATTGCAAGTGTCATTCGTTATCGAGACAGTGTTCTGTGAAGTTTTGAGTGAATCATGTTGGAGCTAAATGAATTTGAACGCAGGGCAAATTGTAAGGGCTTGTATGGTGGATGGATGCTTCGATAACCAAAGTAGCTAAAGTGTTTGGTTCTTCAACAAAAGGAGCAGTATATAAAATTTTTAACTCGTACAGGAAAACCGGAAAAAACTGCACAATCACTGAAGAGGATTGTGATGAAAAATAAGAGGACTGCAGCCACAAAATTAATTCTGAACTGAATGTCGCATTTGCAAACCTTGACAGCACCAAAACAATACGAAGGGAGCTCTACAAGCAGGGTATTTTGGGGGGAAGGCTGGAATTCAAAAGCCACTCATCAGTGATCAAAATGCCTGTAAGAGGAGAAAATGAAACATGGTGGGGGTTCAGTTATGGTTTAGACAGCCATATCATAGCATCCCATGGGACCCATCATTATATGCAAGGTCACATTACTATGGATTATATGACCATTTTGACTGATCACGTCCACCTCATCATTTCTCAATGGTCATGCCATATTCCAAAACGACAGAGCTTCTGTTCACTTAGTTCACATCATCCAGGACTGGTTTTTTGAGCATAAAAGTGAGCTTTCACATCTACCATGGCCACCACAGTCACCAGATTAATATATTAAGCCTTTGTGGCTCGCCATCATCTTTAACTGAACTTGCCAACATTTTACAGGAAGAATAGTACAAGATTCCCTTGCAAAGCATACAAGACCTCTACGCATTCCGAGAAGACTGCAAGCTGTTTTGAATGCCAACAGTTTTCCTACACCATTAGTCATAGAAATATATTTTTATTTTGGTGTTTCCATATTTTTGTCCAATCCCTATAATAATTTGATGTTTCTATATTTTTGTCCAATCCCAATTTGTATGTCCTCTTCTACAACAAAGATTCTGATTATTCAGAGCTTCCAGTGCAAAAAACAGGTTAGAATTACATCTGTTAACTCTTTCGCATCGAGAGAGGGCAAAATCTCAATTCCCCAAACATCGAAAACGCCCTTTTTTTTAAATTTCTCCTGGAATGCTTTTCCTTCCCCCATGACAAGTTGAATACTACAGCGCTAACAATAGCCTTACTTAAGTAAAGCGAGAACTTCTTTCTTCAAAGCTTTGACACTGTGAAGTTCCCCCTTGGGACGGGATTGCAACTTCGGGCATCAAAAGCTAAACACTGACAGTAAACAAAGGAAAGAGAAGGTGATAAGAACTACTTTTAGTAGCTTCAAAAGAATGATTGACATGTCATTTAACAACACCTGAAAGCAATGAGTAATGCAGTAACATGATGGGGGAAAGCACTGGGTAGGAAATTATTCAGGCGTTTTGGGCGTCCAGCCGATGTCTGAATGCTCGGGGGTTTGGAGCGACTTCGATGCGAAAGAGTTAATAAATCAAATGTTGCAACTATGATTAACAAAAATGGATTAAAATGGTTGAAATACTTCCTAAAATTAACTAAATAACTTAACTAGAACTATTGAATTTAATCAATGAAACTATTAAGAGTCCACATCTGTCTGAAATTGGAATATTGAGGATATAAGTATTACGCAATATGTTTTAAAGTTCCATTACCAGCTTTCATTTTGAATAACTGAATCTTAGCAAAGCAACAAAACTTCAAATATTTAGCTCTGCAAATTTTATAAACTTTGGTTTCTTGTTGTTGTCATTTTGAAGTGCTACATTTAGGCCCAAGACTTTTCTGTCTTGTTGCTTCACTTTTTTTCATATACTACAAACACTCTATCTGATACCAAGTCATGATGCTATGAACAAAAAAAAAAAAAAAAAAAAAAAATTGCAGTTTTGATTTGAAACAGCAGCTGTCATAAATTCATTCATTCATAAAGTTTGCTTACATTATTGTGACGATCAATGTCCACTAAATTTCTTTATTTCTGGCTTCGATTTGTATGTAAAAAACAACTGATATTCTCTCACAATTTTTTTAGTAATTAAAAAAAAAAAAAAAAATCTAGAAATTTGTTTAATTTCTGTTTTTTCTAAGGCAATATTGCTAGGAACAATTTTCATTAAAACTGTAATTAAAATGTTGGAATATGTTTATGATTTCACATCTAATGCTTAAAGCTTTTGATTTTAACATTAATTACATCATGAAGTTTTTGCAATTTCTTTACTTTATTTGAGTTTTGAACAAGATTAAAATTTAAGAGGTTAGAAATGTGTGTGTTGATACTTAAGTCATTTTGACTGAATCTGTTTTTAAGAATTTTTATGGCTGAATCATAATCAGCTTCTGAAACCGAGAGACCTTCGACAGCTGATGCAGCATTTCCACCTAATGAGGATTTCAAATAATTAATTATTTCAGTTTTTGAAAGCGTAACATTATCATTAATTATGATTTTGAATGAATTCCAAATATTCATCCAATCATTATACTCTCCATATAATTTGTGAATTAACATTTTCATTATTGTCAAATTATTATCAATCTGCCTTTTGGTTTCAACATCCATAGATACAGACCCATAGAATTCAACATCCATAAATACAGGGTGTGGCAGGGAAACTTCCTTATTTGAAATATGCGCCACCTAGTAACATTTATTCCAAGAAGGCTGGGGTGGCACTCATTGAAAAGAGTGATATCTACAGTTTTATGTCATATAGGTTTAGCACTGATCATGCAGTGGATGAGAGAGGAGCATGCATTCTCCGTGGAGTCGTACTTTTCAACGTACTGCATTTTCATCCATATAAATTGGCAGTGGTGCAAAAACTTAACCCACACAATTTTCTTTCAGGAAAAAATGCATGCAAAGCCGTTTTTGACAATATGTCTCATAATACCCTTGTGTTCTTTAGCAATAAGGCTCATTTTCCTCTTTCCGGTTGCAGCATGCATTAAGCAAAACACGTGATAATGGAGTGGCACGAATCCCCGAGAATTTCATGAGCAGATCCTCCATACAGAACGTGTGACTGTTTGGTGTGCATTGTCCAGAATAGGCATCGTTGGACCATGATATTTTTTTTTTTTTTTTTTTTTTTTTTGAGAACATTTTCCTGGATACTTTATCTCCTTACGAGGTGATCGTCAGTGGCCAGCGGGCTCGCCTGAGTTAGCCCCATGTGATTTCTTTCTGAGAGGCTATCTGAAATCTCTAACGTCCAAAGAACCTGGCTCAACTGAACAACATTATTCAAGCTGTTATCGACAACATACCCATTGATAACTTCAAAAATCGACTATCTCAATGCATTGACCAGAATGGAGGCCACCTTAATGATATTATTTTTAAATCATAATAATAAAAAAAAAAAAAAACTTTAAGTGTCTCGGTATAATTTGGAAAAAATTTTAACCAATATCGCTTATACTATTTGTGTTATTCATTTTTAAAATAAGGTAGTTTCTCTGCTGCACCCTGTACTTAGCATATTATTTAAATTCCTGTTGACATTTTGAGTGCTAAGTTTTATTATCTTATCATTACATCTACCATTATTATCTTATTATATACCATTATTATCTTATCATTATATCATCTTATCATAGAAGTTTTGATATTATCTTATCATAGAAGTATTTGACTCTAATATTCTATTCAGACCCCCTTCAATCAAATTTTATACTTTTTATCTAAAATTATACAGTTCTGTTTCTTTACTATTTAACAATTCTAAACAATTTTCTAAATCCTCTGTTTTCCCTCTTCTAAATATTCATCAATATTTTAAATAATCTGCGTTATAGAAAAATGTAGATGTGTTTATTTCTTTTATTTACTTTTTTCTGTTTCATCTTACAAGATTATCAAAAGGCATTTATCTTTGTGTCACCTCCACACACTTGCAAAGTGCTAATGCAAAAGTTAAATGCACTCACTTCATATATTGATTAGATTCTATTCCTATTAAAGTTTCTAACTTGGCAGCCAGTGCACCGTATTTCAATATTGATTAAATGAAACAGGTTGAAAGAATGAAATGGATGGGAGAGGTTTCATTAAAACCCAAATGATTACACATACTATACATATGACAGGCTATGCGCATAAATTCGGTAACAAAATCTGAAATGTGAGAATTTGATACTTCCATCAAATATTTATAATTTCTATAAATTGTAATTCAAACATCTAAATAAAGAAAGAGAGAACTACTCATTATTTTTATATTCTCAAAATGTCCAGGCACGAAGAAATTAAAGAATCATACAGACAAGCTTATAATGCCATCTTTTAATAATATCAAAAAATATTTCTCAAGAACCACGAAGATAATTTTGAATGTAGATGGGTTAAATAGAACACATCTACATTCAAAATTAACTTCCATAATTTTTTATAAAAAATTTTCAGCAAATACATTTTAATACATTTTAAAAAACTGTACTCTGTTACTTATCAAAGATTTAAAATAAAAATTAAAATAAAAAGCTAAATAACACTTACTTTGGTGTCAAATACAGTATCAAAAGTACCCACAAATAAGGAAGATAAACCTTTAGTGCCATAGCCCTTCCTTCTTTGAAGAATAAAATATGGATTTGCTCTTTCACACACCCTAAATATGAATATATGAATTAATACTCTCATTCTGAAATACACATATGAATAATAAAAATTTAAATGGTTTCATTTAAATTTTTCATGTAAAATAGGTAATTAATATTAAATATGTTTAGAAAACAAAAATGGTCAGTAGGTTAATTGAAAACAACCAGTAAGTGTTGATACCATACTTGATTAAACATAGTAATATTAACCATTTCTAATTTAAAAATGCCCATTAAAAAAAAAAAAAAAAAAAAACATACTGAAGTAAATTTTCTCAGCATATGATCTGAAAAATCTCTGTCACATTACAGTAAGTGATAATGTACGGCTTCTTTGCTCTATCATCAACAGACACAGTATACATGACGCTAAGAATTACAGCATTTCTTTTGCTCTTGCACTTATATAGAGAAAATGTGCAATTTGGTTAGCCTATATTTAAGGGTGCCCCTTGGATTATCACAAAGTTGTTTTATTTATGGTAACCTCAGTAGTTGATTACATCATAATAGGAAACCCTATTATGATATAATTGGTTGCATGATTGCTGTGAATTTGACTGATGAGAAAAGATTTATAAGGGTTTGTTTGTGTGTTGAATATCAGTTAGGAAGTACATAGTGTACTGTGTGTTTTGCATCGTAAAATAGCTGCCAGTGGTAAACTGGGTGATTCGTGGTATAGAACAAGAGAGTAGTATTTTTTTTTATAAATGGGACATGGTTGAGGACAGAAGAAAAGAAAGTTTGTTGGATGTAATTCAACAGAATTATAAGTGTCCTGTTTGTACGAAGGAAATGCATACAATCAAACGTAAACATCGTTCAGATGGCTTTGAATGGGTTTCTCACAAGAAAGATTTAAATGCTCAGCATATAAAGTGTTCCATTAGAAAGGAAACATTGAGGAACATTGATTAGAAAGGGTTTGAGGAAGGTTTTTGGATGCTGTTAAGGAATTCTGTGTGACACAGACTGAGGACACACAGAAGGACTCACATTTAGCCATCTGGCCACTTCTGTTTGACTCTGTCCTGCCTCTAGTCTCCCAATGGCTCTCCATCGCAATTCTGCAGGCAAATGATGCCTGGAGGTCATTGTTACGAATTGGCTATCTCAGATTTCTGATGTCACTGTCACAGTGAAATATGTGGGCTTGCTCTCAAACATGGACTTTTATGCTCCTCGCAGATGACGTATTCTAAAAGCAGCGCCACTAATTTGCATATCGCAGTTTTACTCGGCTACCCTTACTTGGCAACGTATTCAAATTTTACAAGGTTTGGCTATTTTTGAGGGAGTTATCACTATTTTTGTGATTTTCCTTAATTTATGATAACCAGTGTAGTTTTCTATCAGCATGTATCAAGTATCAAAAACAAGAACAAATGTGTTAGTGGCCAGACACTCAACTCTGCTGCTTCAGATGTCAAATTTGAGATACCACATGAATTCAAGAACATACATGACACTATTTCTTTGGGGTAGTCTATATTTTAGAGTACCCCTTGGATTATCCCCAAGTTGTTGTTTCATTTATGGTAAGTTGAGTATTTTACATTGAATGTTATGGAAACCCAATAATGATGTGATTGGTTATAATGTGTGATTGTGGTGATTTTGACTGTTGGGAAGATATTTCTCAGGGCTTATTTATGCAATGGATGTTGGTTGTGCTTTACCTGCGCTTTATCTGTGTAAAATGCCTGCTGGTGGTACGATTAACATAAAGTTTCTGTATGCTTTGGAACGAATAGGAAAGAAAACATTGATTGACTGATGTGTTAATGAAGATTTAAATGGCTTCATTCACCTCTCAGTACATTACGAAATGAGATTTAAGGATTTGGAAATCGGAGTTCATATCAATACTATGGGGTGTAATAAAAAGAGATTTTAGAAAGAAATGTGACCGACAGTCCAGCAGTATGCAGGATATTTTTAATTTTTAATTTTGTGAATTTATGTGGCAATGGCAGTATACAGATTCTAGTTCAGATAATTTTGAACAGTTTTTCGATTCTGTTATGGAATTCTGTGTGCAACACACAGAAATTTCTAAATAAGGTGAGTCGATATTTCCTTTTTGTACTGTGCAGATTAGATAACATGTATTTCCCATTTATGTTATTTCCTTGTTTTATTTTGATTTAAAGATTATTTTTTATGTTCTAATTATGTTTTATTGCATTATGTTTTGGACACTATTTTACTTGGGAAGGCATTGCAAGTAAACAAGAATGACACCAAAAAATTCGCCAAGCAGTACCCCAAAGTATATGCCCCTTTCTTTGAATGCAGGTTCCCAATTCTTGTTCCACAAATCATCTGCAAAAAAATTTAAATGACCTAGTACATCATGTCCATGCAGGAAGCAAAAAATGCATCCAGTTACTCCAGAGTAGCATTCCAGTTGGTGTCATCATTCACCAGCATCATGCTTCAGCAGCTGTACATGTCTGGATGTGTTTCACCATCAAAAGGCAGGCTAAACCAAGACCTGAACCAGTGTTTGATAAGAAAAATTCATTGGTCCACTTGCAGTTGTTATAATATTGCAAACTAGCGTGAAACCTGTGTACTTATTATCATTTCTGCCTGCAGAACGAGTAAACATGTTGCCGCATCTTCCTTGCCCACATTCACATGGAGATCCTTCTACGCACAAAGGATGAGAAGTCACATTGCTGGAATTTTCCTTGGCATCACTGCCACTGCTTTCAGAAAAGAAGACATTCTGCAAGTTCACATCACCAACATAAACATTTTCATCAGCTCTGTCATTCCACTGTTATCTGAACTTCCCCTCAGTTGACTCAGGAGAATTCCTGGGAAGTACTGGCTAGACAGTCTCAACCATGAGGGTATAAAACCAGTCTTCACAGGCTGTGCTTGAGTTTACTTGGGACGGTGTATAGCTCGGCAGGGACCATACTGGTACTGTCTCGTCTGCCCCTGGGCCGTGGGGTCGAAAAATTGTAGATAAATAAGTTGGCAGGATGGCACTTAATTTCGATTGGTAAATCAACCTTAGGATGGGAGTTGTCTCATCACAAGAGTTGTTATCTGAATGCATGCTTCAGAAAGGCAAGACACTCTTTACACTCACCACTGCTAGATGATCATGCCGTCCATCCCCAAAAATTGAAATATATTGTTGCGTTTTTCTTTTTCTGACACCAGTTGTTACGTTATTTTCTTCCTTCACATGCGTACAGGGTTCGTATGGATTTGGAGTGAATAAGGATGAAACTTGATGAAGTACTGAAACACACTTTATTTGCCAGTATTGTCAGGATAGCTCCAAAACACGTTTTACAGTCGTCGACGAACTACTATAAACCCGCTGACACGATCAGCGACACAGCCTTCAGGTTATCAGGCTATCACAGTGGAGACAGCTTCACTGCAAAGCACCAGAGTACAGCTCCTGACTCTGCTCGGTCGTTCTCAGAGCTCCACGTACTCTCGAGACTCTCCACGCTACAGCGCGTTATGCACTCGACGACACACAAAGCATGGCTCCTGACTCTTTGGTTCAGTTGTTCCCGGAACTCAACGCGCTCTCTCAACGATGCACTAACCGCAATACACTAAGAGACTCCTTCGGTGAACTCGACAGCCCACTCGGCACTCGCTGCCCGGCTGTCAACTCGATCGACTCCGCAGGGATTGACTCGCTAGACGAGACACCAACTCCATACTATCTATCTTGCTCTCTTGACGAGGAACACTCTCTATCAGCTCGCTAGGCGAGACACTCACTAACTGATTGCGGACCACCAGGGTTTATATAGCTTTCGGCTTGTGTTCGAGAACATTCTGAGCTAAACTGGTAAGAATTCGTTCCAGAAGGTTCTCCATCCGTCCATGGTATATCGCCAATTTTTGTTGCCAAATGGGTGATTTCTCATCAAATATGTCAACCCTAAAACTGCTTTGCAGGGAAGCTATCTTACCGCTCCTGTACATTTCATAACACTGCCCCCTTCCAAGGACTGCATGTCCCGGGCAGTACAACCCTTGGTCAGAAGCCAAATTCGATACAATCACAACACTTTAAAACATACAGATAATGTAACTAAAGAAGCAAAAATTTACACTATATACAAGTTATATACACAAATTAAACACATAATTTTTAAATTACACAAATTAAATTTCTGAATGAATTTCAGTGTCAGTCTTTTCATTAAAAAATACCCGGGTCAAATACTTTTCCACTGCAGTTCTCAGATATATTTATGTTTTGCATATCACAGTCTGAAGGTTCAGTCCTATCCGACTTTTCATCCACAGAAAGATCTGAAACAATTGGTTCATGACTCTGTAATTCTTTCGCAGCATGAGTATAGTTCACCTCGGTATTTTCAGCAATTGGTACATGCTCATTTTCCTCTATTTCCTAAAAACCAGTTCCGATGTTTGCATTAGAGTCACTAATGGAACCCGATTCTTCACAAATACAAGTATCAAGGTTTAGAATCAAGTCCTTGTCTGCACAACCTGCGCTATCAGGCCAACACATAGTTTGAAAAGTGGGTGAATTTTCTTGCAGTACTGAAGGGCACTGCTTAAGCAGCACATCAGCTTCTCCCATCTCTGCATCACTTGCACTTTCAGATGGTTCAACACTAACTGCCTGCGACTTCGTAACTGCACCATCAGTTTTGACGAACTTAGCAGTCGCATTTTCCCTTCCTTCCACTTCAGGCACTTGAGAATCAAAAGCTTCTTTCCTATCTTTTATTTCTTCATGTTTTCTTTCTTTTCCTTTAATCTCATTAGATGTTTCATCCATCATTTCTTGATCTTTCTCAGGCAGTTCATTAGCTACTTCTTTCATTTCTTCATCCTTTGATTCTTCAACTGCCACTTCTCTCATTTCCACATCGTCTTTTATGTCTCCAATATCTTCCGTAAACTTCACTTTCACCTGTTGGAGTTGCTCTCGTGCCTTTTCTTGGCCAACTTTTGTTTCTTCTCGTCGGGCTTTCTTCTCTTCCAGTCCGGCTTTGATCTCAGCTGTCATCTCTTTATATCCAGCTATTATCTCATCATATCTGGCTTTTAACTCTTTCAGTTCGGCTTTCATCTCTTCCTGTTCGGCTTTGTTCTCGGCTAAGAAGTCCATCAAAGTCTTAGTTTCCTCCGCCATAGATTTTCTCTGCAGGTGGGACACTGGCATTCACTCGCAAATCCCACTCCTTACACCAGTTGTTATGCTATTTTCTTCCTTTGCGCGCGTACGGGGTTTGTGCGGATTGAGTGACTAATGATGGGACTTCTTGATGAAATATCGAAACACACTTTATGGGCCAGTATTGTGAGGACAGCTCCAAAACACGTTTTTACAGTCGTCAATGAACTACTATAAACATGCTGACACGATTAGCGACACAGCCTTCAGGATATCACGGTGGAGACAGCTACACTGCAAAGCATCAGAGTACAGCTCCCGACTCTGCTCAGTCGTTCTCGGAACTCCACGTACTCTCGAGACTCTCCACGCTACAACTCGCGATGCACTCGACGACACACAGAGCACGGCTCCCGACTATTTGGTTCAGTCATTCCAGGATATTAACACGTTCTCTCGACGATGCACTAACTGCGATACACTAAGAGACTCCTTCGGTGAACTCTACAGCTCTCTCGGCACTCACTGCCCGGCTGTGAACTTGATTGACTCCCTAGATGAGACACGAACTTGATACTACCTATCTTGCACTCTATGTGAGGCACTCTCTATCAACTCGTTAGGCGAGACACTCACTATCTGACTGCAGACCAGCAGGGTTTATATAGTTTTCGGCTTGTGTTCGAGAACATTCTGGGATAAACTGGTAAGAATTCGTTCCAAAAGGTTCTCCATCCGTCCATGATATATCACCAATTTTGTTGCTAAATGGGTGATTTTTCGCCAAATGTGACAACCCTGCCTTATCTTGCCATTTTATGGCAACCCTAAAACTGCTTTGCGGGTGAGCTATCTTAACGCTCCTGTACATTTCATAACAATATATATACATTTATTTTAATTTAGATTACTTTCTAATGTGTTTCATAAATTAAAGAAAAAAAATTAGAGAAAATGTTGGTAAGATAACCAAAATGTGAATAAAAGTACTTTTTTATACTCATAAACTAAAATTAAATTCTTAACAACTATATAAGAGGCAGGTATATAAAAGCTATGAACCTTAACATTAATTCATCGAAAATGTGAAAATGGATATTTACTTGAAAAATCGCTTATTTTCGTTATTACGAATGTTAAAATGACCCCTATTGGATATTCGGTACTTATGTATTAACGCCACCGCAGCAGAAGTTGCGCTGATGCGCCAATAAAGAGCAATCCTGTTGTTTGCATGAAGTTATCTTTTGGATTCTGTTTTGCCTTGTTGTTTGCTGATTTTTGACACCATTTTTTAGTGCTACAAAAATGCATCTTTGGGATTTGCCAAATACAGAAGAAGATGCAATTTTATTTTTCAGGAGTGAAATATTTTACCAAAAGAACGAAAATGTACAAATTCGCATTATATGAAACTTTATTTTGGTAAACGTACGTTTTGGAAATGTAATTTAAAACAGTATGATCGGCAAGTGGGACTTGAGAAAGACAACTAATTTCAAGGAAGCAGAATTCCATTTTGTTCAGCTTTGAGATTCATATGCTGCTGGTGTGAGGAATTGACGTCGATTAAATTTTGTGAAAACTTGATTTATCAGATAAAACTGTTATAGATTGGAACAATTACATGAGTGAATTATGTGTCTTGAATATGGAGAATAAACCAAACAAGAAGGTAGGTGGACCAGATTGCATTGTGGAAATAGATGAAAGTTTGTTTACTAAGCATAAAAATAACTGTGGTCGAGTATTACCTGAACAGTGGGTGTTTGGTGGTATATGTAGAGAAACAAAAGATTCGTTTGTTGACACTGTTCCTAATAGAACTGGCTCTATCCTTCTTAATAAAATTATTGAAAACATTGCAAATGGTAGCACAATTTATTCTGACAGTTGGAAAGGTTACCAAACAAAGAGAATAGAAAAAGAAGGATTCCTACATGCTAAAGTTAATCATAAATACAATTTTATTGATCCTGATACAGGAGTTCGCACACAAACAGTTGAGAGAATATGGGGCAGTGCTAAATGGAGAAACAAAAGACTCAGGGGTCATCATTTAGAATCTTATTTAGCAGAGCTCATATGGTGACATTTGATTTTAAATAAAGTGTTTTAATTTATGATTTGTCACAAAAATTTTAGGTGTAGATTGGAGGCACTTAAAAACTGCCAAATCTGCAGCTGCAGTGGCAGATGCAGTGCAGGGATGCCACAAATGTTAGATACGACAGCAAATGTATACCATTTTGTTCATTCATTAACTTATTTCTACCTAAATAATCTCTCAAAAATTTAAACACAACCAAACAAGTTTATTCTACCAAAATAATAACATTTTACAACTGTTGCCACTCAAAGCAAAACTAAAAGGAAATTAATATTACACTGGTTGAATGTATATGAACTATGCTATACTTAACAAATGCGTAAGTACCGGATATTCTAGGTACTTCTCTGATCTTTTATTTCAATAATTAATACAGAAATATGAAAACATGTTGCAGCATTCTTAGAACAATTGTAGGAAAGTCCAAAAATAATGTTCAATTGCATGTTGAGACAAAGCAGAGGAAACTGGAAAAAAGGGTCAAAATGATAATGCTTCTACTGTTAAACACCTACTCATGCAACTGCTCAGCTACACACACATCCATAACATAGAAAAATTATCCAATGAATAGAAGTTTATCTACGAAAATTAAAGTTACTGCTTTAATACAAGAAGCTAATACGATTCCTGTATAAAATCTGTAAGTATCCTGATAACTTCAATCTTAAAAAGGAAATAATAATAATAATGTTAAAATATTACATTTTTAATGATGGACAACGAACTTTAGTTAAAATTAAACATGTCGAAAGAGATAAGCAGTATTTTAATTAATTAGTTAATTTTGAAACTTAAATGGTACTGAATTGCGTTATTTATGATATATTCGCATTCTAAGTGCAATAATGGTTTATAGGACGGAATTGAATCAATATTGTTGATGTCAATGTTCATACTTCATAATTATATATGCTATGGCCGTATGTGTGATCACCAATAGTTATACATCTGAAATGCATATCACTAAACGAAATTCGATTTTGATATAATAGTTGACACATAAAAACAGTTTAATAATTTAATAATAAAATCTTATTAATTCAATTTTCAAAAAGTTAAATTTTAATGATCATACCATAAAGGCCTAGATAATCCAACTTCTTCAGGTTTAACCCACATCGTATATTAAATCATAACTAAAGTACTATTTTAACTCGTGACAAGGTACAATATTTTGTTTACACTTTTTGGATGAATTCGAGGAAAGATGTTGCCATATTCATAAGGTAAATAACATATGCAAACAAACACATACGGCCATAAACGAAGAAAAAGAAGACAAGGCTTGTTCAAATTCCAGCGTTTAATTTTTTTCTTATGTTTACCAATATACTTTATTACGCAATTGAAGACAGCAGTTAAATTGCTGCGACAAAAATATTAATATTCATTAAAAACTAAGAACAAGGTGTTCAAATAACAGACAGACAGACAAAGTAGACAGACGGCTTGTTTTGCACCCGCTAAGTCTTTCTGCACCGATGGGCGAAAAAATCAAGCATAGGTGCGAAGTAAGGCTCCTATATACCAGGCTGAATCATCAGGCATTCGCGCTCCCAAGTGGGAGATTTAATGGCGGCTGTGTAGTTACGGTGCAACAATTTTTTGTGTTTTTTTTTGTGTAAAATGGGCGGATGTACAGCTATTAATTGTTCAAATTATTCACGGAAAGGTCATACATTGGTAAAATTTCCTAAAAATGAAGAAAGAAGAAAAAATATGGGTAAATAATTGCCGAAGAGACAATTGGAAACCTGGTCCAGGCGCTGAACTTTACTTAGTAAGTATAATGTTAATTACGCCTTCATTTAGAGTTTATATCTTCTCTGATGTTTATAATGTGCAAGTAAAGTGAAATTCTTGTGTACAATAACCTGAGTATCTGCTAATTTCTGTAATAATAGCTATAATTAAATTAGTCTAGGGTTAATGTACCCGTCGCCAAACATCGCCAATGTAGATGTTTTGAATGTGGAAAAGAAATTTCTCTGCTAATATAAAGCGCGGATTTTGTTTTCCTGTGCTAATTGTGGAATTTATACTAATGTAACATGAAAATCATTAGCATATTGAAATTTATTAAAAAATAAATATAATTTGGAAAGTCAAGATAAATCTGAATGTTTTGCTAAAGATATATGTAACATTATACTATAGTTGCAATATCGTTGGAATGATATATAATTTTTTTCTTTATTTTATAATCGCTATTGTTAAAAAGTTAGATGAGTTGTTTATGCACGGTGCCCACTAAAAAAAAAAAAAAAAAAAAAAAAAAAAAAAAAACAAAAAAAAAAAAAAAAAAAAAAAAAAAAAAAAAACTTGGTTAAATACTTCCAGAATTTTGACATTGACATCTGAAGTCAATAGATATGAGACAAATATATATAATGACTTCAATAATTGCAAGGATTGTGCAATTATTTATAATCAAGTATATACAATTTGGCAATGGAGTAAAGATTTAGAAATGAATGCAGAACATTCAAATTAGTATTTTCTTGTTTCTAATATATAGAAATATAGTCTATTTTCCGGTATAAAAGTTTTACTTATAAGTATGGGAAAGCAGATTTGTTTCATGCATGATCTTTATAATACTGCTATGAAATGAATGAATTTTAATCTGTAAACAATTTTTTGTTAATATTGAAATGCGTTTCATTGGGTACATTTTTAGGCACTTGTGGATCATGTCGGACAACATGCAATAGAAAAAAGATGTCCGTGTGCATAAATTTTCCCATTGTGTTACTTCATTTTATCTAAATTTCAAGGCTAATGAAAATAAATTGGTATGTGTATCTGTTTTTGATGTGTAATGCTTAAATAAAAAGATGGTGTGTGTTTCTTCATTTAAACAAAATTTCAAGGATAGTATTTTTCAGTGTTTGTTATTTCTCAATGTAAAGGGTAACAAGGGGGGAAAAAACTGGTATGGTATATCTGTTTTTTAAGCATGATAATTTTATTTATTTCTTTAGTGATGCATATATATATAGAGAAGGTGTTTGGTACAACTGAAGTTATAATAAATCTAATTTTACTAGATCTCTCCCTCCCCTCAGGTGTAGAAAATTTTCAAGTGCAGAAAGTTTTATTTGCAGAATTAATTCATTTCTGATAAACTTATTATCATTAATTTTTTATATAACATGTTATTAAGTTACACATTTGACTACTGTGTAATAAAATTGTATTTAGGGCAAAAATTAACTATAATTTTGCATCTGGTGACTAATATCATATGCTTCTAAGAATATTACTTTAACTTTTTCCATAATTTTTGTATTTCAGGAACATGAAACTGTTATTTTGATATACTTAAATAATAAAAGTGTGTATCTGAATCAATTAATGGATACAAATATTTTACAGTTATTTTAGAAGATATTTGCCATATCGCTTCTAATAATTCATAAAGTATGTTAAAATATAGGTAAATAATTTGGTGCAGAATTCAAATTTAGGGTTTAAAATATAGTGAATCATAAGACTAAATGATTTTTATTGTCATGATTTGCCTGGGCTTAAGAATGTACTTTTCGCCCGGTGGAAATTGTCATCAAACTGTCCTTGAACAGGCTTTTTTTGTTGATAATAACTTCCAGGCTTATCAGTACCTCCTTTTGAGTGGAGGGTATGCAAATATAGTACCCAATTTAAATTACATTGTGATTGTAATAATATTGTGATATTAAATAAGTGATTATAATTACAATTTAGGTAATTGCATTGTAATTATATTACATTGTATCTGTGAACTCTTAATTTCATTACTTTATGCAATTATGTTGTAAGTGCATAATCGAATTGTAATAATATAATCTATTCGCAATTACAAAATAATTATAAATGCAGTTACATCTTAAATAGAGGCCATTTTAATACTTTTAAATTTTCGCAAGATAACTTCCCATTAAGGTTCATTTGGAGGAAACTATGCAAATACTAAAAAAGAAGTTATGCAATTTACATATTTTGTACAGTACTTTCTTGTTATAATGCTGTTCAATATATCTTCAATACTTTTATAATTTAATGACATTCTTTGCAATCACTGTGGGTGCTTTAAAAAGAAGTTTCTTAGTTATGCTTTCTAATAAGAATGGGTTTAAAATTAAGTATTATGTATAATAACTAGAAGTTAAAAAAACTTGACTGCATGAAAATGCTGTTGCTGTGTAAAATAAAAAATAAGCTTTCTTTTATGCTTTGAAATGAATTACATGTGGTTAAGTCGTCCTTTTACAATTTAAGAATGTGGTTAACACACATTCTTAAATTGGACAGGTTTTACCTAAATTATTAGTATAAAATATATAAACTATGAATTATTTTGTAACATAACTCAAATTACAAATTCATTCTATATACGTTCAAGTTATTATTATCTTTTATGGAATAACTGTTTTTTAATTTAGGTAAAAATTGGATTTTTTAGAAGTATTACAAATACAATGCAACACAAAGGTGATCTGATTGAAGAGGAAGGACTTTTTATTACGGTTTCTAGTTCGTATTTATATTACATTTGATGAAAAGCATCCAAACACAGAATGCTGTACTTTCTTCTTCCATATATGTTATGAAATATTTCACACATTTGAAAGAAAGTGTTTCTTCAGAATCTTGCACAATTATTTCCATATACCTCAGACTTAAATGACAACATATTCTTAGGTTATTTTTTTAGTATGAATTTACAGTGCTTTTATGGAAATTTTTGTTAAAATGTCATTAAGATAAATTTATTTGCACACTCTACGCTTTAACTATTTCCCCATTTGACACTATTGAAAGTTTTTATTCATATCTTATTTATTTTAGTCTGCTAACGAAACTGAAACATCTAAAGACTAAGTTATTTTGAATATGTTTACAAAATATACGCGAAATTTTTATTTAAGTGAAAACGTCTATATACTATTCGAGAATTAATAAATTATCCGAAAAGTTTATATGCGCTGAATGCCGCGCGTCTATAAAATAAATCTTTAAAAAAACAGCAGATATTCAGACAGCGTGTTCGATAAACGCGCCAAAATTGGCAGCGCGTTCACTCCCTCGCCAAGAGAGAAAAGTTGGTGATTCAGCCTGGTTTAGAGGAGCCTTAGTGCGAAGGAAAGGTATATAGAAAGAGGGGCAATTTCGTATTTGAGGAGAGTAAAAAGGAACTTCGTACATCTTGTACGAGTTCAAAAGGCCAGGAATAAAAGATGGGACAAATAAAATTTAATAAATGGCCCAAAAATAATAGAGGGGGAAAAAAAAGGGCCTATAGAAAGAAAAGGAAAAGAAGTAGAAAATATCCTAAAATACGATTGTGTCCATGAGTGTAGTTAAAAGGAGGAGAAACTGTCTTCATTTACAATAAATAGTGTCTCACAGGTGTGTGTGTGTGTAGTGAGTGTGTTTGGTAATGGTGAATAGATGTGTTACTGGGGAAAAACAAATATTGGCGGTGTTAAAATGCTTTGTATCAAGGTATTTAGCATGGAATATAAAGTAATATGTATGCTTGCATACTGAGATATCAACAAAAGTCATCAAACAAAAGTATATATTAATTTAACCAAAGTAACTTATGCTACTTTCATTCTCAACATTTTCATACATTTTCCAAAAAACAGTAGCAGACTAACAACATAGAGCCATATACAATACAAGACCACAACCGCACACACCAAAAAATAAATATAAATAAATAAAAAAAATAATATATATATATATATGTGTGTGTGTGTGGTGTGTGTGTGTAATTACTGAGTATATGTATTAAAAACACAAATTAAACATTATTTATTAATTAACTATCATAATTTATTACAATATTAATTATTTTACTATCATAATTTATTACTAGTTAATTAATGTTAGTATAACACAATGAGGCACACTGTTTTTATATAAGCTCATAGTTCTAAGAATTCATTTAAGGCGGTGAAGAATAAACCATCCCTTAAATATGGACATTTAACAGATATCAAAGAACAGTATGAGAAAAAATCGGTGAGGTATAATATAATTTAAAGGCTATATTCAAGCGATCGTCTGTTTGGAGTTGATACACAAAGGAATCCATAAGCAATGGCAATTTCAAGTATTTTTTAATGCTTTAAACTGATGAAAAATTAAGATTTATTGATTTAAAAGCACTCATTTATAGAAATTTGATTTAGTTTAGATGAAAGAAAAGTACTTATCTTAAAATTCCAGGCTTTTG